TTTTCATATCCTAGCTACTAAAGAATTCCTTAAAAAAAGAAATACTATATGTATGCATTTTTCATACCCAACCAAAAAATTCTCTGAGAAATTATGGCCCCGTTCACTTCGCTGATTCGAATTTAAAATTTGAATTGAGATGTGACTTTATGTGAGAGCTTTTTACTGTAGTAAAAAAGTTATATGTGATTGTTTGTGAGAGCTTTTTACTGTAAAAAAACTCGAATTCTAAACTCGAATCAGCAAAGTGGACGAGCCTATGACTATTATATATGCATGCCTCGTACCTTAACCTTGTCCATATACAACTCTGGAGCAAGGATTTTCCTCTGATGGGCCCAAATAGTGCCATTTGAAGTTAGAATCCCTTGTCCAAGCAAAGGACCTCGTTCCTTGTACTGATAAGTAGGCTTTCCCAAGTCTAAGGACGTGCATGTTGTTATGTGTCTCACAGTGTCAGGATCATTCACACACAAGATCTGTATGTTCCCAAGCGCAAACATAAAAACTTGACCTATATACATATAAGTCAAACAACAAACAATAGTACTAATAATTAGACCATGAAAAGAAATATATATGAACAAGATGAAGTTTGATGATATTGATCTAGAGTATCATGGTTTGATCATTTTATTACCAAATTTGTTTCTCCACTCATCAAAGAATGGGAAGATAAAAGAGGCGAGATTGTGGGTCTCTTTGGGCTCGCCGGTGGCCGCGGATTGCGCCTTCCTGATCTCTCTGATGTTTCCGAGAAGAAACGTCGATGGCGGTCCATCGATCCCTTGCTTCCTCAGAATAGCTCTTAGCCTCTTTGGATTCAGAACCAAGGCACGGAACAAACGCACAAATAGAACGAAACCGCCAAGCAACGCCGAGGTCATCAAGAAGACTTTTCCGATCTCCATAATATTGGCTGACGAGTATATCATTTAATTTCTTCTTATCACTTCTTCTATTCTCTCTCTCTCTATGGAAAGACTTATTGATGGAGTTAAGGTGGTAGCATTTGATGATATTTATAGTCGTGTTGGTTGGTAAGAAATGGTGTGGACCTATACCAAAAAATAATAATAATAAATAGACAATTTTATCAAAAGATAAAAAAAAAATAAAATAGAAAAAAAAAATACGTAGACTTGGAAGTCAGAACCAGAAGAGTACTTATTAATGCCGAATGATGTGAGAGGAAGATCAAACGGCTTATAATTGATCAGTCTAATTAACATTAAACGTGCCGAAACTTGTGAACTCTAAATTTCCGCGCGCGGTTACCGCGAAGGTTACTGTGCATTGGATTGGGACTTCCACATATACTGTTGTTTCTATGAATCTTTCGTGTTTGAGGTCAAATTAAAGGTCTTTTCCACATGAAACGCGACTCTTTATAATTAAAATTATCTGTATCATTATTTTCTAACGGCGGTTTCTGATATTTTAGTAGCTTTTAGATTGTGACCTTTTAACGTCTAACTTCTTTTATTTTTAATTTTTCACAAAAAAAACCAAAACAAAAACAAAAACGGCATCTTTGTAGAGTTTTTCCATGTGTAATTTGGTATTTTTTTTTTTGTTGTTGTTGTAGCGACTTGTGTGTCTGAGTGAATATTGTTATCATTTTATGAAAAAGTCAATATTATCATAAGAATGTTTCCTGAGAATAAGCCCCGTTCATTTCACCGATTCGAGTTTTTAATTTTAGATTTTTACAGTAAAAAGCTATCAGAAAATGTTACGTCTAACTTTTTCTGTTACAGTGAAAAGCTCTCAGAAAATGTCACATCTCAACTCAAATTGAAAACTCGAATCCGCGAAGTGAACGAGGCCTATGTTAGTTATAAGAAGATTTGGTATATTCTAGCACCTTTGAGTTTTGATATTCATAATGTTGTCCCTATCTTCTTACGAGTCTTGACTTCCTATCATCCACAGGACCACAGCATAAGTGACAAATGATCTTAAAATTAAAAAACACACACAATAAAAAAAAAAAAAAGGAATTTTTGCTTACTCCAAAACGTGAGAAAAGTATTAATTGTTTTGGCTCTTCTAATAATTTTCATACACGCTACCTAAAAAATTATGATCATACATAGTTATCCATTAGGTTAAAAAGCAAGCGGCTAAACAAATATATGAGTGGCACTCTTGAGCCAGCTGTCAAAAAAAGCCGCGAGATCAAACAATTAGGTACGTGGTAATAAAAAAAAAAACAACAAAGGATATCAGTGACAATACGCAAACACATAATTTCATGTTTGTTGTTTGTCATCTGATGTACCAAACCCACTCTTCTTATTTTATTGACTAAATACATATATATGGAACAAATTTTGACTAAATGATATCAAACTAAGGAATCAAAATTCCTAATAATCATGTAATATGTAGCTTTCAGCTAGCTTGTGCCATATGGGAAAACTACTAAGTTACCATTAATCCCACATCTTGTAAGATATGTTAATTATAGAACCCTTTGGTCTTCGATCGCCTAAGTCGTGCTGATTTTTTTTTTTCTTGATGAAATGCGGTGTTAGGCCGCCGGCCAACCTCATCAACAAAACTTTTCTCCTGCACATGCATGCCACTGTTCCAACTTTGAACTCATATATATTGGGAATTCAAATTTAATTTCGGTAAAGGAGAGGCATCATTTATGAGACGTTTATTTCCTATATTCGTCCATGATTCATGATTTTTTACAGTATTTTTCTCACAAAAAATACACGTAAAACGAGAATGATTCTGAATAATGATTCTGAATACATAAGCCAAACATCCTCTAAAAGGTTGTTGGTCTAATAATAGTTCGTTCTTTTTTCATTTAATAAAAAGCTACTCAAAAAGTTGTTTTGTTCTATCTACGTACTATAAAATTAAAATGTGTACATCTCTCTTTAAAGTAAAAGGGGATTTGCCCAAATTTGGCTATGGCCGGGGAAGCATTGAAGTGGGTACTTTAAGCTAATATATATATATATATATTTTTTGCGACAAAGAAATATTCTTAGTCTAGCTAGACAAAGGGTTCCCTTTTCTCCATCAAATTATTTAAATTTTAGCACATTTTCCACGGTATAATAAAGAATTGCAGTTCCCTTATATTATTATGCTTGTAACAAATTATCCCTTCTACGTAGTTTTTAATAATATCCATGATCTAGTTCGATCCTTTCCCAATATGTTGAATCATCTTATCAAGCATCGGTCTTCTTTGTGGTGTTATTTTAGTACTAACCATTTTAGGAAATGACGCAGGTTTAATTATATATAGAACAAACATGAACTTAAAACACTTCTAAAAAGAAAAAGCCAATTAAATTGGAGAGAAGAAATTCAAACTTTAAATTACCTCATGAATATAAATAAAGACAATAGTATCGAATTATACCACTCACTTTCAAAAATTAAAATAATAAGTTCTTAAAGGAAAAAAAAAGTAGAAGGGTTGATCAATATAGCACGTCAATTATAATTAATCCTTCATTTAATAAAAATTTATAAATTCTTTCAAAATGCATACCGGTAACAATTTAGTTAGCTTCCACAGTACCTTATTTCTTACTGTCCGTACTATTAATGTATGATACATCAAGATATATCAGACCCGTACTTCATATTAAACGCTGATAACACGTTATATTTAAGTCTCGTTCATTTCACCGATTCGAGTTTTTAATTTTGGGTTTTTACAGTAAAAAGCTCTTAGAAAATGTCACATCTAATTTTTTCTGTTACAGTGAAAAGCTCTAAGAAAATATCACATCTCAGCTCGAATTGAAAACTCAAATCCGCAAAGCGAATGAGTCGTAGATGCAAAAAAGTCCGAGGAAGACATGTATATATATCCGTGAAAGAAATACTGAAAACCTCTAAGCTTATCTACAACTGAGCATTATATATTATACATTTTCATCATGGAACTTATTTTATGCATTTTTCCAACAATTTTTATACGTACGATGCATGATGACGATGCACATTAATTGTTATTTTAAGAAGCAACAGAGATTGTCACTTAATCAAAAGACCAATGAGAATGGTTATGTTGGACCAAGTAAGAAGTGAGCACCAAAACAAGAAAAGAAAAGGGGGAAAAGAAGAAGGAAAAAAAAAAAAAAAAGGCAAAGAACCGAGTGAGCTTTTTAAGGGGATAAGTGGGGTCAGTTTTCAATAGACTAACGTCGATGGAAAAATGGGAATTCTCTCTTGAATCACTTTCTATTTCTGAAAAGCAAATAAGAACACCAAATTAGTCCAAGTCATCTTCTTTTGCTTGGAAACGTCTGATATGGGGACCGTTAATTCTCCGAGTAGAGCACATGGCCAAGAAAACGTTTCTTGGGTTGTTATGAAATGTGTGACCTTCAAACTAAAGACAACCCACTTGCCAAGAAGTTGAAGCTTTCGAAGGGGTCAATTGTCGTATGAATGCCAAGATTTTTTTTTGTTTTTTTGTTTTTTTCCCCATAGCAATGGTAGATTAGTAGAAAAGCTTTTTGAAATTCAGACTTGGGGTGCAACATAAAAAGCAAAACGTGTGTCACAACCCATGAAGTGCCTAAAACGCTGGACAATCTTAAAATTACTACTACTCAGTCGTGAATTGTGAGTTGCTGGTCATGTCGCTGGTCCTGTCGTTCTCTTATTTTCTTTTTTACTTTTTCCTCTTTTGACAAGTTGGCCCTTGGTTAATAAATTAAGAGCCATAGACGAAATCCAACAGTTTAATATGTCGTTTTCATATTTCGTTTTGCCATAACAGTGAAGTTGTCCCCTATGTACCTGTATTGAATTTGGCACTTGGGTTAGAATACTTTATTTGGAATAATTTACATGGGGTTTTGTGGAGGTTGATTTACAACGTTCAATTTGTATTAAGGGTTAATGATAGGACTACATTTACTGTAGTATTTGTTGTTTGCACTATGTATGTAGAAAATAGTACAATGACGCTTGATAAAACTTGAGAAAAATAATAATGGAGGAAAAAGAGAGAAGGGCGGCTCTAGGGCGTATTGTAGAGGTGATGCATGAGTTTTTTGCGTGTTGAAATGTCCTTGACGTCGTGGGAAAGCTTCCTTTTATAGCTGCATATTGTAGTTACTTATTTTGGGTAGTTTTCCTTTTCTTAATAAAGTTGACTTTCCTGATTATGGTTTGATCTTGTTTCCTTATAGACTTCATATATTTTGTGATTTAGGTTGATTTTAATGCAATATGGAGCTTTTTCAAAATCCCATAATGGAAGGTTCTCCAAAAGATTCTCAGAGTATTATCCAGAACAGTCGACTCCTCTGTTCTACCTAGCAGTTGTAGTCGATTTTAGATGTTGAAGTCGTTTCAGGCTGATCTTGAATCTGAGTTGTCTTCTAACTGTCTTGAGTTGCTCAATATGCTTGGATGGTCTTCTTGGTTGCTGAATCTATAATTTAGTCGACTATAGTTGACACGTGTATGATTGAGATTGATTGACGAAATGTAACCCCAACAGGTTTCATCTCGAAATAGTCATCCATCATTGTTGCATAAACTTAATTTGGTTGTCCTCAGTGCCAAATTTCGTGTTAGTCTTAGTCTTAGTTTTTTTTTTTCTTTTTTCTTTTTTAAAAATCCATACATGGGTGATCGGCTAGCTAGCTGATGTAGGTTCATTGCAACAAGAGATTTTAAAAAGATTTTTTTTTCTGGTTACTGGGCTTTGACGGTCAAAATAGGGGTTGATCCTAGCTAACATCAGATCTTCAAAGTACAATGTTTTTTTTTTTTTTTTTTTTTTTTAATAAAAGAGGAGATGGAAATGCAAACTCTCAATATAATTCAGATGATGCAGAGACTTGCAACTAATTAGATTGCCCTCACTCGTCTTTAATGTTATTTCCAGGACGTTGATTAACTCATGAAAGAGTTAATTGGATGGTAATAGATGTGAGATTTGAATGTCTACATAATTTAACTATAGCAAAGGTAATATTCTTGTTGAGAAAAATAACAACAGGAAATTGCATAGGAGGTTGTGTCTCATGGACTAACATTTGATGCGAATATTTAACTTATGAGAAACTGAGTGAGGAACAAGACATGTGAAAATAAATAAAGACACAGAAAATGAACAGGTAAAACCAATAATAGCATAACATATTAGTCAAGGAATTTCGTCCGGCATTGATAATATAATAAAATAAACAGCTAGAATTTATGTAGTCAAAAGAAATTACAACCCCACTTAAAATTACTCTAATAGTACTGAAATAAATAAATAAAAAATGCAGACAGTTTTAATGTGTTGAAACTCCATTTGAGTTGACCATCATTCATTGGGCAGCCTCAACATGTTTGTGACAAATATTTTTTCAAGTCCTGTATAAGTTGTTAGACAACAAACTATAATAAACTCGTGCGGTGTTTTCACACATTATTTTGTTTAGCACTATTTTAAGAAACAAGAAGCCTGAAAAGACTTCAATTATTCAGGGATTATATAATTACTTTATTCCGGAATTAAGAATTAGTTGTCCAAAAAACAGCTCCAACAGTAAATCCTATGAGAAACGATCTCCAAATTCTCCTGCCACCAAGAAGATCAAGTACATTAGGCTCTCTTCCAATGTCTTGTTCTAAGAGAGAGCACTACATTATATGTATATATGTATGTATATGTGTGTGTGTGTGTAAATATGTATGTATATTACCATTGTCACGCCTTGCCAGGAACATGCGCAAATGGGGGTCAATTGGCAAGCCCATTTCTTCATACAGTGGATCATAACATTTGTTTCTAATTGGCACAGGCCTGTTTGAAGTTTTTGTGCTTCATTGTCAGATTACCGTGAGCATGACAAATCACAAGTTAGTGGAATCTATATTCCTTAATTATAACGAAATAAACTTTTTTACCTTGAGCTTTGAGCAGTAGTACTGGGGTTGTTATAGTAGTTTTGGCCTCGAGAAAACCAACTGCCGAGCTGAAGACCAGGTGATGGTGGGAGATTATTGTCACCTTGCCAAGCCATTTTCACCTATACATACCCGATCAAATATGAAAGTAGAAATCAATTAGACATTTTACATGAAGAGGTAGAAAGGAGATACATACGTAGGGGTGATAATTCGGGTTGGCGGGTCGTGTTCGTGTCGTGTTGACCATTTCAGTTGACACAAATAGGTCTAACACGAACACGACCCGTTTATTAATCGTGTCAAAATACAAAACCCAAACACGACCCGTTTATTGGCGGGTTGACACAACACGACACGAATAACCCGTTTATTAAACATGTCATAAACTTGTCGTGTCAACCCATTGATTACTTGTCAACTCGTTTATAAAATGGGTGATAAATGAGTTGTGTTAACCTATTTATGAACCTGTTTATAAAATAGGTGATAATTGGGTCGTGTTAACCTATTTCTGAACCTATTTTTTAACCTGTTTATAAAATGGGTAATAAACGGGTTGTGTATTCGTGTTATCTAAATATGACACGTTTAATAAACGGATTATGGCGGGTCAATCGCGGGTTGGCGAGTCAACCTGAAAATGACACGTTATTTAATCGTGTTTCACGGGTTCGACCTGATTTTGACCTGTACCTATTTATGATAAACTTAAACCCGTTAATTTTATGCGGGTTTCGAGTCGTGTCGTCGTGTCGCTATCCAGATTGCCAGCCCTATACATACGTTTATCATGTCATAATAGTAAGGGTATGCATATAGCATATATTGTATATCATAGTAATAAAACTACGTCCGGACATGGTCCCAACTATTTAAATCAGTACTAAACTGGTAGAAAAGAAGCATTCGTATTTAATATAAAAAAAGGCGGACTCCAGTGCTAAAGAGGCTCCCGTACTATGATAGGTTTGGAGGAAAGATCAATCACATATGTACGCGGCCTTACCTCCCGAAGGAGAGGCTATTTCCGGGATTCGAACCTTGGACCCCGAGTGCAAACGCAAGCGCTCCCACCACACCACGGTGCCAAGGCCTGCCTTCATTACCTCAATCACACTACTATACATCTTCCTAAACCTTCGTATTTAATACACCCAAAAAAATAACTTAGCACTCAAATTAACCCGTGACCACAATCACACTACGATACTTCATTACCTCTAGGCCACTACACTCAACAATTATCATAATATAAAACCATATAGACACGTAGCTACAAAAAATTCTTGATCAAGGAAAAAACAGAGGTAATAATAATAATAAACCTTCACCTTGGGACAGCTCAGAGATGAATCTCCAGCTTCGTATTGGTTGTAGTTCGCAAAGTTTCCATTACTTCCTCGCTGAAAATTTGCACAAGTAGTTTTAGTTTGGTGTTTACTTTTTCTTTGTTGAACAATGAATAGTGTAGTGAAAAAAAAAATCACAAAAGAAAAGCCTTTTTGCATTGTTTTCACATTTTATTGCTTGCCTTGTTATTACTAATGATGCTGGATGACAAGCCTTCAAATGAATAAGGAAGGGATGATGCTGAGACATAGGGGCCCATTTCCTGTAGAGAAGAAGACAACAAATATCAGAAATGTTATAATATATAACACAGGAAAACTTTTATAACTTTTCACCAACCAGAACACTTTTAAGGTTATTCATAGTACCGGCTGAATTGGCATGTTTGGGACTTGAACATGGGTTGAGATGTCAGCGCCAGAGACAAAGTTATTTGGTCCGCTACTGGCCTGATCCAGCATACCCTGGAATTTAATTTCTTGTGTCCTGCAAAAGTTAAAAAACTTTGCTAAAGGAAAGTCTAATTGCGCATTAAGAGGAAGGAGGAAAAAGCGGAAGGAGAAAAAGAAATAGGAGCGGGAAGATTAATGGATGACTAATTTAAGATTTAATCGTCGTGTTTGTCAGTAGGAGGGATCGGGGGAGGGAATGAATTGGGCGAGGATTTAAAATCATCTGCAGGACTCTAGATTCGATCCTTTCAAAGTTGAAACAATTGGAGTAGAGAATTCATACTAAACAAGATAAGATTTAGAAAGGTCCTCTGTTTCACTCATTTTTCCTGACCTACGTTATATCAGTGGTGGGATTATAAAATCTTTTCAGTAGGGACACTATGAAAAAAAAAAAAATTATATATATATATATATTTTTTTTTTTATTGAACAAAGGCATATGGTTATATATTTTAATTATTGTGTAGGCACAAAGTTAATTATAATTTTGTTCTTATAAAGTGGGGGCACAACTGTAATTTTAAAAGAAGAATCAAAGACAAAAATCAAGTTTTCCAACGTTTGAGTGGGGTCACATGCCCCCACTCAAATAACTCCGCCACTATATTATGTACTTTTTATGACGCCCTCATTTTCCTATTTTCTTTTCCTCTTACGAAGCAGTACATCTTAATGTCCCGTTTAGTTTATAAATTAGAATCATATAAGTAAAATTATTTTTAATTTACGTATTTTTTTTGTGAGAAAAAATACTATAACAAATCATGAATGATGATTCGAATCAGAAAATAAATCTCTTTACTAAACGGGCTCTAAGATTCGTAGTTCTAAAAGTTTTTTTTTTTTTAAGACACTCAATTATTAAAAGCCCATGAGCTAGCATGTAAAAAAAAAAAAAAAAATATTACAAATGAAATATATAGGAGAGCATAAGGAACTAAATGTACCCAGTTGCATTTGGAGGGTCATGCGTGATAGTTTGTCTCTGTGGAGTCCATTGCGGCCTTCTGATCAATCCACCATCTCCTTTATCCGGAGCAATCTGTGTAAACAAAGAAAGAAAAAGGACAAAGCAAGTTATGGTAATGCACAATGTAAAAAGATGAATATGATCAAGATGATCAAGAAGAAGCTATATATATAATTTTAAAGCAAAATTCCCCAATTCATGTACTTGAGGGTCTTGTTGCTGAATCTGGGGCAGTTGAATCCTAGAGGATGATTCCAAGCGGAATTCCGAAGGCAAGTTTGATAGAGGAAGATGGTATGGATTGATGGCCTCATAACTATTCCCAAAGTTTTGCATTGCTTCGTTGGTGGGGAAAATAAAGCCTTGGTTCTCCATTCCCATTGAACTAGACCTATTGTTGTATGCATTTGAAAGTTTCCACAAAAATTTAAAAAAAAAAAATCAGTTTTCTGTACTAAAATTAGATTCAAAGATGAAGCTAATATAATGAAAGTTGCATTCTCGCTCGCGCGCAAACACAAAACAAAGACGCGTGTGTGTGCACGCGCAAGTATTAAGATATAAAATGCTCGTACGGAGGAGATTGCTCAACGTGATTGCCAATTCGTGAAGGAACAACATTCTCTTGATCATCATTTCCGATGAAAAAACTCAAGTTTTTCTCGGAGGGGATATTGCCATTTTCTGAAGAAAGACTCGGATGATTTTGAGGCAACGAACTGAGTGATTGAATGCCTTGTTGAGATGACTCCACCTGATCATAATGTTTCAAAATGGTTACTCTTTTTTTTTTTTTTTTTTTTTTTTTTTTTTTTTTTTTTTTTTTTTGAGTTCAAAAAAAGTAGCTAAATAATTTTTTTTTGGTCTTTTCTTCTATTGAAGTTCAAAAGAGCTAGCTAATGAATTTGGTATAGAAATATGGGAAGTCATGGAAATGATCATACTACAGTTGGAGGGACGTAATGTCCTGATGTCCCAGCGGACGCAAGATTAGCCAGTGCAATCTTTACTGCTTGTTGGGAACGGGGTACGCTTGTTGCGCCACTTTGAAACATTTCTTGGTTTCTATGATAGTGCCAAAAAAAAAAAAAAAAAAAAAAACCCAAAATGAGGATTAGATATCAAGACTCAAGTTTGAGATAAAAAAATGGATAATTTCAATTTGGTACCTTGTGTTATAGCTAAATTGTTTTTTAGTATACTGTTTTTAATAATTTTAATTTGATACCTCAACGTTTTAAAAAATGAGTTTTTAGTACCAAATTGAAGTTATTAAAAAAAAAAAAGAAACTCATCTTTGGTATGCATAATTTTTACATAGTGAACTAGAAATTCCAACAGAGAAATTAAGCATGCCAATTGATATATATCTTATGAAGTTCATTAACTCTATGAGGTTATATGATGCCATACATAACTCAATTTAAGCTAGTTATGAATGTGGCTCAAATATAAGTGAAAATTATAGATTCTATAGAGTAGCTGATTTATTAAAAATATCCCTTCTAAAAAACTCTACTTCTTAACTAGTTCTGTTAAAATAGATGGACTAATATTAAGATGTGGAAATAAAAGGGATTTTATTTTAAGAGATATTTTAAAAAATTGCCCCAAATATAAACATGTGTAGAAACTTTTTTACAATCTGTTGAGACAATTAATTCATAACATACCCTTGAAGCAAAAGCGGCCCAGCTTGAATTGAAGTCACTTTATTCGGCCCAAATTCATTGCTTCCATCTGAGGAAGAAGAGGATGATGCTCCTCTTTGTTCCTGCTGCTCGTTGTCCTGGGATGCGAAAATCGACTTACAAAATAAGAAAAATGAGACAAATCCTGTTACAATATATAAATCTTAGATTTTTACCTTTTATACTTGATTAACACCTTTTAGTCAAAAAATTATATGAGATAAAAAAATATTAATCAATAACAAAAAATAAAAATCTTATAACAATGCATCTAAATAGTGAGTTCACCAATTTTTTCGACAAAATATTCATGTTTAGAGGAATGCTAGACAGTCCTATGACTATGTTTTAGTTGTATACTGAATACCTATTACACATATAATAGAGCTCAGCCAAATGGTGCTAATTTGAGAATTAATATCGATAACAAAAGTAGTTTAAGACACTAAGTACCTCGCTATCAGCCTCGTACTGTTGAGTCCTCTCTAGCGAATCCTCCGATTCGATTGACATCTCATGGGATCTCATGGCTTAAAATGAATCCAAGAAGTTGCTACAGTGCAAATATTTACAGATGATCAGTTATTGTAGAAGCGCAACACAAAAAAATAATGACAAACAATGAAAAATAAAACATGAAAACAGTATTATAAGGATTTTTTAGATGGTATAACAATCACATATTCGTGAATGCGAAACATAATCTAACAAGTTATCATTTCATAACAACTAAAACATAAGAAAAGGTTATAAATCTATGATATTTTACATGAACAAAAGAACACTTTTGGTCAAATGTTGTGGAGATAGTTTTCTAAACTTCTTGCAGAATAAAAATGGGGGGAAAAACAACAAATAGTTTAGAACAAATGATAAAACGGATGATGTTGAATGGTTATTTGCCTTAGTTGACAACTAACTTTTACTTGACGACCAATTTCCTCTGTAGTGTCTATTGCGGCCAACAAATCCAATAATGGCAGAGATATCAAGTGGATTAAATAGAACAAGAAAAAGTTATTCCAATTAATACTAAAAAAAAAAAAAAAATTTTTTTTTTTCAAATATCTCTGATTTTGTTTCTCACTAATCATGAGAATCCAATATAGATTTGTTTTGATACTTGAAAATATATATTTAAAAAGAGAAAAAATCTTGTAGAACCAAGTAATGCATTACAAATGTCTTTAGAAACTCAGATGGCTTTCCTCAACGGCTAAGGAAGTAAAAAATTCAATTTTTTTTTTTTTTTTGAATAACTTTCCACTGTTTTCATGCATAATATGGTAAGTTTTCATAATTTCATGTTTATCTACCTAAAAAAGCAGGAGAAAAATGGATTCTAGTCGAATTTTTTTTCCCCCTCCTTTTCTTGGGTATATAACAAAGATATCAAAGATGGGATTTGGTCAAACTTCATTATTGGAAATATTTTTATGAGATTTTAACGGCAGGAAACAACACAACCTTGGATACGCAATTATGCACGTACTAGGAAATGATATAGAGATGCTAAAATGAAAATATTTTACCAAATACATAGGATTTTTTTTTCCCCAGATACATGCCTTTCAGGATTTGCACATTTTCTTCTTCTTCTTTTTTTTTTTTTTTTTTTTTGGGCTTTCCCCATAACGCGTTAATGGATGTGTCCTTGGCCAAGGCCTGATTTGCTTTCTGGGTGACATCCTTAGACATTCTCATTTTCTAAAGAAATAGATAAGATAACAATAAATAAATAAACTAAATCAGAAATAATAGATACTACTAGAAATTAACTGAAGATTATATTGTTAGAATTACCTTGCAACAAGATTTCCTAAGAAAATTACATAAAATCAATAACAAAATTAAAAGAAAATAATCAAAAGAACAATCATGACAAGAAAAATAAAGACACATTTCCACCCATTTGATCGTTGAATTTAATTCAGGAATTCTCAATAAAGCCAAACATAGAAAAGAAATTAAACCGAGAACAATCATATGGAAAATAGAGACACATAATTTGTGTAGTTTGACAATTTGTCTAAAATATTTATTTAGGCGAAAGGACAATATGAATCCACTAAACTGAACAATTACACAAAAAAAGGTAGAGGCGCAAATAAAATTTTACAGAGTTTGATACTTTACCTACATTCATGTCAAAAGACAATAATATAATCTACAAAGCGATACTAGGAGATCTTTACACTCTTTAATCAGTGAATATTGAATTTAAGGGTTCTGAAAAAATAGGTCAAGCTGAGAACAAGATTTATAGTTTTTTTTTTTTTTTTTTTGGAGTAAAGATTTAAAGTAATTTAAAATAACAATGATAAAATAAGAGGTAAAAAAAACTTTATGGGTTCGACAATTTGCCTGCATACTAGCGGAAAGACAATAATTGATCCACTTATAAGTAAAACTGGAAAATCTTATAATTACACCCTTAATTACGAACGTAAATAAATAATTACCAAGGAAATTAGATCACACCAAGAACGGAAAACAAAGTAAGTCAAAGAATGATTACCATTATTTCAAAAATAAAAGCACAAATTTTCTACATGTTCGACAATTTGCCTATATCCACGATGGAAAGATAATAGTTTAATCTGCTAAAAAACTCAAAAATATTATTATACTCTTTAATCAATAAATATTGGATTCAACAATTCTAAAAACAAAATAGATCCAACAAAAAAATAATAATAATTCAAAGGACAATATCAGAAAAAATCCGAGGCATATTTGAAATTTTCCTATATCCACCGTAGAAAGACAATAATTAATCAACTAAGCAAAACTAAGAAATCCTATTATCCCTTAATGGATGAATGGAATTCAAGAATTTCCAAGTAAATTAGATCAAGCCAAGAAGAGAAAGTTCAAAAAACTAATATTACAATATTTAAAATAAAAATAGAGGTACAAATCATTTTTATTAGGGTTCGACAATTTATCTATATCAACAACGAAATGGCAATAATTTAATTTGTTAATCGGTAAAATCAAGAAATCGTATTACACACTTTAATCGATGAATATCGAATTTAAAAGCCCTTGGAAAATTAGATCAGCCAAGAACAAAAATGAAAATATGGTTCAAAAAACAATTACACAAAAATTAGAGGCACAAAATACTAATAGTTTTTAAGGTTCGACAATTTGCCTACATCAATAGAAAGATAATATCCACTAATAACAAAATTAATGAAAATCTTATTATATCCTCTAATTGATATTTTGAATTTTCTCTATAAAATTCCTAAAACCCTAATGCATCGAGGAATTTCTCAAAGACGTACTTTTCATACGAACCATTTGATCACTTCTCTACTTTAATGAGAATACGAGTTTTCGAGTTTGGAAATTTTGGGTAGCCAACCTAACTCTCCATTTATTTTCTTTTTCTCCTATCGTCTTCTTGTTAAATTTTGACATTCTTTCCCATCGGAAATGGAGATCCCTCTTTCTATACTGCAGGATTTGTTCTTGTTCCTGCTATTCTGTCTTCTTTTGTGGGTTTGAGTGCTTTCGGAATGAACTCAAAATATACGTCACTTAAGGCCCGTTTAATTTGCTGATTCGAGTTTTTAATTCGAGTTGACATGTGACTTTGTGTGAGAACTTTTTACTGTAACAAAAAAGTTAAATGTAATTGTTTCTGAGAGCTTTTTACTGTAACAAAACTCGAATTGGTGAAATAAACTAAGCCTTAGATCTCATTCTATAGGGATGGCGTGTTTGGTCCATTCAGATCTCAACTTGGTCGTGTAACCTATTTATTAGATTCTAAGTGCCAGATATAGAAGATTTTAGGCGGACTCATTGCTTTGTTTATTATAATAGACTATTTGTTACATTAATGTTTATATTTTTACAAGATCTCCAATTACAATATTTGTTTCGGTTCTACAAAATTAGCGTCTTTGTTCAAAAACATCATGTCATCTTATTTAGTACTTGTTATGTTACAGAAAAGCCGACCTTATCTATTTGATGATGGAACGAGAAATAATCTAATTTCTTTTTTCTAGTGTTTACTAAACTTAGTTATGTGAATTTATAAAAAAAAAAAAAAAAGTCAAATTATCTTTTTACATATTTAAATAATTATTGACCTATAACATAGAAATTAAGAAAGGTATAAAAGTAAATTTAGCATTAGGTGGGGCCTACTAAATTCTCATTATAAATTTTACAAGTAAACACATAATTAGATAAAAAGAAAGTTCTCGAATCGTTTTCCACTTTAATATTCTCTTCCATTCCATGAGAAGCAAACATGCTTTTATACAACAACGCATATGACGTACATATAAGAAAGATAAAAATTACGGTGTATTATTCTCAAGAACTAAGACAAATGCAAAAAGGAGGAAAAAGCAAAGCTTGGCCTCATTGTGGCCATAACGAAAGCACAAAATGCATGGATGGTCGGAGAGAAGCTTAAACTTTTGTCATCTTTTTTCTTTTTCAAAAAAAAAAAAAAAAAAAAAAAAAAAAAAATCAATTTCCCTTGGTGTTCATGCCCTTCTGAACTTGCCCCGCATGTTGTTTGACGTATTCCTTGGAGACATCAGCCCTGTTCTCCACCGTCTCTTTGGCCCTTTGGGCTGCATCCTTTGTCGAAACCCATGCGTTCTCCACCGTCTGCTTTGCTTTCTCCACCGCATCTCGGGCCTTTTCCGACACTTCGCCGGCCACATCTTTTGTCTTCTGGGTCACCTGCAATTTCATTAAAGCAATATTAGACCACCAACAAAGACATGCAACGAAAATAAATTGAAAAAAAAAAGAGTTAAAATTTTTAATCCAAGCCCTAAAAAAGCAACTTTTCTGTAATTTTTTTTTTCTTGTGTATAGCAAATGATGTTTACATGATCCGCAGCAGAGCTAGTGCTTTCTTTGATGTTTTCTTTGGTCTCCCTCGCTTGTTCACAAACCGAAGAATCTTGACGTGAACTTGCCTGCAATACATAATAGAATATGTTGTATAAATTAATTGACCGATAAAGTTAAACATATTATTGCGTGGAATATTATTCGATTTGGATCAGCAATTTATAGACCACATCTTACGTGAATACGTCTGCCAGCAGCAGCCAAAAGTTGAGTAGAGTTAATGCGGGTGTTTTTTGCAGTTTCTGTTCCAATTTGAGCAATTAGTTTTGTGGACTTGGTGATGAGAGTAGAGCTTGCCATGATCTCTCTCTTTTCTTTCTCTTTGTTTCTTTATCTAGTAATTTTGTTTTTCACAGAAATGGATCTGTCTTAAGAAGTTGGGTATATAAAGAAGCAGAAGAAGATAATGAGAGTTTTTTCCGCAGTATGATTGGTTATAGAAAACTATCCTCAGCGGTCAAATAGGATCCAGAATTTTTAGGATTTTTTTTTTTTTTTTTGGCTAATCAATATTTTTAGGATAGGTTGTTATGGACCATTCTTACAACTTGTGTTTAGGACTCGGATTTGGGTTCGAAATTATGGAAAGGTTAACAACTGGGTGTTATCCATTGCTTTCTGTATCAGTATCCCATTCATTGCAAAACATTGGCCGCACAGCAGAGATAGTATTCCAGGACGTGAGGAGAAAATTGCGTATTTTGCCCGCCGGAAGATTCTCGAACGTGACTATTATAAAAGTGTAGTTTTGCACTTTTTCCATTTATTAATATGCCCCTCGTATCTCTTATTTTGTCCTCCCTAGATTTTTTAATGCCAAACTTTTTATGGTAAAAATAATTTTAGTTATAAATCTTTATTTCAAAGTTCAAAACCCAAATAAATTAAAATTGGATTACGCTGCCGCTTGAGATTGTATATTGAAATTGATGAAGAAATGAGAAGAAGAAAAAAAGAGAAAAGAATAGAGACAAAAGAGTAAAGAAACGAAAGTAGTAGATCTTTCAATATTTGTCGTACCCGCCCATAATTAAAATTAGTTAAAGTGTCAATGACCATTCGGTCAAATGACATGGAATAGAGTGGGATAAGACTTGAATTTAGAATGGTGTGAGTTTAATCCTGCGTTGGATCATTCAATTAGCAAAAGTGTCGATGACCATTTGGTCAATGGTGTGCATTATTGTCAGTGGCATGCAATTTTGCTCACCACAATTCTTCAGACGAAAATGAAGATATCGCTGAAGAAATGGAACAAAGGTTGTACCCCTTGGGGGCATGGGGCAATATTGTTAAATTAATTAGGTTCGGAAACCACCGCTTTATAGTTGAATTCCTTCATATCATAATAATAAACGTGCCAAGAAAAACATGCTTGACTACATTAACGCCAATCAAATTGCAATATAAAATAAGAGAAATAAACCTCTTCATAACAGCAGAAAATATGCCGTCAATTATTCCTGCCCCCACCATATCATACCAAATGTGTCAGTTATGCGTTAGTAACAAGGGGCAAAACAAACATCACCAACTCAGGAAAATTTGAAACAAGTGAGTAACAAAAGAAATAACGTTTGTGAAAAAAAAAAAAGAAAAAAAGCAGCATCAAGTTCAGGAGGAGCTGGATCCCACTGCTCTCCAGAGCCTCACCCAATCCACCATGGCTTCGGCTGCCCGACCAAATACAGGGTCCACCTTCCCCAGCTGCTCCTTCACTTCTTTCGCGACCTCGATCACGCAATCTTCTGCTTTTACCGTTGTTCGCTTTAACCTCAGTGCCTGAAAGAAAGGAACCACTTCCTCCATCAGCTTCACCCCTTCCCACTCTTTTCTCAAGCTGTCTATAGCATTGCCCCTCTCCGTTCTCCATACATATGGCAGCCCACTTTTAACTCCAAAACCGAGATGATCACAGACAACCTTTGCACACATTCCAGACCAAATATCTTCCATTGTTTCCCACCTCAACTTTCCCTCTCCAGCCAACCTCAAAGCTGGAAACAGAGCTGGCCCGACCAACTCGCGGTCGAAAGCAATGTTGATTCCACTCATAGGCATTAAGGCCCTAGCTGGAACAGTCAGCACAGCGTCCACATATCGTGAGTTCCTCTGCTCTGGTTTGAGAGCTTGTGTTGGTGCGTCGTAGTCAGCCAAATTGAGCCACAGTCCACATGACAGAGCACATTGAACTCCACTCCGCAGGCTAAATGGGTAGCCACGAACAAAGTCTGCTCCCTTTCGGTAAGGATCATAAAGTGTGTTGAAAAAGAAAGGAGTGGCCGGAGTTGTCAGGTTGGCAGCATGTTGGGCCACGATATCCACTAAAGATCCATCCTTGTCTTTGGCTGGGAAACAATCATCATCAACAGAGACAATGTACTTATTCCGGGATACAAGGAAGCCAAAATACCGACAAGAGTAACCATAGAAGAGAATCGAAGAGGAACCCACCAAACGGTCTATGTCACTTTTTGTATAGATATCCACATTAAAGCCTTCTGGTATTTTAAGTTCCTCTTTCAGATCAGGATCTTTGACTATAATCAAGTGGAACCGAGAGAATACCGGTCTCCAATCATTCAAGAACGCCGTCAGGTCAGTGCGGAGGGCGCCAATCACAATGTCAATCTCATCATCCTTGATGTAAATGTTTGAATGAGACATCTTTCGACAAATTTATGAGAGACAACAAAAAGAAAAGTCGTGTGGCCTCCTTCAAGAAGTTGATCTTTGTGCCCAAACGTTATAAATTTTTCTCACACAATTACAATCGCATCTAGAACCTTTCTGAACACCCTGAAACAAAATATGGATGTCAGAAACGAACTGCTAAGATATTAGCTCAAAGCATAAGGCAAAGACATGAAAGTGCAAAAATTATCGATAGGACAACAGAAATTTTCAATTGTGACTTACTGGTAGGAAGTACAGGATCAACAATTGGACGGATATTAAGTGACCGAATTAGTGCAAGGACTTCATCTTTGCCAGTTGCAATGAACAGCTTGAGAACTTTCTCGTTTAGCTTTCCAGCTCTCAACGTTTTCTGGACGTAAGAAAACAATTGCTACGATAGGATATTGACGCTTACTCAAAATATGTAAAAGATCAGAGTAATGGGAAAGAAGGGGCACGAGAATACCTCAGAAAGTTAGAACAATATTTGCACGAGTTATAGGCAAAAGAATCAACAGAAGATAAATGTATCCACGGCAGGAAGATCAAAGTTCAGTGTTGTGTGGGTTTTCTTTTTCCTTTTTTTTTTTTTTAATTTATATTTTATTTTTAAATTGACTTGGAATCATATTTCTGAAATACAATAGAGCCTAACGTCCAAACTTCATATTTAAATTGTGGTTGCAGATTTAGCATAGTAATAAATCCACACCTAATTTCTGAAGTTGAGCTCTAGAATTCAAATCTCCCAAATTTCCAATCCTAATAGCCTTCTTTGGTTTTTAAAAATTAGAATCTAATACCTAATTTCCACCATTTCGTTTTTTAATTGAGAATCTCCAATGTCAATTCTATATAACCAACCCATCAATTGGCAACAAAAGTCAAAGCTTCCATAGGAACCTATTTAATATCTGGGTAATGAACTCCTCATTTCCCGATCAAGGGAGAGAAAAAAAAAAACCCATTTCGCCCATCTCAAAATACAGTGAAAAGTTCCGTTTAAGGGCGGATATAGAAACATGTCCAAAATAAACAAACACTCGAATCGATAAAATTTCAAGAAATTCACAAACCCAGAAAGAACAAGGAAAGAAAGATTACCAGGAAAAGGTCGAGAAGGATGTGCTCAGGAAGAGGAGAGAGATCAGAGATGTTGGAGAGATTGAGGAGAGCCGAGTCAACTGTGAGAGAGAGCAGAGATGGCGGAGTTCTCATTCACTCCTTCACATATATGCGTGCATATAAAAACAAAAAAAATAAAAAAAAAATAAAAAAATTATACTATCATTCTCTCTCCATGTCTCGCTCTCTCTCTCTCTCTCTCTAAAAATAAAAAGAGAGAAAAGGTCAAATGAGTTCGTCCTAAAATTGCAGACACCAGATCCTTCGGATGGCTTTTCTTTCTGTGTTACAACTGTGGTTCGTTGTGGTCTCTCCGTCTCTGGCTTACAGCAAGACCGACACCCTTCTTTGATCGTTTCGTTCTTTTTATTTTTATTTTTATTTTTTCTTCACGTATGTTATTTCCACACGTGTCTATCGTTGAGAGATAGGCATTCATTTTTCTCTTTCATTTTTTCGTATTATCTCAGATTTAATTAATGAGAAAATTTCATTTTTGTCTCATCCGTTATATGAAAATTTGAGTTTTGTATCTTTTATTTTTGAAAATTTCACTCGATATCTCGATATTTTAGAAAAAAAAATTTTGATACCTCAAAATTATTTTTGAGACATAAAAAGATAAAATTACTCGTATTGAAAAAAGAAGTAAATAAAAAAGAAAAAAAAGAAACACATAAATGAAAAACAAAACGCAAATGTAGGATTTTGAAGAAAGAAGTAGGCTTTTTAATGGATTTTTGGGTGTTTGGTTATAGGTATAATAATTTTTAAAATTCTTTTTTTCCCTTCAAAATTCTTGTCAACAGGTAAATTTTTATAATAAGGGTAGTTTTGTCTTTTTGTGTCCTAAAAAATGGCTCCGAGGTACAAAAAAAGATATTCTAAATGGTTGAGGTATCGGCATGAAATTTAAAAAAATGGAGGGTACCAAACATAAATTTCGATATAACAAATGGTATCAAAATAAAATTTTTCCTTAATTAATTTTCATTCAATGACATGTTGTTCTAAAATTTAAAGGTGTAAAAACGATAGGTCGTTCAATTTTGAGAACTGCATGTGGTTCTATTTTCAAGGTAGCATGTCGTTTTGACGAACACGCCATGATTATTTTACAAGAGACATGATAAATTAGGGTTGTACAAAAAATCGTCAACCAAGCGAAACCGACAACAACTAACCGAAAAAACAAGTGTCACGTCATGATCGAATCGTGACGGTTGGTTAACCGAACCAATACTTGTGTGTCTCAGTTCGGTTTCGGTTTCAATTTTCCGATGGCAGACTGTTAACCGAAATCAAAAATCCATAAGAGTTAAAAATAAATTTTAAAAAATATTCTAAAAATACTTAAAAGATACACACCTAACAATTAGGGTTTTCTTTCCCATTTACTCATTCCCTCTTTCTCTAACCTTTGGAAGCATGGTGACATTTTTGTGAAGTTTTTAAGTGTCAAAATCAAGTTCTTTGGACAGAGGAGAAACTGTCAGTTAACTGTTAGAACCGAACGGAACCGAATTGACCGAATTTAGCGGTCCCGTTGATATTTGATTTTAATACCCCTGTTGGACGATTTCAGTTGCAGTTATCTGCAAAAATTGAAAATTTAAACCGACCAGTGTACACCCATATGATAAACGATGTTTCCTGTACATAACGAAAGACCGTTGTGTCTAGAGACACGATATGTACACTTCTTTTTTATTTTCAAACGAAAGTCGATCTCTTGGTGGTCGTTTTTTCGCCCAAACAAATTGCCATTCTATGTAACCACCTGGAAGTCGTTCAGGTCAAAGCCAAAAAAAAAAAAAAGTCTCATTTGTCGTTTCTATTTATATGAGACAAATAACGTATAAATTATGGTTCTTCCGACAAACGACAAGTCCATTTCTCCACTCGACGAGCCAAAGTTTCGCTTGTCGTTTACCTTGTCAAGTCAATTTCTCGGTTGTCGTTTAGCTCATTTACAAATGATGTGTGATCCCAAGCATAGAAAACAAGACGCGCTGGCTGTTCTCTCCTTAATAAACAATGGAATAATCAAAAACGACATACCCGCATAACAAACGACAATATATTTCGTGAGTTCTTTTTTTCTTTCCCCCCCTTTTTTTTTTCTCCTTCTCCCGGTACAATAAACCTCAACTCCGAGATCCTTATTACGCTTATCCTTTAGAGAATGGGGGTACGTGATCTCAAGGACGACTGTTATTCCTATCTTAGCAAGAACAAGAATCTAAATTACTAGTTGGTCTTACCATTGTCGTTTTGTATACCACGGGCGAACTGAACGACAGGCCGTTTGTACGACAAATTGTAGACAGTTTCCCGATTGTCGTTCGACCGCCTAAAAAACGACACTATCAATAACGAACAGCTCCAGGGTTTCTCACAAACCTCTTCAACCTTTCCGCCAAAGCTAACTAATAAATCTACAAGTAATCGTCAAAGAAACCAGAATAACTAAAAAACACTTATAAACATATTAGCAAATACGTCTTCTCCTGAATGTACCAGAAAACAGAAACCTGAAAAATCTATCTTCCAGCATATAGCAAAGCCCTAAAAGAACCACACAACGCATAATAATTTTCTTATTAACTAACTCCAATGATGGACTTAAGGAACTGAAGTTTGTCGACAACTTCAGCGAGATCAGACGGCTCTTTGAAGGATGCAGGTGGCTCAACGCCAGTGAAGATGTAGAGAGCTTTAAGTTCCTCAATACTCGTCTTTTGAATCGTTGCTTTGTATCCCACTATTTTTCTCAACCCCTCAATTTGTCCCCATATCTTCTCCTCGCTATACACAACCTGAAGCACCAAAAACAATTTCGATATAGTTAGAAATGCCTAAACAATTACAATACTATTTGGTAATGACTAGTTCTCTAATCTGTCCTAAACCACTTCTCTGATGTGAGGTTGTGGAGGGAATTGATTCTGGCATTGACGTCTTTGTAATTCTGTGGAGAGAGTTATGTTTTAATTAATCTCACATCCGACATGCTTAAGGTAAGTTTTTGAGAGTTTATCCTCCTCTTTGGGAAAGAGGAATGGTATGAATTATAGTTCAAATCGGTGACATAAACTGATTATCATCGGAAGGAAAACTCTTCCCAAAAACTTCCCTTAATTAGCCTGTCAGATGAGAGGTTAATTAAACATGACAGTACCAACTTAATTATTTTATTGTCTTAAAAGAGATAAGTTAGGAAAATCAGTTGTTTCTGACCCTGAATTGAATAGGATATGAGTTTCCCGGAAATAATAATGTCAAAGCCCTCAAAACCATCTTAACCATAAACATTTCATCCATCCAATCCAAACTAGAACAAACTTCAACAGAGTGGCATTTACTTTCTGTTCAATGCCACGCAACGTTTCTTAGGGGCCAGGTTTTGTTCCAAGTACCATAAGGACTCCTTTTATGTAATCGTAAATTTTTTTTTTAACACACACACATATATTTATTTTTTCCGACATCTGGTTCATAACATATATCCGGTACAATCCTTGGCTTTGCTTCCACTTTAATCAGTCGCCATTGTTTGGTGTTTTATAAAATGAAAACTGGTCAGACTCCAACATCCAACGTAAATTATTGAACAACAAATAGACTGTTCTGTTATCCCGTTTTGCTAGCAGAGTTAAATCCAACTGATCTCACAGATACTGGAAAAAGGAAAAAGGTAGAACTAGCTAGGGAGTACTTAAATCCCGAAAATCACATACTTGAAAAGTGTACTAGCTAGATGTTAAAAATCAACATAGATAATCAATCTGCAGTTCAACAAAATTATTGACCACCAAAAACATCAGGGAAAAAGCTACGATCATGAGAAAGTTTTATATTTAAGCCCGTCTATGTGAAACCTTCTGCTGCTGCGGTGGTGGCTGCTTCTTTTTCACATTCTTCTTCTTCTTTGCCTAAACATAATATGAGATGCAAATACTAGTCAAGTAAAATGAACTAAAATGAGAGTCGCCGAGAGTTATGCACAACACATGAAACCTCAAGGCTCTCAAGTACATAAGAATTTCACATTTTGTTGATCATTCAATTACTATGAAGTTTATCTTTAATGAGACTTCTACGCTGCCGTATTCTATTGTAAACAAAGTTAGATTTGTACAAGATTCAGTAAGTTTTGCATACTTTTTTATTTTGATTTGATTTCGCTCGTCAGAAGTACTATCTGTAAGACTACCACAGAAAACTCCTATCTCTAATTAGAAATATAGAAAACAAAAAACGAGTTAAAAAAAAAAAAAACAACTCCACACCTCATTGGAAGGAGTAGTTTGCACCTCCTTTTCAGAAGAAACTCCAGCATCTTTCGTCTCCTTTGCCCTATGTGAAACAGGAAGCTCAGTAGCACCTGCATTTTGATCTCCCTTGGAAGTTTCTGCAAATACATATACAACATCAATATTGTGCATACGTAAATATATACATACACACACACACATATATATGTATTATCAGATGGGTCTGACCAAAAACAATATATAGTACTAACAAATAATAATCAGATTAGATAATTTAATTACCTTGAGAAGTTTTCTCAACATTATCAGCTTTTCTCTCATCCTTGATCTCTTCAATCAAACTCTTGGTCTCTCTCTTCATCTCCTCCTCCGAAACGCCATTCTCTCTCTCTTGACCCCCATTTTCCTCTATCACAATTGTTGTCACTTCAACTGTGGCCTCCCCATTTTCTTCACCACCCTCAGTCACATCCAAAACGACACCTTGTACAATCACCGGCTCTTCTTTCCCACTCTCATCCACCAACGGCACTTCTTCCTTGGACACCACAACATTTTCCTTGTCCTTTTCCTTTTCAACATCTAAACTATCCTCACTAACATCTTCCTCGTGCCCATTTTCCTCCACAGCAACATCTTTATCTCCCAAAACGTCGTCGTTTTTAACGCCCTCAACCGATTCGATCTTCCTCTTCACTCCTCTATGGATATCCTCATCAGTTATTTTCTCTTCCTCTTCTTCTAGTTCGTCTTCAGATTCCGGCATTGGGAGCAACTTACTCATGAGCTTCTCGGAGCAAGCGTAGCTTGCCAAGAAGATCCCAGACGGGAGTGAAACGACAAACCCAATTGCCGAAATCACCAGAAGCGGTGGAAGAACAAGCGGTGCTGAGGAAATCACCAAACCACTCAAGAATATTTTCTTCCCAAGTCCAAGACTCTTGTTCAATATCCAACTAATCCTCCCTTCATTTCCTTCTGCTCTGTACTGTTGAATCCGCCACTCCTCCTTCGGCTCCTCCATCCTTTATATACACCAAACAAATTAATATAGGCATGAAGAACGCAAAAAAATAAAATAATAATAATAATTACTAACACATGACACCACTATAAGTTTAGATCCCAACACCAAGTTCAAAAACTTTATAATTTAAGACTAGTTCATTTCACAAATTAAAATTTTTAATTTTAATTTTACAACAGTTAAAAATTAATTCTCATAAAAATTACATCTAATTTTTTTTATTATTATAAAAAACTCTAGATAAAATCACATTTTAACTCAAATTAAAAATTAAAATCCTCTAACTGAATGAAGGAGAACTTAGTTATTCAACCAGATAATTTGAACCAAAATTTGAATTTGTATGAAAAAAATATAACTATAACAGAACCATTAAAATCGAGGTCTGATCCTCTTTACCAAACAAGCACTAAAAGAAGCTATACTTGTATGTAAGTTGATTCATGGGATGAGAGATTTTACCTGACTGAAACAGCTCTATATATCTTCTTTAGCTACTACTGATGACTAGTTTGGTCACAAGATTTCATGGCAAAATAAGCTCAGGAGAGAACCAAACTTTGTTGAGAGGCTCTTTGTCGGTGAAACTAAACCACCAAAAAGGGTTTTGTTCGAGGGTTATAAGCTTGCAGAGAAAGAGGAGAGGAAGGAGATTAGGAAACGGAAAGAATCTATTAATGACACGCGTTGGGAAGAGGGCATTGACAGTTGCAGGCTAAGCAGAACATGTAGACTGTTTATAGCGGCCTTTTTAACAGTTTTGGCTTTTTTGTTTTTGTTTTTTTGTTTTTTTTTTGTTTTTTTTTGGGTTTTTGCATGCGACATGCAAAGTGGATATTGAGTGCTTTGATAAGTTTTAGGCGTTCCGCATTTCAACGTGGCCACTGTGCACCGCTCCACTTGTTCTAGGCCGCACCACCGTCCACTGTGACTATGACACTTCATATGTATATGTCGTTTTTCTTTCTTTTTTTGTTCAAACGTTTTTCTTTCCACAAAGTTTTTTTTTTTTTTTTTTTTTTTTTTTTTTTTTTTTTGGTCCCCAAAATTTTTTTTTTTTTTTTTTTTTTTTTTTTTAATTTAGTGGTTACATCATAATCATGTCTCATCTCAATATAATTGACATGCGAATAAGATAAGAATTTCATTGTAAGTATGAGTTTTTTTTTTTAATCATTTAATGACAATTAACCTTTTATGTGGTCGTATTTCACAACGCAATAAACTCTCACAGTCCTAATTTTTAGTTGACAATTTGACAATTATGAAATGCCATGTATCTAATTATTTTTCCTCTTCTAAGTTCTGTTAAGTGACAAAGTTATTTCAAGGATTTTTTTTGCACTATTTAAAAATTTATTACTGTTAAAAGGTTAATTTGGAAGAATGAAAAGAACGAGGTAAATATTTAAAAGAAAATATAAAAGAATGTTCGTTTTTATTGTGGAAAAAAGAATTAATAAGGAATAATAAAGATTTATGTAATCTGATATTCGAAAGAATAGTTAGAATTAACAATTTAGCAAAAAAAATTTTATGTTTTTGGAAAATCTAAATAAATTCCCTTCAAGTGAAAGAGATAATAAATTTGTGTCCTTTTTTTTTCAAAATAATTTCTCAGATTTTTACCGAGTTATAAGGTTCACATTCTCTAATTTTCACTATTTTTTAGGGTTGGGCTTCAGTGAGGTTGGGCCGTACTTAGTGAGACAGCGCGGTTGATCTGGGCTTCGGGATCAACTGTGGTTTGTTGGCTCGTGGCTAAGTCGGTCGCTCGGCTTCCATTTCAGTTGGAACTTCCAGCACTCAAAGTCAAACCGTCTCTCTGAGAAATCGAATTTGCAGAAAAATTGAGAAGAAACCATGAAAATCGTCCGTAAGGACCTTGTCCCAGACGGACCGGGAAGCGTCAAGGTTTTCTATTTACCATTGTTATTTCCGAATTTTCTTTTGTCGAAACTTTGTGTAATCTCGAAATTTGTGATGTTTCAGATGGTACCTGTGGATTCGGATGATTTATGGTATGCCTATAACTTGATAGCTCCTGGGGACTCTGTGATGGCTGTAACTGTGAGGTATCTCCTATTTTTTCTATTAGTTCTTCCAATCTCGATATTTCCTTTTCAGTTGGGAAGAAATCACATGCTCGATTATTTGTTGTTATGGCCTGATTAATTCTGAATCGTTTTAATTTTTGTTGGGTAAATTTTCGAGAAAATATTTACAATGGATTTTTTTTTTTTTTTTAAATATGGGTAAACAAAACTAATTGTGAAATGGAAGAAGCCGCTGAGTTCAATACTTGAACTGGGATATTAGGAATTTATTGGCAGTTTGTAATTTGGATGACAAAAACTATGTACCTTTTATAACAGGAAAGTTATTAGAGAAGCGGCTTCTGGTGGAAGAGATGCAGAGCGTGTAAAGCTGAAGTTGGAAATTAAAGTTGAAGAGGTACTTGAAAAGATTTACCTTAATGTCTATGATTGTAAGCTAGTTTGATGTAATGGTATATTCTATATTAAAAAGCTATATATGCATGTTTGATTTTAAATTTTTCTCAAAAGGCAGTTTTTATTTTTTATCTGATATATTTTTTTCCTGATGTGTTTTTGTTCTTTTAGGTTCCAGATTATGACAAGGTGGGTTCTGTCTTGCGTATACGTGGAAAGAACATCCTGGAGAATGAACATGTAAAGGTAAATATTGCGGTAAAACCCATATGCGGGTTCTGATTTTTTGCCAAATCTTACTTATCAGTGTCTCATTGCAGATAGGAGCGTTCCATACTTTAGAACTTGAGCTGAATCGGCCTTTTGTATTAAGAAAGGTGTGCTTCTGTTTTCAGTATTCCGTATCTATATGGTTTCATAATCTTGCTTTTGTCCACCTAATTCTTTATCGGTTGCTCGCGCGTTGTCTTCTTACACGTTTTTTATGTCTTTTCTACCAGAACCAGAAAATATCATGTTAGTTGTATTGCCAATACGTTATATTTCTTTTATATGCTCATGTGGGCTCTGCGATTTACTACTCTTCATTACTGACTTGTCGCATATTATGTACGATATGTTTCAGGATTTATGGGATTCATTGGCGTTGGATGTACTTCAACAGGCTTCTGGTACGTTGTTAATCCTATAATTTTTCAAACTTTGTCTATTAAAGTTAAGCTTTTATTGATGCCTAGAGGGTTCTTGGCGCAGTCTTTGTTGTATATATGCTTGAGTAGTGAAACGTAATTTGTTAAGCGTGAAGAATTAAGTCAAGCATTGATTCCTTGTAAGTTCTATTTGCGTTGCAGATCCTGCTGCAAGTGCGGATCTAGCTGTTGTCTTAATGCAAGAAGGATTATCACATATTCTGCTTGTTGGTAAAAGGTATTGTGACCTTGTTGTGGATACTGTTTATTTTGCTGTGCTGAGTTTTGATCCATGCACAAATTTTTATATTACATCAACCCCTCCCCTTAACTGGTAACTTTGTGCGGGCAAAATGCTAAAATAATATGACATATGAAATCCCTTAAGACTGGTATTGAAAAGCTTTGTTTTTTGGGCCTTTTCCATTACAATGTTGGAGTAGAATGTGCACTGGTTAATACTGAGCTATCTTTTCATCATGCACGGTTCATTATTATCATTTGTTTGTACTGATAAAATCACATGGTACAGCTAACTAATAGCGCTGCAACTGCAGTATGACAACTACTCGTTCACGGATAGAAACTTCAATACCACGCAAGCATGGACCTGCTATTGCTGGTTATGAAACGGTACTTCTTGCTCCTCTCTCTCTCTCTCTCTCTCTCTCTCTCTTATTATTTATCCTGGATCAATTCTATTGCGAACTGCTTAACCCAAAGAGTTGTTGCACAAGTAGTTGTGAAAGATTTCACATTCACTAACACCATATCTCTTTGCAGGCATTAAATAAGTTCTTTGAGAATGTCTTACAGGTAACCTTGATTTATTTCTAACTACATGCCTTTTTAATTTTATCGTGGTATTCGCAAGCGTGAAATTATGGGAAGGATCTGTCATATCTAAGAAATTTGGCCTCTTATTTTTTAGGCATTTCTGAAGCATGTTGATTTCAATGTCGTTCGATGTGCTGTGATTGCTAGCCCAGGTTTTACAAAGGTCTGTGATCAGTCTTGATCTATTTCACCTTAGTTTCAATCAACTTTGGTTGCTAGCATTTTAATTAATCTATTATGTGTAAGTTAACAACTTATGGAATTAGATTTAGAAATAAGTAGAAAACTCTGTGCACTATTGGTTTGTTTTAATGTGTTTCAGGATCAGTTTCATCGTCACTTACTATTGGAGGCGGAGAGAAGACAACTGAGACCCATTATTGAGAACAAGTCGCGCATAATTCTTGTGCATACAAGCTCAGGATACAAGTATGGTCATTTTATTAGTTTGGTGCCATGTGCTCACATTTCTTGCAAAAACTGAGATACTTAGTCAAATCATCCGTTCTTCCACGATACTTATTTTATATATTTTTAGTGGGATGGTTGAAATCTGAAATATAGTCAACGTTTTGTATTTGTTGAGTTGGACAGTTCCACAAAATCAGCTGTAGGGCATTTGTTAATATTATAATTCATTTGACGCTCCTTTTTTTTATTATTATTTTTTTATTTTCAGTTATTTTTGCTCGTAATATTTGAGATCATATTTGCTACACAGGCATAGTTTGAGAGAGGTTCTGGATGCTCCCAATGTCATGAATATGATCAAAGATACTAAAGCAGCACAAGAGGTATTTTACCCAGTTTGGTTTACTTTTTTGCTGGTTTCCTTTTGTTAACAAGTCGTAGTAGGCCTTTTTTCATTCGTGTTATAGTTATTTTTAGGTATTTCTATATGCATCCAACAAAAAGAAAAGAAAAGACAAATCTTATCCGACTTTGATTGGCTAACCCCACAACTCTTTAACTTCTTTTCTTCAGGTCCGAGCTCTTGAGGATTTCTTCAGCATGCTTTCAAATGTCAGGTTCTTTTTATTTTAATTATTATATTATTTTTAAATTTAGAACCTGTGAATGTCATATTATACATTTTATTATAGAGTTTTCCTGCTCTAGTAATCTATGGAAAATGATCGAAAACTTTTATTTTCGCGAAATATTTAAATGATATTACAATAAATTATCATTCACTGTGTGGTTTTCATTTTCCTTTTTCCTTTCTGAAAATGAAAGGAATTTTCCATAAAGATTTAGGTTGTAATTAAATTGTTGTCTGAGTTGGATAGGATCCAGCTCGAGCATGTTATGGACCCAAGCATGTTGAGGTTGCCCATGAGCGCATGGCTGTTCAAACACTGCTAATCACAGACGATCTCTTCAGGTTAGTACTATTAAAGATGGTATTAAGTATTAAGTTTGGGATCTCATGCAGGCTAAATGGAATATTTGTGTTACTAATGATAAATAAACTCATGGACACGTGATTTATATTTTATACTGGGTTGGTAGTACTAAGCATAGTTTTTTTGTCTTTTGTTTTTTTGTCATTGATTTTATCTTTTTCAACATATATGAACTTGACTAACAAAATTCAGGTGTTTGGTGGTTGCCTCCTTTTATTTTCTTATCTTTAACCAGAGTACATAATTTAACTTTTAAAAGTTTTATTTAACACGAGTTTCTTGGTGGGCAGGAAGGCTGATATCGCAGCCAGGCGAAAGTATGTCAATTTAGTCAAGTCAGTGAAGGATTCGGGTGGTACTGTCCATATATTTTCATCTTTGCACGTCTCCGGAGAGCGTGAGTATTACTATTCTGAACCTTTAATTTCTTGTTTCGTTGTAATGGCATATGGCTGAAAAGCTATATTAAAGACTTGAATTTTCTTTTCAATGGATTGGGGTCGAAAAAGAGTAATTTATTTTGCAAGCTACTTTTACACTGGCAATTTCTTGTAAACCATTTTGGTTCAATCTTAGGAATGCTGATATCGCAGCCAGGCGAAAGTATGTCAATTTAGTCAAGTCAGTGAAGGATTCGGGTGGTACTGTCCATATATTTTCATCTTTGCACGTCTCCGGAGAGCGTGAGTATTACTATTCTGAACCTTTAATTTCTTGTTTCGTTGTAATGGCATATGGCTGAAAAGCTATATTAAAGACTTGAATTTTCTTTTCAATGGATTGGGGTCGAAAAAGAGTAATTTATTTTGCAAGCTACTTTTACACTGGCAATTTCTTGTAAACCATTTTGGTTCAATCTTTCTAATTATCACATGAATTAACAGAACTGGCGCAGATAACTGGCATTGCAGCAATCCTTCGTTTCCCTCTTCCAGACTTGGAAGATATAGAGATGTGATGAAACACTACATGAGAAAAATCTCGATCTTGTCATTACATCCGGTGAATCAACTGTATATGTTCTCCTCAGTTCTCCATGTATATTGTGAGCAGTGGTTGAGCGATAGGTTGAGAAGAAACCTGCATAATGGTTCAGTCATTTGCGTGTTTGCTTTTTTGTGTCTTTTTCTTCTTCTTCTTCTTCTTTCACTTGAATGATTGGTTGTTGTTGCTTTTGCTGGCAACTGATCCGTTGTATGTGATTCTTTGAACTCAATTGTTTAAAAGGATCTTTAAGGTGTCGCATAATAACCAATACAGAGCTTTCAACAATCGAGTATCATTGATTACACATATCCAGAACCTGTAGTTTTATTAATCTCCTCGTATTATTTGTATTACCGCGGGAGTTCATAGTACGTACAAACGCAAGTTAGAAATCTCTGAAAAACTTGTGTTTTGCTGTTATGAGCTTGTGCATGTGCTATAACCAATGAGTGCTTTTCAAGGTTCATAATGTTGTTTAGTGAACCAAAAAGCTTTGATATCAATTGGTTTGTTCTCTGTGAAGACTCCAAACTTATATCTTATATTGAGCATGACTGATTTATTTACTTTTTTTTTTTTCCGTTTCTTTTTACAAGACAGAGAAAATCACACACTAATTCCACTAGTCTCCACCGCTTTGAAGTAATAAGTAAGGGTGTATTTAGTATATAGATTTAGAATTATAATTTTGAATTATGATTCAGAATCAGTTTGTTTACAGTAATTTTGATTATAATTTTAAATTAGTGTTTGGTTTAGATGATTTTGAATCATGATTTTAAATTTGATGTGATGTTTTAAACTAGTTTAAATCATGATTTTAAAACCACCCGCTCTTGATTTAAAGTTATTCAAATTCTTGATTCTGAATTATAATTTTAGAATCATAATTTAAACTTAAAATTATGAATCATAGTTCTGATTTCAGAATCATAATTAGAATTATCTTAATTTAAATTTTCGTACTAAACATACCCTAAGAACTTATAGAACGCTAGTGTAATTTTTTGTTACAAAGATGTTGGTCGTTTCGCAAGGTCGTACATATGTCAATATGAGGAATATGTTAGTGTTGATTTCTTTGGCTGGATTACAACGCGCAGCCAAACCAACCTCTTCAAATTTGTAGCATATTTGTAGAAGTTTCCTCTCGCTTTTATCGTGTTGGTTTTGCTTAGCTTCTTATTTCTTGGGGCTAATTCTGATTTTTTTTTTCCTAATGTGTTCATAAAAAGAAAGTTTTGTTACCCAAAAAGATGGAATTTCTTTCATAGTTTCTAAAAAAATAAATTACCGTAGTCCTTTATTTTTCAACTGTCAGATTTACATTAAAATTTATATATTCAGCATATTTTTTTAATTTGATGTAATTTGAATCAAATCTAATAATTAAAAATTGTAATTAGTAGGTTGGCCTACCGTAAAAAAAAAAAAAATATATATATATATATATATATATCAAATAACATAATTGGATAATCAATAATGTGAAAAAGAAAACGTGCCCATACAAATAATAAAACGTCGTCATTGGTTTAGTCGTTTTCTCATCTATTTTCGGTTTATTGTTAAATGTCGTTTTCTTACTGGTCTGCTCTCCTGCCGTTATTTGCCCATTTCCATTTGTCCACGTTTCAATATTATTGTCGTTTTGAATTCTATATTTATTGTAGTTTATGTCGTTTTACATTTACTGTCGTTTCGATTTTATGGCATTTTCATGAACGATGTCGTTTTGATCGTCTTCTTAATGGCTCAAGGTCGCCGTAGGTCTTAGTTCTCAGTTCCTTCTTACTTGGCCGTCAATGGCGACCCACAAGATCCTCCGCCGTCTCCGTCCCTCAATTCCCACAACCTACCTCTCCACTCTCTCTCATTCTCGTCAATACCACCTTCTCACAAACCCGAACCCTAATTCTACCACTCTCCTTAATCCTCTCCATCCCTTTTCCCACCTCGACAGACTAACTCTCCCGTCAAGAACTGCGAATTCACTCGCCGGAGCTCTCGGTCCGTTCTACTCTCGATCGATTTTCACTCGCGCCGACGACGATTCAGAGTTTACAGAAGCCGGTGGATTCGATGTCGACTCGATCACTAAGTTGACTGAGTTGGTTCCCGAGTCGAAGCTTGTCGATGCCGGCTTATCTAGTGCCGGCGAAGAATCGATCCTTCCGGTTCGTGCGCTCATTTCCTTGCTTGATGGCTTCCATGAATTCACTGGCTTGCCATGGTGAGCTTTATTTTGATTTTTCTCCTAAAAGTTCTTTGCTTTATTTACAGATTGCTTTATAGTTTGTTCAAAATTCCTTCATCCATTTTGTTGTTGTTTACTAACTTGAAAACGATCATAGGTGGCTAGTTATTGTTTCCTCCACAGTAGCTCTCAGAGCTACTCTGTTCCCTCTGCTTATCTTCCAACTTCACAAGTTAAAACGAATTGGAGAATTATTTCATAAATGTGAGTTCTTTACTTTGCACTTTATTCGATTTTTTTTTTATTTTTTTTATTTTTTTGTGAGCTAATTACTTATAGTGTTTGAAATTAACTTCCTTTTGGTTCTAACAATCTCTCATAGTGCCTTCTCCAATACCACTGCCTCTTTCAGGAAAGAGTTACATTGATCAAATTCAACTCTTTCAGAAGGAAAGAAAAGCAGTTGGGTGTCCCTCATTCTTATGGTTCTTTCCGTACGTCTGTGTCCAGGTATTTCTGTTCTTAGATTATTGGATTGATATTAGTATATAACAACTTCCTTTCCGAATATATTACCTTTGACAATGAATTCATTTCCAGGTCCCATGCTTTATCTTGTGGATGACAACTATACGAAGCATGTCGCTGGATCATCACCCTGGGTTTGATAGTGTAAGACTTTATATATTTACTATGATGCACGCATACATTCATCGTAAAGTTCACTAAGAATTTGACTAAAGTTCACTATTAAAGTTGAGTTTCAATATTTAGGGCAATCCACCCTAAAGTTCACTAATTCCTTATACTCTTAAAGTTGGAAACCATTTTTTTTTTTTTCGGTTATGCAATTGTTTTCATAAGGGAAGCTGTATAAACGTACAATGTATTTACAAATTTGTTTGATCAACGTGAACGTTTTGCGGCATTCATTTCAGGGTGGCACTTTATGGTTCCAGAATTTGACTGAATATTCTCATGGTGCTCCAGGCGTCATATTTCCTGTAGTAATTGCTGCTTTGCACTATACCAATGCTCAGGTATTGCTTATGACGGATTAGAAATATGAAAGTTATATATGTTCTCACTATTTCCCCCCTTTCCACCTCCCTTTTTGGTGAACAGGCTTGAATTCCATGAGCCATGAGGGTTTCTCGCCCTGCGTTAACTAGTAAATATAGATTCTTTGATTGATGTCATATTCTGCACAAGTGGATCGTGGCATATGTTAGTTAGAACACTGATTTGAAAGAGCATGGCTGATCTGTGATTATTTAACTTTTCAGATTGCTTTTCGGACATCTTCCGTTAAAAAAGCAACTGGCCTACTTGACGTGTTAGTAAAAGTAAGTAGACAATTGTATTAGTTATAATTTGCTATGAGATTGCTATGTTATGATATCTTTTCTCCTCAATAAAATCTTGTTAGTTTATGTATTTCATAATTAGTATAATTGCAGTGGTCTTTTAAATGCGGTTAAAGTATTTTACTTCCTGAAAATGATTTGAGCTGTCAACCTCGTGCAGTACTACAAGCACTATCTGGATTTCTTGACGCTGCCTATGTTTTTTACTTGTTACTACTTTTTACCCCAGGTAATTTAAACTTAGGATCTGTTATATATATTGCATTACCTGCTCTCTCTGAGGCATTGCATCAAGATTGTATTGGGCTATTAACTGAGAAAAGGCAGTAATGTAATCTGATATAATAAGATTATTGCAGTGACGTGACAAGCCTAAATAATTTGGGAAACTAAAAAATAGTTAGACCCAGGTTTCCACTATTTGTATACAAGCAATCTCCCTTCGTTTATTTTTTCATTTTTTTTATTTAGGCCCCCTTCGTTCTGCAGGGAAGGTTTTCTAAAATGCATGTGTCATTGTACAAAAGTCTAATATTACTAGAATCTAAACTATAAAGGGGGTATGCAACTTTCCTTTAATCCTTTATTATCGATACTGCTTTCCTGACCATCTCCACTACTAGTACTCTATTACCTTGCCCTGACAAGTTTACAACATGTAAAATGTCTTCATTGTTTTTGCAGGGAAGTCTTGTCTATTGGGCCACAAATGGTTCACTAACTTGTATACAGGTGAATCTTTGCTCTATGTTATCCTTCTCTAAATAGAGAACTAATAAGATACTTTGAGTCTTTAGTTCACAGTTTCTTTGTACTTTTGTAGTGAATTCCTTAGGTTTGTTTTACCAAAACAAAATCTATATTCTATGCATCAGAAGCGAGATTTCTTTCTTAGATTTCAGCAACCACTGCCCTCAATGTGTTCTTAATGTATCTTATCCGAATTGTTAGTTTCTTAGAGCCTTGCTGCACATACAATTCGTGCAAGTTTGATTATAAAAAATTAGTGCTTTCTTGATCGCACATTGCATGATCGCCTTGCAGCAATTATCCCTCAAACATCCTGTTGTACGTGAAAAGTTGGGGCTGCCTGACAAGGATAATTCTAGCTCAGCTGCAGTTTCTGTAGGCACAAGTTCTCCTGCGATAATAGCCTCAAGTAAACCTGAAAAACAGCTAAAAAAATCTGTTGAAGAACTCTCCCCTTTAGAACTGATTTCCGTGAGTGACCTTGAATTCTGATCTTGTAAACTATATTAACATCAGATGCTATTGGAAGTTTTTTCCGTATCTTTATGGTTGAGACTGTTGGCAGCTTTCAGTCCAACTACTAGGAAAAGGAGATGCTGAAAGAGCAAGTCATATGATAAAGTAATTTCTATCTTCTCATCTGAATTTTTCTCTTCTGATTTTTTTTTTTTTTAATTTCTTTGTGTTTGGTAGCAGCTTGTCAATAGCTGCTGCATGAAGTAGTAATGTTATTATTGCAGGTTAATACTTGCCAAGGATCCTGAGTCGGAACACGGTTTGATTCTCATGGGTCAAGCTCTATTGCAGAAAGGACTGCTTGCGGAGGCCATTAAATACCTGGAGCGTGCCATTTCTAAGGTATGAAACTCTGAACGCATATTTGCCTCATGTCGTCTTCACATGTCAAGCTTGCTCTGCATTACGTATCATTGTCTTTGAGAGTAAAAATCACTTTCATCTCTCTGTTACCATAAGAGTTATGGATATGTACGTACACATCTACTTGCTTTTTGAGTAATTTATTTATTAGGATTGGCTCTTGTGCCCTCCTTTTGCTTCTTTTTGAGATTCAGCTCAGAATAGCTCTTTCTTAGTTTATCTCTTTGTTTATTCATTGATCTGAATCTGCTCTCTTGATCATCAGCTCTTGGTTGATGGGTTTCCTACAGAAGTGGAGACCCTTGGTCATTTAATTATTGCATCTCAATGGGCGGGTGCTGCCTATAGTCAGCAGGTGCGCGCACTTTTATAACTTTATATAAAACAGGAGTTAAAGATATTACTTATACTAATGTATACAAATATGGTAGACTTCATTGCTTGGTCTTCTCTTGTACTGTGTATGAGATAGGGAAAAATTGAAGAAGGATTGGTACACTTGGAGAGAGTAGGAAAATTGAAAGAACCAGATGATCCAAAGGTCAAAGGCCATTATTTCGACACATTGCTATTGCTTTCAAGGTATTAAGTGGTGTTATAAGTTAAAGAACGTGTACACCATACTTGATTATTTGCGGTCCTTATTTCCCATGTCTTAAGTTGACGAATTTGCTTTTTCAGTGCTTTATACAATGTAGGTCGCAGGGAAGAAGCTTCAGAGTATCTCCGGTTACTAGTTGCTCATAATCCTGCTTACAGTAAATACTTGGAGCAATGTGAAAATGACGATGATTCTTTTGTCAGCGACCTTGCCAACAGTAGGCGGCGAGATTATTAATGATGCGCTAAACAACTCAAAATTCTTCTTCTTCTTCTTGTTTTTTTTTTCCCCCTTCTTAAATTCCATTTTTACCAGGCATAATAAGCTTGATATTGTGTACCAGAAAACAAAACGATAGAGAAAAATGAAGGGTTGCTATGTGCTTGTTTAAATTAGCAACTCAAAACAATAAAATATGAGAAATTGGTTTTTGCAGTTATACTAGGTTTTATTTATTTATTTATTTATTTATTTATTTTATTTTCTCATAGAGCAGCAAGAGTTCCACAATACACATATACACACATGGAATCCTTCCTTTGCGTGAGTGAGGAAGGGGAGTAGAGAGAGAGAAGGAAGTTGTACATTTTATGTTTTGAGCATCCTCTCTAATTTTGCCTTGTTCAGTAGTATCATCACGTAAAGCCAATCATAAATGTCACTCAAGAACTTCAGATATTTGAATCTCCAGGAGTCGCTGAATATCAAAGTCCCGATAACAACCCAGATTCCAACAGCGTATCCAAGCCCCGTGCTAAAATAAAATCCTTGAGTTATAAAACTATCTTCTTCATCTCCTTGTTCATTGCGAGTAGAGCCTTCTGGTTCTGGAGCCTCGCACTCCTCGAGTGGAAACCCACAAAGTCCAGGATTCCCAGCATAAAAAGCAGCATCTAATCCCAGTTGAGTGCCTTTTGGAATCCTTCCCGTCAAGTTGTTGTTTGACAAGTTCAACAGAGCGAGAAAATCGATCTGAGAAAGGCTCGGAGGAATTTGACCGTACAACCGGTTTCTTGACAAATCCAGGGTAGTCAACTCTTTTAAGTCACCGATGTCACGGGGGATTTGACCCGTCAAGCTGTTCCATGACAGGTTCAAAGAGACTAATCCAGCTAAATGAGTGATTTCCTCAGGAATTTGTCCTGCCAAGGCATTGTTTGAGAGGTCAATGCACTTGAGGAGTCCCAAGATATTCTTGTATTCGTACACTTTGCGTTGCCAATTCACGGATGATTCCGCATCAAAAGTGCTCTTGTAAACACCTTCACTTCCAAGCCCACTTGTGTAGGGAATTCTGATCGTCATATTGGGTTTCTGACTTCTTTCAGTAAGTGCTGTGAGGTTGTTAAGGCATTTGGGAATTTCACCAGAAATGTTGTTCCCAGACAGATCAAAAAGTTGAATGTAAGCCAAGTGACATAGCTTTGATGGTATGCTTCCAGAAAAGTTATTCGATCGAAGGCTAAGGACGATCAAAAAATCCGGAAATCCATCTCCTATCCATTCCGGTACTGGTCCTGAAATTTCATTTCCTCCAAGATCAAGAACTTGTAACTTGGGGCAAAACCAAGACGCAGGCAATTCCCCAAAGAACTTGTTGTTGCGTAATTGCAATGCTTGAATATTCCCCAAAGCCCCCATTGAGGCAGGAATCTTCCCAGATAAATTGTTGTTGGCGACATCAAGAATGACTAGATATCTGAAAAGGCCCCAACAGTCTGGTAACTCTCCTGACAATTGATTATTTGAAAGATCGACAAACGTGATCTCCGGCAAGCTTCTACCCGTGCATAGGAAAGAAATAGGCCCCGATAAGTTATTATTGGAGAGGTCCAAAGATTTCACATTCGATAGAAATGATGGAATTGGACCTTCCAATTGATTTGAACTCAAATTTAGTTCAGGCAAACTTGGCAAGTCTATTGACAAATTTGGTAATCTTCCACTAAGTTGGTTGTGAGAGAGGTTGATTCGGCATGATTTGGAAGATAAAAGAGTCCATAACCAAGTAGGAATGGTTCCGGAAATGGAAGCATTAGAAATGTCAAGCTCAGAATAGTTGTTTTGAGTTTGAATCCATTTCGGGAAACGACGTCCTAAATTGAGAGAACTCGCTTTTATGGTGTCCAACTGAAAGGGAGGAACCCAATCATCAGTGAAGTTTAAAAGTAAGGAGTTGGAAGACAAGTCCAAATACCTCAACTTCGAAAGCTTCGAGAAATGAGATTCGGAAATAACACCTTTCAGAGAATTCTCACCAACATGAAAAACCTCTAGCTCAGTGAAGTTTCCAATAACTTCTGGTACCGTTCCACTTAAATAGTTGTTACCAAGATCCAAAACTTTTAACGAAAGTCTTGTACTGTTGAGGAATAGCTCCATAGTTTCATTGGAGCTAGGACTCAAAGATACTGATGAATTTCGGGAACATTTAGACAACGTTTCAATAAACGTGTCGAGCTGTCCGCTAATTCGATTTCCCATTAGATACAACTCCCTCAAACTACATAGATTTCCAAAAGACTTGGGAATCCCACCTTCAAGTTGGTTGTTGCTGAGATCAAGAAATTGTAGAAGATTCATGTTGCCAAAAGCTTCAGGAATCACACCATTTAGCTGGTTATTGGAAACATTAAGATAGAAAATCTTGGTACTACTATGGCTGAATAACCATGGGAATATTGAAGAGGTCAAATAGTTTCCATGAAGATCAATTTCTTCAAGGATGGGTTGAGAATTTGAATAACTTGTGTGGGAAAGTGATGAGACAGTAGGAGCAGGAAGAACACAGCCACCTAATCTTAAGGTTCTTAGCTTAGGAAGCCCATTTATGGTTTGTAACCAATCATGGGATTTACTCAGATTAAGTAGGCTTAGATCAAGATATTCTAAAGAGGATAGATTAGAAAGCCATTTGAGGTTTTGGACTTGAGCATAACTATTGCCACTGAGATCAAGATATTTTATGTTGAAAAGATTTCCAAGCTCAGTCGGAATGGCACCACTTACATCGGTGTTGGAGAGATCGAGGTACCTTAAATTACCGAGAAAACCGAGGAACGGCGGGATTTGGCGAATGTAATTAGAGCTGAGGTTCAAACTCTCCAACTGCTGCAGCTCAATCAGCGAACGGTTAATCGCGCCTTGTGCAAGCGAGTAACCGATGACTTGTTGAGGCGGAATGTGAATTGCAATCACATGGTTTGTTTGATTGCTGCAATGGACACCTTCCCATTTGCAACAATCTTCTTCAGTCAGCCAAGGAAGCCAATTAGACGAGCTGCTCTGAAATAAGGAGACCAGTGCTTGTCTCTCTTTATCAATGCACCTAATCTGAGGATCGCCAACTTTTGTGTTCACTAACCCAAATACCAGTTGTATTTGCAGTAACAGCACAAGAAATATTGCGCGTGGAAGTTTAAGAGACCATCCACTAGTTGGCAACATCTTGTGGAGTGGAGGCAATACTACAAACAAGTTTTGTTCAAGATTAAAGAAAGCAAACAAAAAGGAGCCAGAAAAATCAAGAGTTTGATAAGAAAAGTTTTTGAGGCATCAGAACTAGCAATAGTATTATTGTTGGCACTTGGCGCATAAATATATATACACATATATATAGTTGTTTCAGCTCTTATAATTGGAAATAATTTCTATTCGGCTCAAAAGTCCAAATACACTAGTATAAAAGAGTTTGCTAAGAAAAGTTTTTGAGGCATCAGAACTAGCAATAGTATTATTGTTGGCACTTGGCGCATAAATATATATATACACATATATATAGTTGTTTCAGCTCTTATAATTGGAAATAATTTCTATTCGGCTCAAAAGTCCAAATACACTAGTATAATTGACTTGGACTTGGCAAACATTTTTCGAGCTCTATAATACCATTTTAACAGATAATGATTGGGTCAAAGTCGTTGTCGATGTTTTATAGAGTTTCAATTACTCGGCAGTTTGTGTTAATAGTTGGAATTTGTTGAAAGTAAGAATTTAATTATGGTGATTAACTTCAAAATCTATAGCAGTTCTCGATAAAATCGTACATGCATTTTGGAGCTTCTGGAGACTAGAAAGCAATTCCATTGCTTAGTGTTCATGGCACAGCCATGGTTCACAGTGAAGGGCCGATTCTCATCTTTGACTGCAAAAGCATTTAAATTTAAGAACCCATTTCTAGAAAATGGCGAAATTAGTTTATTGAAGAATATATGGTACGGTATAAAAGACGGTAGAATTGAGTATGATACAGTTTTGACTGTCTAATTATATTAAAATCGAATCAATTTAAAAAAGTATGATAATTTTAACATAACTTAACGATATCTAATGGTTTATAATTATATCTTATCGGAGTATTTTTTTTCCTTTTACTCTAACGTTTGGTTGGAAGATTCAAACGATGATTTGAATCATGATTTATGATTCGCTATAGTGTTTTCTTTCACAAAAAATACACATAAATTAAAAATAGTTCTAATCACAACCAAACATTAATTACAAAAGCAACAAATCAAGAAAAGTAATATATTACAGGACAAATCATTGATTAGCCGGCTAAAAATTTTAGCAAGAAAATAATTTATTACTATAAATTTATGTAATGCCGGCCACAATTGACTATTACTTAAAGTAGGTTGTTAAATCCAACCATAATTAACTCCAATTCTGTGAAAAGGAAAGGAAGTTTACACATATATAATATATGTTTTTCATAACTTATGAATAAGGTCTTTGAGTGATAAGATAAAAAATGTTATTAACTTCATTATTACTAAGATTGATCCTTGATGATCATTCCATGACAGAGTCCAAATTGATTAAATTTCCCTCCTTGAAATAAAAGAAATGTAGCAAGAGTCTAGGACTATATCTGTTGGACCAAAATAGAAGCACAATGGGCCAATCATTAATGTATTATTATTATTATTATTATTATCATCATTTATTATTATTATTTTTATTTTTATTTTTATTAATCGTACATTAACTCATCCGTGAAGATCTCGGAATTTCAAGTGCTCCAACAACCATAACATTAAACAACACAAATCAGTTCTAGGAAACAAAAAGAAATATAACTACAATGAAGGAAAACAAAACTAAAAACAATGATGATGTCAAGTATTGACACTAATGCAAAAATCGCAAGTTTGGAATAATGTCTATTTGTTTTTATATATGGCTGCTGAGTGTGGAAAGTGGAGAGCAATTTTTTTTTTTTTTTTTTTTTTTTTTTTTTCATGTTTTGAGCATCCTCTCTAATTTTGCCTTGTTCAGTGCTAACATCACGTAAAGAACTCAGGATATTAGAACCTCCAAGACTTGTTATCAAAGTCCCCAAAACAACCCAGATTCTGTCAGGATATCCAAGACCCATGCTGATATAAAATATTTGATTTATAAAACCATCTTCTGATCATTCAACTACCCTATATGCAGTATTCACAAAAAAAAAAAAAAAAAAAAAAAAAAAAAAAAAAAAAAAAACCCACCCTATTTACAGTGGCAGAGCCAGAAAAAATTTTCAATAAGGGCGTGAGTTAAACAAAAATTTTTAAAGAAAATAACCATGTAACTATCTTATTTTCTTTTTTAAATTTTTGGTCTCTCTCTTTTTTTTAATCTATTTTTACCTTTTATTTATTCAATCACTAATTGAGTTTAATTCACTTTATAAAGTTTAAAGTCTATAAAATTATGAATTTATATGAGTATAGTTAATTTTTGCTTTTATAGGGATCTTAAGTTTGAACTATCAATTAGTATACTCAAGAGTCAAACTTTAAAGTATAATCTAAAGATTTAAAAAGTTCTATTAAAAATGGGTATTGATTAAATTAAAATTTTAAAGATAATAGAAAATATTTTAAAACATATGCAAAAAAAAAATTGTAATTATATAATTTTAGGGGGTGAAAATTATAGAAAAAAAAATCAAAGGTCAAAGTTAAAAGGAACCACTTGGGCTGAGGGGGCCAACTAGCGCCAAATGCCTCCGCCACTGCCTATATAGGTCTGAAACTAGCTTTTTGCCACGTTTTTTCATATATGTATCCAGGAATTTCATTTAGAGGTTGTTTGGCTAGAAGATTCGTACCCGATTTGAATTATGGTTCATAATTCACTACAGTATTTTCTCTCATAAAAAATACACGTAAATTAAAAATAATTCTAATCTTATGATTTTAATCCATGAATCAAACGTCTCTTTAATCTTCAATGAGGAGTGAAATATTAGTCGATACAATCACAAAATCACTCAGCATCAACCTTGAATTAATCATCGATCGGCCTGTATCATTAGTGTTTAACTTGATTTTGGTAACTATATAAACTAAAAAATACGTACATTATACACACGTGCATGCGTGCACACTATCTATAAAGATCTAGAAACTTGACAAATTGTCGTGACTTTTCAATTAGAGTAAAAACATTTTCAATGCTAACTGTTATGATTTTTTGTTCATGTGGTATGAAATTTCAATTGATATGACAATAATATTATTAAAATGACATAAAGAGGATATAAATAAAAAAAAATATAAGAGTTGATTCCTTTATTTATATTCTTTATTTGTTTAAGTCATTAGCAAAGGAGTCCTATGAACATCAATAAAAAATAAATAAATAACAGCAAATTAATATTACGTCCTTTATTTTATGTAATACAGCTCAAATTTTTTGTGAGACGTTTAGTTCATGAATTAAAATTATGTTATTAGAATTATTTTTAATTTACGTGTATTTTTTATAAAAAAAATATTATAATAAATTATTAACCACGATTTAAATCACGATTTAAATCATTTAACCAAGCGACGTTTTAGTGATCCAATTCAGTGCGCTCATCATTAGTGTTCGTTGGTTTGTCACTCAAGTTTATCTCCCATCTCTTTCCTACATTTCCCTCAAGAATATGATTATTATAATAAAACAAAAATCATTGTGATTAACGATGGATCCAGAAGAGAAGAGTTAAAATAAAGAGGAAAAACGACAAAAGGAGAAAAGGCAAAAACCAAGCAAAAAAGGAAATGGCGTTGATAGTTGGCTGGCGGCTGCAGTTGGAGACCACTTTCCGTAGACAATCCAACAAGACCACGTTTCTTCCATTCAATTCACTTGATGAAAAAATCTAGTACTCCAAACTCCACAATAAATCTATAATCTACGCCATAATAATTGAGAAACAACTTTAAAAACTCCACATGGAGAAACCTGATTGGTCCCAACATCTGATCACAATGGTCACTGCACCATCCAATAACCATTAGACAAATTCAATTACAGAAACAAATTTCGCGAACAAGCTGCTCTCTACCTGGATCAGACATCTGGGTTTTAATTATCTTTTTTTTTATATATATATATTTTTTGATAAAATAATCTCCTGCTAAAAAAGTTAACAGTATTATTTGTTCTTGAGACTTCAGTTTCTCTCTCTAAACAATGTTGTCATACAAAACAACACAAGAGAGAGAAACCAGGACACAATTTTCCAAATCTGTTGTGTAAGTACATAGATATTGACAGACTTTATAATGTTTAGTTTCCAATTTCCAATGTACATTTATTTCTCTCACCTTTCTCTCTCTAGAAGTCATCTTATAGTTTGAAAGCTTTCTTTCCCTTTTCGATTTCCCCTTTCGCCAACTCAAAATCGATTCTTTTTCTAAACCCCCAAGCAAAGATTTCCAATCCAAAACCCTAATGACTTTGCCTTGACAATTCTGGCAAAATCAAACACCAAATTACAAATTCACAGCGTTGAAGACCCAATTTTGAGAGAAAGATGTCATCTTCGTGCCCGTCAAACGGCATCGTTTTCAACGGGAGCCAGTGCGGGTGTCCGGTCGGACACTTGCTGAACCGGACGGCGAACCGGTGCGTGCTTTTTGCGGCGAACTCTACGATCGTCACCGACCGGGGTGTTGACATCTACACGATAAGCTTTCCGGAGACAATCTTCGAGTTTGATTCCATTAAGAAGTTCACGCAATCCCAGGCGGTTTTCTTGGAGGCCACGCTCGTCTTGGTTCTGTCGTGGCTTCTTTACTGCTTTTCGCTGAGGTTTATGAAACTGGGCAATGATGGAAGAAGCATTTGGTTTAGGCTCAGATGGTGGATTAGCAGATTGGACATTTGTTTCGCCACTAGGCATTGGCTGGTCAGTTTTCTATCTTTGTTAATTGGGTATGGCTTAGTTCAATATTGTAGTGCTAAGTTTTACTCTTATAGCAAAAGAAGTAAAAACAAAGTGCATTGGTGTTTGTTCAAAGTACTTTGAACACGTTTTCTAAATACACTACTTGCATTGTATTATGTATCGAGGACTTTTGGTGCTTCCAAACGCAATACCAAACTGGCCCTGTCTGTTGTTTAATTAGCTATGTTTATTGGTGTAGGAAGATCAGAAGGTGGTTAAGAAGAGAAAAACAGAACTTGGTGGAACTTTCTCAATAGCAAGTTGGATACTCTTCATTGGTTTATTTGCTGCGTGAGTGTTTGACATTATTGTTATTGTTATCAAATCATCCGAAATTGTTGGTTACATTTAACTTTTGATTGCTCTGCGTACTTTTCATCGTAGTGACTTGGATTTTCAGTTTCCTCTCAGATTGTTATACCAAATCATATCTAGGAGATCCATTGAGGTGCATAATGTGAGAGCAACAAATGCGCCTGACTTGGCATCTTTCATCAATGACATGGAGTTTAATATCACCGCTATTTCTAGTATGAGCTGCTCGAACTTGCGAAATCTCAGTAGTTTAGTTATTGGAAGTCCCGGGTTTATCGACTACAGAGTTGCTCCTTTATCAAATTTCGGGAATTACTCGTGCCAAAATACTAGTGAAGGACCTACTGTTATACTTAGATGCAACGGTTGTCAACCAATTCGAGACGATTTGTACATTTCCTGGCAATTTGTTGATCTTCCCAACAGCCCTGCAGCTGCTGTTGGATTTCAGTTCAACCTTACCACTAGGAATCATTACAACAAGAAACATATGAGTTATGTTAGTGGAATACTAAAGAATTGGACTTCTTTTGATAACAGACCAGTTACCTTCAGAGGAAGGAATACAAACATATTGAAATTCAGTTTATTTCCGCGAATTTACCGTAATCTAAAGGACCTAAGGCTCATCCAACCTCTATTTCATGAGTTTGTCCCTGGGTCTCATTTTTACGACACACAACAGCTCCAAACATCCTTGGCTAGCTCAAATGATGGACTGCTCAACACCACGGTATACGTCAATTTTCTTTCTGCCTACATTGTAGAGATAGATGCTCAAAATATTATGGGTCCTGGTAAGTAATATGATGTGCCCACTTATGTGAGCTCTCCTTTCACTTCAATTATTTTCCTGTTATTGAAAATGCATCCATTTCTGCTGCCTTTTTTCCCCTTTTTCTCAAAACCATGCAGTGGGCTTCCTAGCTGATCTTGGTGGTCTGTATTGCATCAGCATTGGCATTTTTTTCTACTTAATGGTTCAAGTATGGTACTTCTCCCTCTCATTGTTCTAGATTTTAGTTAAGTGTTTGTCTTACGGTACGAGGAATCTGAGATGTAACCGATTTTATTTATCTTTATTCTTTTTTTTTTTTTATCAGCATTGGCATTTTTTTCTACTTAATGGTTCAAGTATGGTACTTCTCCCTCTCATTGTTCTAGATTTTAGTTAAGTGTTTGTCTTACGGTACGAGGAATCTGAGATGTAACCGATTTTATTTATCTTTATTCTTTTTTTTTTTTTTGGTGCAGTGTGAGTATAGAATAAAAAAATTACGCAATGAAGATAGTGTCTTGCGAAGGATTAGAAATCGGCGAAAAGCTCTGGAACGCTGGGATAAAGTAATTTTTTCTTTTCTTGGGGATGCAGATTCATATGTGCCATCTTTATTTGATAAAGTTTCCCTCATGTTTGACTCATGATCTAATCGAACTTATGGATATGTTTGCTTTTTTAACTAGTTGAGGAAATATGTTACGTTTACATGGGGCTGTAGCGCATCGGAAGATGTCTATGACAATAAGAAGAATGGATCAAGTTGTGGTGGTGGCGTGCTAGAATCAGTTAGCCGAAAAGGATCATCCCATAAGCATAGGCTACAAAGCAGAAAGGATTCCATCAATATAAACAAGAAAGTCGCCTCTCCTAGCATTACAAAGAAGGTATTAATGTCCATGTGTGTGGATTCTCAACTTCTCTAAGTTCTTCTTTTTCCATTCCCTGCCTTTTCTTTACCCCTCTATATTGTTATACACTTTATTGTGTAGGTTGCTGCTCCAGATCGTTCCCAAACTAGTGGAGCCAATTCTTCTACTCCAGGAACTGCTGCAAGTAATCAGGGGAAGACAGATCTTCGCGATGAACCAGTAAGTTGTTCTCGATGCTTGTTTGACCTTTAACACAGGGCTTATTCAGTAGCTGTTTCAAAGAGCAGTTTGATCACTTTGTTTCTCCCTCTCTGAATATTACAATTCTAGTTATCTTTAGCTCATCGATGTGAGTAAAAGTACCAGAACCAAATTGTTTGACTATACCAACTTTACTAATCATTCATCCCCTTACACGTGGGACTACCCAAGTTGTGATTATTTCAATATTTAGTTGCAAACCTAAAGTTTCTGTTTTTGCCATCTTTTCCCATAGTTGATGACAAAAGAACTGACAAATTACTTGTGAATCGACGTAAGAAACTGGGTCGTCTTTGGATGTAGTTTGACTTTCATTTCCCGATTTTGATAGTGCTTATAAATTAAAAATCTCAAGAGTTCTCATCTTCTGCAGTCTCAGAAGCATGGAGTGGTTGGCCCCACAAATGATGCAAAGCAGCAATCTTCCGGATCATGTGAGGGAAATTCTTCCCAGATTGAAGCATTTTCTTTAACTAATGGCATCATTCCTCCACCGCCTACACTGGGTAACAACTCACCCTTTTCAAGTTTTAGCCGTGTTGTCTGTTTATTTTCTTTTCTTTTCTTTTTGAGCTGGGTGTTGGGGGATTATATATTTTTGTTCTGTAGATAGATTTGAGTACAATAATAGCGTTGTTGACATAAGTGTCTTATTCAAAGCCAAATTTAAATACACAAGTACGGGTTCCTTTCCCGAGGTTTTTGCAAAATGAGACCAAATCAATTTACCTTTGCTATTGTGGTTACTGCTGCCACTAACTAGTTGATGAGCACCGCAATGGATACTTAATGTTTTGTGATGAAATTTACTCTTTAATCTAGAATTTAAATTAGCATTATCCTTCGTTTGCCCTTCTTCTTGCTGGAGTCAACACGACGTTCATGCAATTTTTGTTGCTTCTTCACTGCAGAGTTCAAGGATGTTCCTGAAATGGATATGTCTGACGTTCAGAAAAATCTCAAAAGTTTATACGAATACAATGTCATGCTAAGGGAGAAGTTTGTTGGTATTCAATCTGTGCTTAATGAATTAGCAGCAAAGTCCTCAGATCGAGCAATTAAGTAACTTAAAAGTTATTTGAGCAAAGTATGATCGGAACCAAACTACATTGCTCATGATGCCCAAGTTTCTGTCAGATTTTGGTTTAAAAACAAAATTCAGGGATTTCCTCACCACATTTCTACTCGGAAAATCACACGAAAGATTGTGTTCAAGGCTGTGTCTTCGACGACAATGTTGAAAAAATTCAGGAATTTCCTCACCACATTTCTACTCGGAAATCACACGAAAGATTGTGTTCAAGGCTGTGTCTTCGACGACAATGTTGTCGTCTGACATGCTTGCAAGGAAAGTTTAACAAACTCAGATCGTCTCATTTTTTAACTTCAGGTGAAAATACGAGTTGTATCACTCGCGATTTCAGAGTATAGTTTATGTTTCTTGCTTGGGTGAATATGGTTGGCTGGGTCATCGAGCTCTGTGTAATATGTGTAATTTTGCAGGCGTTGGTAGTTGAGACGCGAGAAGCTGTGTAACATATAGCGGCTGTTGATATGTCCCTTGAATTACCACTTGTAACAGAAAACGGATATTATTACATTTTGGCATCAATTAGTTTAGTTGGGATCCCTATTCCTTTCAAATATGCTTCATTACCTTCCAGCTTTCAACGTTTGAAGCACAGCTTTTCTTGTTGTTCCTTATCGTCAATTACTTGGAGTCCACGTAACCATTTTGTTATAGATTTGTTTATATTGATACCTTTTCTATAACGGATTTGTTGAAATTGAAATCGTATATACAACCATAGAAGCAAGAACATGTGCCAAAAGATAGCAAAAGAAAAGGACCGTGTTCCAAAGCTAGTTGTGAAAGGAATAACTTGGTTAAAGAATTTATGCTTAAATCAACCGGGGAAAAAAAAAGTTGCATATCATGGACATAAGATTGTTCGAGAGGCTCCTCAAGATGCTCATTCCATACATACACATTAACACATCACCTCCTTTCTTTTGAAGCAAATGTCATGTGCGCCAGAAAAAGAAAAGGAGCAAAACATAACACGCAAAATCTAGCACTAGGCAAGGATCAGATAATTAAATCGCTAAATATATAACAAGTACATGGGCATTTGAGAGGCAGATGAGAGTTGAATTGTGTCTACTCACACACCAATCGCCACATTTGAACATGAACAGACAGATTTTGTTTGGATTCCCTCTGAAGTTGAACCCTTGCATGCTCGACTTAAAGCAAATATCATCATAAGCCAATCCAATGCGCCACATGATTCAAAACATATGTTAACTGCTAATTCCACTTTTTGTCACGTGAAGAATAGCCTTTTTGCCGCCACAATTGGTATAAGGTTTTCCCTATGTAACTGCAGAACTGGCGGCAATAGTCAGAAATTTTTGCCACAACATCTCTTTACCGAATTATTGCCACAGCTCTAACCAGTAGGTGCTCATTAACCGTTGTTTGGTTGCAATTGGAGACCTAGAAGGCTACCGTTGAAGTGTACGCTTGCAACAGAAATATAAACAAGAAGAAACCGACATGTTTTGCTAAAGGATTTTCCAACCAGTACGATGTGTCATTGCTTTAACTCACTGGACTTTGAAACCCCTGCTTGCATCCCCAAGGCATGAGCAAACATCCTCTTTGCAGCTCCTAAATGTTCTCTTTTGTAATGTTCCCGATTCATTCCATTTCTAGCAATGCTAGTAGAGATTTTTTCTGATAACTTTTGGGGTGCCTTAGTGTCACTTGGTGATGATGCACCAGTACCATGGTAATTCTTTCTCTCTTTTGAGTACAAGCTTGTACTTTTGCCAGACAAGTGAACAATTTCTTGATAACCTTGCAGGCTCGAATCAGACTCTGTTTTATCCTTGCCTTCAATATTTAATTCGTGAGTTTGCCCTTCGGAACTACTAGAGTCCTTGTGAGTTGTATCATGATTGCATGAAGTGATTCTTTGGCCTAAAGCATGTGCAATCATTCTGCGAGCGACTACAGGAACACTGCGTGGCTTCGGCCTGACGGGTTCTTTTTCCCCTCCTAAATCCAATGAAAATATTCTCTCACGAGCAGCCAAATACGCTGCTTCTCTCTCCTCAAGTGAATGAGGAACCAGAGGTGATTGTGTCTTCGAAACTAAAGATACTGTTCAACAAAATTTCATCACATTAACTACACCATCCAATAACATGAGAGACAATACTACGGTAGTAAGCTCTCTGATCATTTTAGATTCAGAAGTCTGTATTATGTTCACAAAAAATAGGAAAGAGTTACCTGGAGAGGCGTCTGTTCTCCTTAATAATTGATGTGATGTGGTTGGAGATTGAGGTTCATCGTACTGCCCCAAAATATCACTAACAAGGATTGAAGGTCTGTAATTGAATAAACAGGTTATTATTATTGTTTTTCAGTGTACGAGGAAATAATGAACTTTGACTAGCTTTAACCAACTAAAATGGTTCAGCAAAAAAACCAACTAAAATGACTTATGTTGAGAAAAAGGAAGTCATGGTTATTCAACCATTCTTTGTATTCACATACACTGAAGTCTCAGGGCATCGCTCCAAAATTAAGTGCCGATCATCTCCTTCGCCAACAGATTCATGGGAAAAGCTTGAACAAATATAGAAATAGTTAATATCAAAGGTACATTGATGTGCACAATAGCTTCTTCCCTCAATTAACTCTATTGTCCAAAATGTATCATAGCCGAAAACACATATCACAAAGAAGCAGATAAAATCTGAAAAATACAACAGAACAATTGTGCAGGATGTAGCAAAATAAGATACGCATACGTGTTAGAATGTGAAAAGAACATTGCAACAAACATACCCAAATATATCTGCAAGACGATGCATAAGAAGACGGTTGTACGAATTCATTGGTTCCAACTCTAGGATCCCGCAGGAGCTACAATAAAAAACTAATTTCATTGATACTCTAAACACAAGAACAAACTGGAAAAAAAAAAGGAACAAATGTGCCTTTCATAAGCAATGAGGGCAAATGTATGATCACATCATTAGAATGAAAGAAATAAGAGACAAATTTACCCAACTTCAAGTCTTATCAGCAATTGGATTTTGTTTTTGTCCCTACAATTTTAATTTGTTTCAAGCATGTACAAAGAATTCATATGCTGGGAATAGTTAGTCATGTAAGCTTTTTAGGCACTACCAAGAGTTAATTTCGAAAATTTTTCTTTTGAAGTGTTAATTTTGAAAATTACATGTAATTATTGGTAAAATGTGGTTACCTGGTATCAGTCTCAAGGAAGTTGACCAAGGCTTCTTCAACTGAGAGAACAAGATGCTTGCAAGGAAGATTGTCCTTAACAAGAAAAGCCAATTCCTCAACCTACAATTTCACACTAAATATTCAAAACAAAACAAAAAATCTCATACCAAAAAAAAAAAAAAACATTATTAACAAACTTTTAAAAAAAATTCCCCTAGGGCCCAGAAAAAAAAAAAAAAAAAACCTACTTTCTAGCACTAAAGCTTCAAATTTCCTATCTTTAATCGTAATATGAATGAAATTTAGACATTAATTTGTCAAAAACAGAACTCCCAAATCCAATTCGTACATCTATACGATCTTTTCATTTTTTGGGTTGCCAGCATTCAAATGAAGGGACAAAAGCCAACTAAAAAAAAAATTAATAGAAAAAAAAAGAGAAGAAAGGGATTACAAGTCAAAAGGTATATGCATAGAGAGAAGAAGACGAACCATGGCGAACTGGGTCATGCTCATTTTCCAAGAACCCGTATCTAAATTAAATAAAATTAAAATAAGCGAGAGAGAGAGAGAGAGTTGAAGAAGAAGGGGAAGGGGATTTGGTTCAACGAGCGCGTCTTCCGTCGGTTGCCCCGTTGAGAGGCGAATTCACAACAATGGCATTGGCATTAGCTATCTCCAGTCGTTTGATTAGCAAACTATCTCATGTTGTTCAGTTTTTGCTAATCTGACAGTCGTATGACACTCTGCCACCGAGGCACCGATGACCACCAACTTTCTTCAATATCAAGACTTTTTTTTTTTTGCCCCTTTTTGACCTTTTCTTCTTTCGAAAGGAAAACCAGCCTCTTTTTTTTTTTTTTTTTTTTTTTTTTTTCTCTCTTCTTAATAAACGAGACTTGATTTTCAAATGTTTCCCTGTTTCATTTTGGTATTATAATTTATATTAAGGAGTAATCAGTCCTGCTCATAGTTTTAGGTCCAGTTTGGTTAAAGAGATAGAGAGTACGAAGGTTAGAGAGAGTTACAAAGATGAGAAGTATGAAGAATATAGAGGATTATAGTAATTTTTTTATGTTATTCGATTGGATAAAAAAATTAAAATGATGAATGATAATTATTTATTTAATTACTATATTATCTTTTTTATTATTTTTTAATAATTTATTTTGAATGGTGAAAAGTAATTTTATTTAAATTTAGTAGATTGTTTGAATCCTTCCATCGTGATCTAAAATGGTGAACCCGGATAGAGACTCTCTCCCTCCATATCTTTTCTCTCTCCTCTTCTCCTTCTTACCAAATAAGGGATTCACCACTCTCCATCCACCCTTCCTCCTCCTTCCATCTCTCCCATCTACTAAACATATTTTTAGTTTTTTACTATTAGATCTAGTCAAAACCACATCCCATTAAAAGAGTATGCAAAATAGACAGATTCTGATACAGATCAACAGTTAAAAAGTAACATATTACTGATAGTTTATTTTTATAGAGACTACCAGAGAAAGTCTCTCATATTAAATAAGAGAAAGACAATTTCTCTTGTAGAATCAGAAAAAATAAATTACTCACAATTTTTTACTTTTTAATTATTAGATTTGAATTATAAACTATTTATTCTGTATACGTTCTCAATCTAATATGATTTTAATCAATTATAACAATTAAAAATTAAAATTATCAATAAAGAAGCTTACTAAAAAAGTTCCTAAAAGAAAACGATAGTTAGAATTACATAATTTAAGAAGCATATAGAATTATTTTTTTTTTTAAATTCAAGCAGTAAATACTAGATAGATTAAGGATTTTGGCTTGGAAAAATAATGATGCAGTTAAAATGATGAATGATAATTATTTATTTAATTACTATATTATCTTTTTTATTATTTTTTAATAATTTATTTTGAATGGTGAAAAGTAATTTTATTTAAATTTAGTAGATTGTTTGAATCCTTCCATCGTGATCTAAAATGGTGAACCCGGATAGAGACTCTCTCCCTCCATATCTTTTCTCTCTCCTCTTCTCCTTCTTACCAAATAAGGGATTCACCACTCTCCATCCACCCTTCCTCCTCCTTCCATCTCTCCCATCTACTAAACATATTTTTAGTTTTTTACTATTAGATCTAGTCAAAACCACATCCCATTAAAAGAGTATGCAAAATAGACAGATTCTGATACAGATCAACAGTTAAAAAGTAACATATTACTGATAGTTTATTTTTATAGAGACTACCAGAGAAAGTCTCTCATATTAAATAAGAGAAAGACAATTTCTCTTGTAGAATCAGAAAAAATAAATTACTCACAATTTTTTACTTTTTAATTATTAGATTTGAATTATAAACTATTTATTCTGTATACGTTCTCAATCTAATATGATTTTAATCAATTATAACAATTAAAAATTAAAATTATCAATAAAGAAGCTTACTAAAAAAGTTCCTAAAAGAAAACGATAGTTAGAATTACATAATTTAAGAAGCATATAGAATTATTTTTTTTTTTAAATTCAAGCAGTAAATACTAGATAGATTAAGGATTTTGGCTTGGAAAAATAATGATGCAGGACAATAATAGAGTTTAAAGAGAGAAATATAACCATAAAACAGATTTTGAGTAAACTTTCTTAGTCAAATCTCAAAATAAAAAGTTTTTTTTTCATTTTTTTAGGATTTTGCAGGCTTAGAGTTCGTTTGGTCCATAGATTAGAATCATTTTCAATTTACGTGTGTTTTTTGTGAGAGAAAATACTGTAGCGAACCATGAACCATGATTCGAATCAGAAAATGAATCCTCTAACCAACGGGCTCTTAATTACAGACTCTGGAAACAGTCGCTCCAAAAAAAATGGAAATAGAGTTTCCTTTTTAACCCAATAGTGTCTGTGCATAAACTAAAGTTATTGTTTTAAGCCTCTTCCAGAATTTCAGTTTTTAATTTAAATTGATACGTAATAGTTTTTAAAAAATTTTAATTATAATAAAAAAATTTAAATGTGATATTTTTTTAAAATTTTTAATTATAAAAATTTAAAATTAAAAACTCAAATCAGTGAAATGAACAAAATTATAAAACAACCTGTCGTCTGTAAGCAAAAGTTAAGCCGTCATCCACTTGTACGTTTATTCATTTTTTATTTTTTTATGAATCCACTTGTAAGTTTGCAAAACATTAAGGGCTTGTTCTTTTGATGTTTTTGAGTTAGGTAACTTGAGTGTAGATTTTGAGTTAAGTTTGAGTTATAACTTGAGTTGAAGTTGTAATTTGAGTTTGTGTTTGGTTGTGTACATTTGAGTTATGGTTTGAGATAAAAATCTTTTTGAGTTTGTGTTTGAGTGAGTCAAAACTTGAATTTGTATTTAGATAGTATTTTCATAAAAACTTAATGCTGATGAAAAATTTTAATAAGGTATATGGGTCATGTTTTATTTGCCTTTTCATTATCAACGCATAGAAAAAAAATAATCTCAATCAGAATTAAAACGAAAAAGTTATAGCATTTTTAAGAATAGAAAAAATACTGTTAATTAATTTGAGTTCGAATTTCTGAATTCAAGTTCAAATTTCTGAATTCGAGTTGAAGGGGAAACTTGAACTCGAGTTTTAGTCCCAAACTCAAGTTTAAACTCGAGTTCAAACTTAAAAGAACATAAACTCGAATAAAGTTATAACTCGAGTTGTTTTTTTTTAATTTTTCACTCAAAAACACTCCAACGGAACAGCCCCTAAACTATGTCGTCGTTAAGATTGAAACGACAAGTAGTTTACTTTTAATTTTGCCGTTGATGATGTGTACGACATGCCGTTACATTGAACATTTGAATTAGTTGTCGTTTTAATTCGACAACTTATTAACTTATTTTCCATTTAAAGTTCATTTAATGCAAAAAAAAAAAAAAAAAAAAAAACGACGACCTGTTTTTGGTATACAACTTTGTTGTCGTTCATTATTAAGAATACATGTCACTTGATCAAACGGCAGCAAGTACTTAATCCTAAAACATCTCTAATACAATGCTATAATTAATGTATCAATTACAAATTTAAGAATTGAGAGTCAAAAACACACTCTAATACAATGTTATTTGTTGTGTTAAATTTTTCGTATGTTATATTTTATGATAAATTTCCAACCAAGTATAGCATATAAAAAATTTAACATTTAATTATTATTGATTGAAATGTTTACTTTTTAATGTATCATTGTAACTTTTCATTTTCTAATTATTTTAAATATAAAAGTTTGCTTTTACAACTTTCAAAGTTTAATAATTATGAAAAAAAATGGATTTAACATTTCAAATAGCATTATGCATTAAAGTAAAAATGAAAATAACATATCATATTATACTTTTTAATGGTAAATATACAATTGATATTAACATTTGCATTGAAGATGGTCTAAATTGTTTGTCTCCTGAAGAAAAGACATGTCGTTCCTAATTAAAATTTCCTATTGTCATAAATGTCATCTATTCGTCAAGAAACGACGTTTGATGTGTTATAACTCTTAAAGCAAGTGTTTATCTATGCCTAAACTACATGTCGCTTATTGTTTTTCAAGAACTTATGCGGTCTAATCCAAACTAATGACATGATACTTTTCTGGTCTTCCTATTTTCTCGGCAGATGGCCATGCTCTATAAATATGGAGTCAAGGATGTATTTTCGAGCTACGAAAGAAAACTATGAATTTAGGGTATCATGAATGTGTCTTGAAAATTTAAGCTGTTTTAAAGTGGCTAAACAGCAGATCAAGGCATCAAGCTTAATGCAATAAACACTTCTTTGATTTACAACTTTTTTTCCATTGCAAAACAATCAAAGTACACGAACATGGACTAGATTATATTAAAGCAATTTTATAGTAAATGTACTATTGATCATGTACTTTGACCAACAAAGCTTCAGGAGCACATTGCCTTCTCCAATAGTTCCTGCAATTCGCCACTTTCGTATGCGTCTGAAAAGACAACAGGTTCCTTAAACAGATGCATAACAAATATTTCTCTACATATTCATGTCTAAGCAATTTACGGTCATGATAATCATATATAATAAACAGGCAAAGTCAAGGTCTGACAAACAAGTAATGGCAACGTACAAAGCAAGACAAAATACGGATAAAAAATTCACCAAAAGAGAAGGGGAAAAACAAAGTTTGACTATGAAATTGAAAACTTTCTTCGTCGAGTTATCTCTGACAGTGACTCCCTTATTAACCACATCTAGTTCTTTCCGTTGTATGCAGCCATAGGTTTCCATAACTTGTTATGATAGATTGGCTACTCACAAACAATAGTCAAGAATTTCCATCCTACATTAACACTTTGTTTTAGAGATTGATACTTCCAAGTCAATACTCAATTCATTTAGGGATGTTCAGATCAAGTATAGCAGTTTCCACGAAACACATGAATTACGGTTTAGAATAGAAAAGTGATAGGTTTCTTGTATAATCGGACTGCTAATATTCATTAAAGTACAGTTTAAAATAGAAAAGTGATAGATTTCTTGTGTAATCGGACTGCTAATATTCATTAAAGTCCAGTTTTCTAAAGACTTGCCACTCTATGTTCTCCATCAGCAAAAACAAGCATACGACTCTTGCATTAGCAACTAACTTTGATGCAACATAACAACTGAAGATGGTGAAATGAATACCAAGAAAATCAATGACTCACCAACAGTGATGTCACAACCGCCAAAGAACTCTCCGTCAATGTAAAGCTGTGGAAAGGTCGGCCAACTAGAATATTCCTTTAATCCCTGGCGCAATAGTTCATTTTCCAGTATGTTTATCGTTTCGAAAGGTACATTCAAGGACTTCAATATTTGCACGACCGTGTGTGAAAATCCGCACTGCGGAAAGTCCTTTGTTCCCTTCATAAAGAGAACCACTTTGTGTGAAGTAACAACTTTGTCCAGCGTAGTCTTGAGCTCTGGAGACAACACTGAATGTACGCAGCACACGACAAAAACAAAGTTCATAACCATCTTTATGTATACAAACATATTACCAAGGAAAAAAAAAAAGAAACAACAAAACAAAGAAAGATTTTTCAAGCACTTTCATAAATTTATATCTATAATTCAGAAAACCCATAAGATCTCTCCAAACAACAACTTGAGCAAAGCTTTATATGTGTGTGTGTGTGTGTCTACATACATACACACACACACACACACTTAATCCTATAATATCCTTCAAACAAGTCAAAATTTATATCTATAATTCAGAAAACCCATAAGATCTCTCCAAACAACAACTTGAGCAAAGCTTTATATGTGTGTGTGTGTGTGTGTCTACATACATACACACACACACACACACACTTAATCCTATAATATCCTTCAAACAAGTCAAATAGATTGCAAAGAGAACTTTGCTCTGCCTAGTAAGGACCAAGTCTGATGAGGGAGCAAAATACGAGACACAATCAATATAATAAGAGAAATCCAATCCGAAGGTAATAACGCAGAGAATACAAAATTTTCATCACCACTTTATGACAGGAACCACGTATCGGAATGGGACACAAATCAAGACATATCAGAAATTTTCCTTTCTTGAATCCATTTTTCTCGTAATCTCCATAATAACCAAAACCCATGTCCAAAACCAACCAAAAAAAAAAAAAAAAGGATCACAAGGAAATCCGCCTAAAGCTTAAAGCTTTCGGATCCGAAAGACTCCATCATCCCAATTCCCAATTCCCAAACCAACAATAAAAAATGAAAAATTGAAAATTGAAAGTAAGAGCGAACTAAACAAAACTTACCAGAAAAGCAACAAAAGGAGGTGGTCCTGTGAGAAGGAAGCTTAGGCGTGAAGAAGAAAGCATTGGGAAGAGTGCAGATTAGAGAAGAGCCAGGAAGAGGCCCAGTGGAATTGCGAAGGTGAAGAGGAGTCGTGGAATTTACTTGTTTGCCCACCGGCGCAGCTCCGGAGACGGATAAGGAAGCCGCTGGTGCTACTCTTACCGAATCCATAGCCCCAAGACACTGCATCTTCTTCTTCTTCTTTTCTTATTTTTCTTCCTTTGTCTTTCTTGTTTGTGTTGTGTTTGTTCTTCTTCTTGCGCAGTCCTGTTCAAGAAGCGACGACCTCAAAGAACGCGTTTGTCACACATCATAAGATATACAATAAATTCCAACAATTTATGCAGAAGCTTTTTCGGTTTTTATTTTTTTATTTTTTTTATTTTTTTCATTTTCCCTGTTCTCGGGCAAAAGGTAAAACGACGTGTGTTTTGGGTCTTTTTAGATGGGTCTTGTACTATTAATGCACATTTTTCACTATTAAATCTAATTAAAATCACGTCCAAATTAAAAGGTATGTAAAACAAATAAATTTTAATAAAAATCTAACGGGTAACGTCATCGTCATGCCATAAGAAATCTCTTTTATCATTTAGTTAAAGAGATTTTTCTAGTATAGCCTAAGAAAATACTGGTGTTATATGGTTATGTTCTTTATCTGTCAGTATTTATATCAAAAAATTATTTTTTCTGCTTATTTTTTTTTTATTTTAACATGATTTTGACTATGCATTATTTTTCTTTTTGGCATTTTTCTTTGTAAAAATAACTCTTTTGAAAAGTTTTATTAGTAAAATAACTTTTCAAAAATTTTTATTTGTAAAATGACCTCATTTTACAAAGAATGAGTAAATGTCTCTCTTCATAAAAAATAGAAGAATGTCATTTTACTAATTTCATTTTGTTAGAAAGTCATTATAGCATATTGCCCTATTTTTTTTTTATATGTATGTATTAATACTTCAAAAAGTAAATTTGAACACATGACTTGATACATAAAAATTCGAACCCTTTCACTAAAAAGATGAAGGCTTCAATTTAAGCCCTAATCCATACCAGTTAATGTACTATTTTTAGTCCAAATAATAGTTATCATATTTTTATATGTATGTATTAATACTTCAAAAAAGTAAACTTAGTCCCATATTGAATACAAATAACATATCTTTCCTAAATATTTTATATAAATGATTATTAGATTTCGTTGACCTTTACACCTTTATAAAGCCTCAAACTAGTTTATTTCAAACCCGCGTTGTTTTGTTTACTTTTCATACGTGAATAAAAGAAAGCTTAAAGTACTCAACATGTAGATGGTCAATGCTCAATATCAGATAATCAAGTCATTTTAGTTTTCTATTTAAAAGATGATATTGTTAAAATGTAATCAAGAATTACATATCATAGTGAATAATCCATCCACTATAACGAAAACTTGATAATTTCATAAATTATTGATTTTAAATACACACATAGAAATAAATGATACAGCACTCGTTCAAAAAATTTAATTAGTACAAGCAAATACAGTATGTCAACAAAATTAACATATTAGTCATAGGTCATCCTGAGACGTCAAGGCGCATCATAGAAAGATCTTGACGGAGTGTATATGCACTCTTAAACTGTACACCAACTATGCCAACTCCTCTTGCAGCCTCCACATTTTTCATCCTGGACAAGAACCCCAGTTACTATCAGCAAATGAAGCTTTCAAGTACAAAACAAAGGACAAGTTTAGTTCATTAGTTGCTTCTAGGCTCTAGCATGATTTAATCATGAAGTTGGCTAAATGCTTGTCCAATAATTAAAAGATTAAGAAGATTATAACCTGTCATCAACAAAAACACAGTTTTCTGGATCAACTTCAAGATGTTTCACAACGTCCAAATAGAATTCAGGATCCGGCTTTCTCTTTCCTAAAAGATATATAAATTGGGATCATACACCAAAGAGTATGCAAACAATAAAGTTGGTCGTAGTATAAATGATGTTGTTAGAACATGGTTTCACATCTTAAAGAGAAAACATTTGACCTACCATTCTTAAATGAACAGAATGTCCAAGACAAATATCTCGACAGATTTAGCTTATCCTCGATCATTTCACACCTACAAAAGAAATAACTCTAAAAATAGTGAGCTAATTCTTCAGACAACAAACTTTTCCAAAAGGATTCTAGTCTGACCAGATGGGATAGTTTGTAAATGCATGCATCTCATAGTTGTTAGTTTTTAGCGCAAGAAGCAATTCTTCAACACCTTCAATGTAGGAATATCCTCTTGTCATACAATCTTTGAGGCCTGCAAGGAAGGGGAATGGATTTGGTATTTTGATAGCATTAGGACTTTGGAGAAATCCACAAGCTCAAAGCAACATACAGAAGTGAACATAAGAAACTTTCACCAACCTTCTAAATCAAATGGCCTTCCATCTTTAAAGAACTTTCTGGCTAACTCTGCCTGAAAGAGATAAAATATAATTGAAAAGACATTTGACATGATATAATTAGAAACATATCTCGAAGCTTGAATGTCAAGCAACAACACAGTTGTAATCTACGTAGAAAAGCATACAAATTGGGGGAAATAATCTCTCCAAATTAAACCCATCCCCAAATCTATGGCCAAAAAGACAGAAACTACGTTTCCATCTTGCAGCCAAGCAATGGTCTGTGAAAGGGACTTCGAATATTCAAAGAGTAGAGCAAGTGCTTGAGTTCACAAGAACAAAACCAAGCATCATGACACGCTGATGTTCGTAAAAGCAAACCAAGGAAGAACATTCCTCTGAAGGTCACACAAAACTCAAAATAGCCACAAAAGATATGAGGAGAACCAAAGTATTATCTCGAAAAGAAGGGCATGTCAATCAGCCAACACCGCCTCACACGGGAAATACTTTAAACGTCAAATGTTCGAGCCTTGTTGGGTGACAATTACGGCTAATCTCAGAAAAGTTTCCAAAGCTTTAAATAACACGTTCACAGGCCATAGCTTCTTTCATTCACTTCAGATGCTATATGTAGGTTACATGAGTGACATGATTGAAGAAAGAGTATAACAACAATTTTCAGAATAAGAACTCTCAATTTTCATAACATTCAGTAAAGGCTTGCAATGACATAACTGGTCTTTTTTTATTCACGGATGGGAACCCTTAGACAGTTAAACAGCTTATGAGATACTTCCACACCTCATCAATCAACCCCTTTTCGAACTCGATCCACGCAGTTGGATGCTTGCTTTCTATTAGTTCCGCCATAGACATTCTGCTCATAAAATCTAAATGTGATTATCTAAGGAAGATGTTAAAAAGATAAAAAAATTGTAATACTAAACAATCTAAAAAAACTAGTTAAATGTTTTATGTGAATACCAAGTTGAAATCTGATTGTTAAATATATCATAACCACATCAGAACTACTCAACAAGCAAGTTTCTGAAACTTCTCTAGCCAACACGAAAAAACTTCAATTATTTTAACGCATTGGCGCCAATGGATCTACATCTAAATATGTTTTATCCACCCAAAACCGGAAACTTTGAGAGGGAGAAAACTAAACCTCCCTGGCCCCAATAGGAAAAATTCAAATTTATAAACTATCTATCGGGGCGCTGAGAAAAGTACTTAAAACTTGGAAGGAAAATTTCAAAACTTGATTAGAAAAGAGGAGAAAAGGTAGAAATTTCGGTACCTGAAGAAGGCAGGGACATCGTGGTAAAAAGGGTCGCGAACAATGGTGTCCATAATGTCAAAAAGAAGAATGGGAAGTTTTCTATTGGTAAGTTCATCAGATTTTTTGGTGGAATAATCTGGGAAAGAGACTCTTGAGATGTTGGGGGAATTAAGGGCCATCCTTGTTGTGGAATTTGGTGAGAGTCTTTGAGGAAAACAGATTGTGGGCAATCTCAATAACAGAGCCATTATAGATAAACTAACAAAAACCCAATCGCCAAATACTTGTGGGACATTTATTGGATTTGTGGAAAATTTGCTCTGCTCTGCTCAGGCTCCTCAAACATTTCCTTTGTAATTTCCGGTTATTCAACGGCCATACTTGGAAACTTTGACCAAGTAAATGCATGATTAATTTTTTGGATTGTTCTGACATCTGCCCTTAATTTTAGATCATTTTCAATTTTGTCCCTTTGACTTCAAAAGCTCTCACTTTTCTCCCTATATTTTTAATTTTCTTTTTTTGATTCGGGGCCGCGGCGTATATTTTGAATTAATCACCCTTCTCTCTGTGCGTGTGTGTGTGTACATATATATATATATATATATATATATATAAAGGACAGGGAATTAAGTGACATCTTGTGGTCTTTCTCCTTTTATTTTCAACATAAATTCTCAGAGCCGAATTTTTATGAGTTGGACAAAGAATGACTTTGTTTTATGGATTTGAAATGTTAAATATGCATTTATTTATTGAATTTGAAGGCAAGAAATCTGAAATGAACGGATGAATGTGGCAATTCATTAACATTAGAAAATAAATATATAGTAACACAATTAAGGGGACAAACCTTATATGGTAACACAATAAGGGGAAAAAAGTAGTATGATATTGAAGGAATGAAAAAAAGAAAAATCTGAAATGGTAGAATGGATATGGCAATTCATTAACATTATGGTAGTACAGGATTTTTCTTAGAGCAATATTATAGAAACTTATTAAATTCAAGTATCTTAATGGATCCCCACTTAATTCTTCTTCAAATCATATCCTCACCCTATAAAAATGGTGTCACAGAATTAAGTGTGTTTCAGAGGATCAATGGAAATCTCAGTGAGGTTGATGCTCAAGTTTGCTGTGTTTTTGATGCTGCTACTGTTGCTCGCCTTCATGGAAGGCACGGTCCACTTGTTGCAAGGTTAACCCCTTATGTTGCTACAAGAAAATAGGACTCCCATTAGGGACCCCAAAGCCCTAGGGTGCTAATAAGGGGCAGTTTTACGTTACCTATATTCTTCTATCTCGTCTCTCTATGTGTATCTATCAATGTCTCTTGACTGAAGACTGGTAGTAAGTGGAAAAAAAGTATCAACAAAAGATTATTTCAGCTAATAAATCACAAATTTATTGAGGAAACGTTATGATTATGTGGTAAACCGCAACAGATGAATTATTCTAAGCTCCTTTTTTTTCGGCCGTTAAAATAATATAAGCCAAACTACTATGAGAGACTGATATATGATGCGTGGTTTCTCTTCTTTTTAGTGAATTTTAGTACTTTAATCAATAAATGAACCAACAAAGCTCGAAATTTAGACAGGAAAAATAACTTTTCTATGAATTTTTTTTTAAGGGCTATGAATGTTTATTATGCCATATTGATTATATTACAAAAAATACACATTCTGTCAAACTGATATTGAAAATATCCACACATATCAGTAGATGCTCACAGGCCAAGATCGGATATAAAACTTTCTACAGCTTTTTACTACAAAATGTAGATAATACATCACATCCCAAAATGTCTAGGCTCAAAACTATTGCCACTGGCTGCTGTCTACAACAAATGTGTCAACAAACTTACATCAGAGATGACGGTTCCTTAAGAAAGAGACAAGCTAAAATAAAGGAAAGAATATTATTACAAATCAAATAATATGTTGAAAAAGATTGCAAATGCATTTCCTGGTGACATAGTATACTGCACTTCAGCCTCATTACCAGCCACCGAATGGGGACAAAAAATCTACAGCTTCAAATCTTTCAACTGTTGTCATGTGCCTTTTTGTATGTAATTCACATCCCAGATGATGTCCGGTTTATCTTCTGTGCCCCCAATTTGGGAGCAGCAGGTTTAGCTCCTCGGCCTTTACCCGCTGATAAAGGCTTTGCCCTGGTTGTGGGTGCGGGAGCAGCAATAGCAGCCCAAGGGTCATCGTCATCAACTGTTGCACTGGCTTTCAAGTTCAAAGGTTTTGATGACGTTTTTGGAGCTGGTGCAGCTATGGAGCCCCACAAATCATCGTCATTATTTTTAGCCATTGCTGTACTTTTAGGCCGTAAACTCGTAGCTGCCATTGGAGTAATCAGAGGAGGTTATTAAATTCCCCAAAAATACACTAAAAGAACAAATCATGTATATGCACGTCACTAACACGAACTACATAGAATGGAAGAAGCAACTATAAGCTTTTGGTTATTTCTAGCGAAATTTTGTATGCAAATGTTCAGCTACATAACAAAAGAAGGAAGAAAAAAAAAGTAATAATATAAATATATCAACAAGAACCAATAATGACCAAGAGAATTTCAAATCTTCACTTCAAGGAGGCAATTTTTTAATCAGTTTATAAGCAAAGTGACAAGAAACAGCACTGCTTTGGTCTCATGAACTTAAGCAACTATATCAATGGAAAATCTTATGCAAAACTCTAATTGATGCATAAATATATACAAACAAAACCAGGAGAAGTTAATGTGCAATCTGAATGAGGCAGTTCAATTCACAGCATCCGACATTGTACTAAATCCTGGCCAGAAGTTTAGTACAAAACATTACCTGGTTGTTTTGGCTGAGAAGCATGCAGTACAACTGGCCGCTTTTGGGCAGCTTGAATGTTTGAAAGTGCTGGGGATGGCTTTGGCTCTTCAAGGGGTTCAATATCATCCCAACCATCTTTGTCAGTTTCATGCTCTTCATCAATTCCATTCTCAATTTCTCCCCAGCCATCCGTGGACGTGGGGGAATCAGGTACAGGCTGCTCAGCAAAATCCGGCTTGGAACTTACATGGGCAAGAGCTGTACTTGGAGTATCTATAACTAGGATTGTCAGAGAAAATACGTTAGATATTTAGCTGTAGGACAGACTACGCACTTAAAAATATGAAAGAAGCTAAAGGACTGACAACAATTGCAAGTTCTTTTTATTTTCTTTTTGGTTGAAACAACAATTGTGAGTTGTATACTATCTAGAGATGGCTGTCAAAATAAATTACTACTTTAAGTTACCATAAATTTCATAAAGTAGAAAAACTGCAAGGAGTAGATACATCTCAAAAAAGTCTGTGCATTAATCATATCTCCAGTCCACAAAATTCACAAGTATCCCTAAAAGCATATAGTTCAACAATGTATACCTGAGCTTGCATTCGAAGTTGTAGAAGATAGAGGTGCACTAGTATTCACAGGAGCAAGTGAGGCTTGGTCAGATGGTTTGCCCTTAAGAGTCAATGAGCTCATAGCCCATCTGCATGGTTAATTCAATACTTTCATTAAAGAGAACTTCAATACTTTCATTAAAGAGAACTGCATAAAATTTATCTGGCCAAGATGCATCTCTCATATTGGCAGTTCAAAGAACGATATGGTACAGTAGAATTAGCATTAAGATAGATTAAGACCGTGAATACAGAACAGAAAGCAAAAAATATGTTGGAAAATAAACTAATGGAGGGCAGATTTTGAAAGTCCTATGCTTGAATCAATACATAAGAACAGTCTGTTCTTGTAAAGTTATTATCAATAAAGAAAGGCTCTTAAGCAACATGGAGAAAGTATTTCAATATTGTTGACCCCTGGTTTCCATACGTTCATTCTGCATGTGCAAGGCCGACATGTGCAGAGGAAAATCACCATAAAGATGGACTAATGGAATTCAGAAAAAAAGCCAATGAGATAAGCATGCTTTCGCACAAAGTTAATGCTCTTTCGAAAAGCTTGAGCAAATAGGAAACAGGCCCAACAATATATATCAACCAAACAGAATCTAGCAGGGAGTTTTAAAATATTAAATATTCAATGAACAAACAACTTACCCCAATAAACTGGCATTTCCTGTTATTGACGAGATTCCAAGATCCCCCGTGGTATCTCCTGAGTTCGTCTACAAAGAACCAGAAAAAGTTCACATCACATAAGATAATTGTTTCCCCTCTGTTTTTATGACAACGTCATGTAGATTATTAGAACGTAGGGCAGTAACCAAGCATTATCTTTGCAAAAAAAAACAAAAAAAAAAAACAAAAACAGAGAGAGAGAAAAACAAAACAAAAAACAAAAGAAAAAGAGCAACCAAGAAAAAAGAAGACAAGATAAAAAAGAAAACGCCCAGCTGACAAGCAAAAACAGCCGTTCAGCAGCCATTAATTAGGCGTGCATTATGAAAAAATATTTAGGAAATCCAGCTACCCAACACCAAACTGAAACAAACATATATAGAGGAGTGGGTTGGTCTTTGTTTTACTTAGCCCAAAGCAAAAAATCAGTGAGGCTTAAGCATCTAGCTTCAATTTGGAGAGACGTTCCTCAATGGTAAAACATTTCAGCCTCAATTTCTCCTTTCAAAACAAGGAAAAGAAGTGAGCTATGCCAACAATATGGTTTCTTCCCATTAACAGGCAGAAACTTGGAAAAAAGTAATGGACAAGGAAGATGCTAGGTAGGAGCAACACTCCAACAGTATCTGTTCTAACTATATACCTCACTAATCTCTTCCTATATCCACTTAAAAAGTATTTCAATCAACAGCAACGCACCTTATCATGGTATTGCTTCACTAGTTGCAGAAATTGATCAACTGCTTGAAACGCCTTTGATCGAACATCACTGCTTGAGGGGGAAAAAAAGGCCAATGTTGTGGGAAAGAACAGTCATTAGAAATCAGATGAAAAAGAAAGCACATTTATTTTGTGTATATAAGAGAGAAATTTTAAAAAATAGATAAATAGATAAATAAGGAGGAGGAAGCACGGTTATTTTGTGTGTATAAGTGAGAAATAAAAAAATTAAAAAAAAAGAAGAGAAAGCCTCCTTTGACAGAACATATAAAAAAATGACAATACTATAGGAAAGAACAGTCGTTACAAATCAAATGAAAAGGAAAGCAAGTTATTTTGAAGTTCATGGTGTGAGCATTACAGATTGGTAAGATGGACAACAAAAACACAAAGATGACATAAAACAAATCATACCTATCGGGATCAATAGTAAGTACAACAACATTTGGGAGAATCCGAGTTGCGATCTCATTGATGTCATAATAAGAACCGGTGGCACATAAAGCCATAATGCCTGCCACATAAAAATTTACTTAGTGGATCAAAAGAAATCTACTTGGTTTGCATCTATAGAATCACTTCATATTCAAAGTATTTTACTAGGGGGAAGCCAAGAAATCAACATTAGAAGTTCATATACCAGCTCCTCTGGCAGGTGAAAATGTATCACGCAGTGCACGAACAGTAAACGCATTGATCAAAACTCTTTTTCTTGTCTGCATTGTAGGTATAAAGAAAACCATAAGCTCTACTCACACATATATAACAATAAATCATGTTAAAAATGGTGATTGAGTTACCTACAGTAACAGTACCAAAAACCCTTAAAAAGAACAAAAGATTGAGCTAGAGATCAAGTGTTTAATAAGAATTTTGAGATTCAAAGATGCATATCCACCAATAAAATTGTAAAACTGATTAGTTGTTGATACTGACCCCTTCGTTCAAGTAGCTTGCAATATTCCCCAGTAATATAGTGGTGTTTGTTCTAATTGCTGGCTCTTCATCAACCTAAAATGGTAAAAAGAAAAAAAAGTATATATATATATATATATAAGACAGAAAATATCTAAACCACATAAAGAAACAGTGTAGGATGGAACAAAGTCATCAATGTTTATTAAAACCAAATCTGAATGCTTGAAGCAATACCTGTAACTTGGACAGATACTTCAACAATGACCCTGAAATGGTACGTTGAGAAAGCTGCAATGAAAAGATAGATAGGTAAAGTAAAGGGCGAGAGAAAAAATGAAAGAGTGAACTCCGATCAAGGCTTTCATAGCTAAGTATATTGCAAGAAACCATAAAGAACTCCAACAACAATAATGTATAGGCCTTATATACATACCTTTGGAGCTAGAACAAGCATGGATTTAAGTGTAAGTTCACGTAGAAAAGCGGATGTGTCAGAGAACCCAGTTGCTACATGAGGGTAAACCTAGTCACAGGCAATGACCAGAATTTCAAAATCCAAATGCTAATAATAAAACAGTGCAATCCATCTTGATGTATACAAATAATTAGAATTTCTTGATCATATAAAGACAATAAAACAATTTATCATTGACTGCATACTTGCTCATCAACCGCTTGTGCCGACAACGCTTCTCCAAACTGATCTATATGTTGAAGGAGACCAACTCTAATAGCTCGATCATTGGAGGCAAAGAGTTTCACAACTGTAGGAAGTACCTAAAACAGAAGGAAGCAATTTATTGAGGACGACCATATTCATAGACTTCAAGAACAAAATATGATTTGGCATGGATAAAAGGACAAATAAGGAAAAAAAATGTAAAAATACATACATACATATATACATATATATATACATGAACACGATTTAGAAGACATTTGGCAACAAAAAGGAAAGAAAGCATAACAATCATAATATAGACGGCTGCAAAAGAGAGAAGAAAGACTGAAACCTTGATACTAAATTCTTCAGTTGAAAGCCAGGAACCCATTTTTAATAGTGCAGTCAAAGCAGGGGCAGCAGCTGAACCAAATTCAAGGGCAGAAGCTAATAAAGGAAGCAACTGTAGGAACCAGTAGATAAAAGCATAACATGAGAATCATAAGGAAATTGTTTGCTTCATAAAAAAGTCAGATAATAATCATCAAGATTCACACCTTTTTAAGCACGATCTGGCGAGGAAGCTGCTCTGCCAAATTTGGAAGCTTACGGAAAAAAGTATCCTTCTCAACACTGTCTTTCAAATTTAAGATCTCCATGAAATGTATAGTATCTACCAACTTGTTCTGGAAATATTCTGGGAATCAAATTACAAACGCTTAGTGCAATTTCAAGGAAAAGAAACAGCAGAAAATATCCAATTCACAAGTTATGGCTAAGAAACAACACCATGTACCCAAATAAAATGCGTACTTCACACATTGTCTTTTTCCTGTCTATATAAGAAGTGTGTGTGCCTATGAGCGCACTTAAGTACTATAAACGACAATTTACTTAGAATTTCTTCAACAATAACCGCAACTTATTCAGGTAACTCACCACTATTTTCTAAAAGTTTTGATGTATTCAACCTGCGAGAAGGCGTGGAACTTAGAAGCCGCTGATAATCTGGAAGCAGAGACTGTGAGACAAGAAATAGACAGATGCAATGAAATAAATCTTTTGGAAAGAATAATGGAAACCAAATAAACCAAATACTCATATAGATAGCTCCCACTTATTCAACACATACTCATAAACATGTCTTAACTACAAGAAGGGTAAAAAAGAGAAGCGAGACATGCTTACTGAAGAAGAAACTAAAATTCAGATATGGAAAATATCATTGAATGCTTATTCCGGAAACATATTGTTCACCTTTGGAATGGAAGCAGTATTGCGCAATTCCTCTGTTTTGCTTAACTTCATACCGGAGAAGAGTTCATATATAAGACAACCTATCAACGAAAATGGGGAAGTTTCAGATTTAAAAAAAAAAAAAAACAGTTGACCATAGTTTATAAAAAACAGATGAGATATTCAACAAACAATAAGCTCCAAAATCGGGCAATATCCTTGACGAGAACTTCGATCATATTTGTTTACATCGTTGCCCCTTTTGAATCTAAACATTCATTTTATATGAGAGGTGACAAAAACAGGAATTATTGGAAGGCATTCCTAAAATATACCAGAAATCACACAAGTCCAACAGTGAAAATCACCTATGATATAGCTTCATATAATACAACATTTACAACATTTCCACAAATGAAGCAACAAGATACCCACCCAATCCCCAGGAATCAATGGCCCAAGGTGGAGATTTTCTAATTGCAGCCCAATCAGACTTTGACAGCTCCATTGGTTTGTATTGCGCACCAACAAGCCATGCATATTGCTGAATGCATAAAAAAACTTGTAAGAAATCAATCCCACCTCAAAACTTTGCTCTTCTAATAAATTTCAGTGAGTTTTTTCTTTTTTTTTTTCGCAACAAACAAAAGAGCACCAAGCACTATTCACAAAATAACACAGAATATACAAAGAAAATTGCATTATTACAACAAATAAAACATGTATTTACCAGAAGTGCTCCAGAGGAAGCTTCATTTTTTGCATCAAACTCGGATAATACGTCAAAAGCATGCAGCTTCCAATCTAAGGTTGGCGTAACAACAACACTGGCTAAGCAAACATTACCATGAACCTGCAATAACCAAAGATAGGAAGTTCTAATCTATGCAATAATTGGCAGGTTGGTTCAGAAGTAGGATGCGAAGAAAATGTTCAATAAATAAGAAGTAACTTCTCTGTCCAGGAAAGATGTGCTCATACTAGGCCGACAGCATGAACATAGTAGTATTACTTGATAACACTTACAAGTTTGCAATCATTATTTAAGAAGCTGACAGCTTTGGCTATCTGGTTCAGTCCCCATGCAAAATACTCATCCCTACAATCAAGGAAAATAAAAATTCAAGGCCAACCCAGTATCTCAGTGACAAATGAACTCAAAATAATTAACCAAAACATATGCTATTGATAAACATTGATTAAGGTAACTAAAAGACGCCATTCTATCATCCACTAATGCAATAACCTCAAGACACTACTTTGCATGCAAAAAACTATAATCATTTAACTGCTGCATCTGATTTGCTACCAATACAAACCAGGAAGTATGGATTGTTTAGGTTTATATACCTCTGTGTACCTTCTAAACCCAGTTCCTTGATCTTTTCTGATAGAGGCATAACAGGCTCTGTGACAATGTAGATCGTAACCTTCGTGGTAGAGCCATCTAAAGTTTCTGTCTCCGTACTGTGAAGAAATGATAAAATGTTTGGATGTCTGACCTGAGAAAAAACCAAAGCAACTTTTTTAGCTCATTTCTGCGATGGAAAAATGTCCTTTATCTAAATTATCAAAATTTAATTATGTGGACTAGATGATCAATATTATGTTCGAGAGTTTGAAGTGCAAGATGAAGGTTCAGGAAGAACTGATGCTTATTGTACAAGACTTTAGCACAGTCAAAATTATGAAGTATATAAACAATCAAGACAAACGTTAAAATGCAGACATCAAAGAAAACTTACAGTTCGGAGGCGTTTGACACCATTACGACCAGCAGCTAAATGTCCATCCTGGGCATTACTCCCAGAAAGAGAGAATATAGATACTGGTGACCCGTCATCCTGAGGATTAAGATAAAACTTAAACATGTAGACACATAATGGCAAATGATACTCATGCATACATACTCTACAAGTAGATTATATCAGATAAATGAAGCCTCTGAGATCAACAAAACGTTAATTTTCCCTGGTTTTCCAAACTGAGCGTTCGATTTGAATCGATCAATATCAATCTGCCAATATTTATAGAACAGTTGACCAGTATCAAAGGCCATGAAGATCAATTCAGATCAGATTCCAATCACATTTACTACGGAAGGGTATATACCGTTGTTACTAAAACAACTTTGATCTCTGCTCAGGACGGTATTATCCTAAACCTCTAATGACTCAGCTGAATTGTCCAATTAAGCTACTATTCCGTCCTCATAACAACAATTGCATTAGCACAGCAATCACCAAAAGGAAGAAACATAATCCTCAGACAAATTCGCATGAAAAGAATGAGAAAATAATACTAAATATGATAAAATGAAAATCTCTACTGAATTCAAAGCTTGAGCAATTGCGACTTGCGAGATCCATCAAACGAATCAAATCAAAATCCAGGAGGTTTCCAACAAAAGACCGCTTTGGTTCAAATTACGCAAACACATGCGAATCTCAATCGAAATCTTCAAGCAATTCTAATGATCAACCCAATCTAACCCCGACGAACTAGAATTGCATGAATCTTCGGAGCAATAATCCCAATCCAAATGAGATCGATGAATCCAAAGAAACATGTGGAAGCGTAAGAGCAAAGGAGAAGGGATACCCTGGAGGTGCCGCGGAAGTGAGTCCAAGAGCCCCAAGCGGAAGGGTAAGGCTCTCCGATGTTGTAGGGCAGATCTTTCAGCCCCGTTCCAGATCCACCCACCACTCCCTTCAAGAACTTTAACATCTTTGTTTTCTTCTTCTTCTTCTTCCTCCGCTTGCTGTTACACAGACAGAGAGAGTCGGAAAGAGAAGGAAAACGGGAAAGGGAAGGAATCAATCAAAAAAATTAGTAGAAAGAATGATTAATTGCAGTTTGATCCCTCTACTTTAAAGTTTTGGTAAAATGTGTTCAGATTTGAAATTCTTACTCAAGCACGGATCTTTAGTCTGTAGTCCAAAATTTTATCAATACGACGTGTCGTTGATTTAATTCCAACAATTTTATTTGTTCGTTTATTTTTGTCTCAAGGAGTTGAGACTCGAGAGCTCGGTTTTTGAGAGTGCTTGACATAATTTTGTATGCCTAAAATTATTGAAAACCAACGACGTGTCTTTTCGTCCTTGATGACAAGAACTTTAAGAAGACATCTGATTTCTTGACTGAACTTTTCTTTGGAAGAAAATAAAAATCCTACACAAATAAAAATTTTAACACGACACTCGTATAGGACCTAAAATTAGAAGAAATAGCAATCAAGTGGCTTTATTTGCACATATCAACCATATCAAATATGAAATATAAACTAGATGTCTTTTTCTAAATGATTTTAAAAATGAACATGATAAAAAACAATGAAAATTGTAAGCAACAACAATTAATAAAATAAAAACGACATGTCATTTAACCGTAAGCAGAAAATTTTAGAAAACAAACGATAAGTTATTTTTGTCCCAAATGGTAACAAAGTGCACAAACGAACCGACATGTAGAATTAGCTAGATGATGTAAAAATTGTTAATAAAAGAGAAAAATTTAGAAGAAAAGGCTGTGTCAATAGATAGTAATCTACGAGAAAAAAAAAAAATAGAACCTAGTTGCCATTGGTATAAAAATTTCAAGTTGTTTCAATCTAAAGGAAAACAATTTTCAAAAAAAAAAAAGAGAATTGCTGCAGGTCGTGTTCCTTTTCCATAACCCAAATATTGGTTTAGCTTAAAAGACAACAGTAACATACGGTTCGTGAACTAATGATTGGACAAACAAACGGCGTGTAGTTTTGAAGTTGAAATGAAAACGACATGTAGTTTGTTAGCTATTCAGCTAGGCATAAAAGAGAGAGAATGCAGTTTTTTAAGTTACACAAACATCTCTCCCACGGTTTCAATCCCTAATTCCGTTTAGTTCGCTGATTCGAGTTAATATGTGATTTTATGTGAGAATTTTTTACTATAATAAAAAAGTTAGATGTGACTGTTTCTGAGAGTTTTCTACTGTAGCAAAACTCGAATCGACAAAACTGTAGTAAAACTTAAATTTTAAATTCGAATCGGTGAAATAAACGGAATATTTGGTTCTGGCTAAAGTTTTACCTGCCCATTTGGTTCAAGGAAATAGTCATTCCTAAATATTTTTTGTCTTTTGGTATTTCCCAATTTACATAGCCAAAAAAAAAAAAAAAATGCACATCATAATTATATAATCCATTCCGTTTCTTACAAATTCCGTTCCATCAATACATCTTACTTCTGAGCAGCAAACTGAGATTGCAAGCCATGGCTTCATTCATGAGTCTGCGGTCACCATATTCACTCTCTCTGGCTTTTCTTCTTCTCTTTATTCTGGTCCTCTACTGCTCTCCCTTAAACCAAAACCGAGTTTTAAATCTCAAAGTTTCTTCACCCACCACCACCACCGCTTTTGCTCACCATAACACTACTGGCCAATATGTTGCCCCAACGATGGCTCCGGCTCCGGCTACGGCTCAAATGCAACAAAACTACACGCCTCTCTCAAATTCCGGAACGCATATTGTCAAAGTAGGAAACAATATATATATATATATATATATATTACATGTTTTTCTTGTTGAATATACGTAGAAGAATTCTCAATTCTTTGTTTTAATTCTGAGCTATCTATGATTTGTTGTATAATATATATATATATATATTAGAAAAAGAAGAGTAGTGCGCAGAGGATTGAAGAAGACTTGGCTAGAGCAAGAGCGGCTATACGAAAAGCCATTGTAACAAAGAATTATACATCTGATAGAGAGGAGGTTTACATTCCTAGAGGATGTATTTACAGAAACCCTTATGCGTTTCATCAGTTGAGTCCTCTCTTATTAATTGATTAATTAATTAATTAATTAATTAATTAATTATATCTCTAAATCATTTAAAAAAAATTTACAAAAAAAAAAGTTTACTTTCACTTCTTGCCCAAAATGTATAGTTCCATTCAGTATGTTGCGCTTTCGTACTCATGAAAAACATGGTAACTGGTTTTTGTAGCATCTATTGTTGTCCCTTTCATTTCGAATATTTCTCCTAGTTTTAGGCTATTTTTACGTGGATAATCCAAATTTCTGGACCAGAGTTTGGCGTTACTCATTTATGTTTCGTATTTGGGTGGTGGTGGTATTTTGAACTTGAATCTTTTCTAGCTTTTCCCATTTAATTTTCTCACGCATAAAACCAGGATATATAACTTGTACATTTCCAAAAGAGAGAAAGAGGGAAATAAGTTAAGACTTTAGATGAATTAAAATTAATAGGTCAATAGTTTACATAAGTTAATAAATATACCAAATTATTGTTTTCGTCCATAACTTGTATGATTATGAATCATAACTTGACAAGTTATTGTCCATAATTGTCCATAACTTATCTGGCTATGAACTATAACTTGATAAATTTGTCCATAACTTATCTGGTTATAAACCATAACTTGACAAGTTATAACCTATTAATTTTTATAACTAAAAATTGGCCTATATACTTTTTTAAACTTTTCATATTGGCCTATTTTCTACTATTTTCCCAATCTCTCGCTTTCATTTGGTTAATTCAGTCATTATATAGCCAGCTTGACATTTGGTTTCATACAAAAAGACATTTGATATTTTTTTTCTTTTTCGTCTTTTTCTCCCCTTGCAATGCATTATGCATATATATATATATATATATATAGTGTACTAAAATATAAATAGTATTATTTATCTATTTTTAAGCTTCGAACTTTCAATTTTTTTTTTTTTTTTTTTTTCAAAACAGGAGCCATATAGAGATGGTAAAGAGATTCAAGATATGGACCTACAAGGAAGGAGATCTACCCATGGCCCACAATGGCCCAACGACATACATCTACTCCATTGAGGGACAGTTTATATTTGAGATGGAAAGTGGGCTAAGCCCATTTATGGCCCAGCATCCTGATGAGGCCCATGCATTCTTCCTACCGTTAAGCATCTCCAAGATCACTGATTATCAGTACAGGCCCCACCACGAGACCTTTTTCCACCGAGTGGTCCGTGTGTTCGCTGATTATGTTTATGTCGTGGCAAATAAATATCCATACTGGAATCGGACGAGAGGAGCCGATCATTTCTTTGTCTCCTGCCACGATTGGGTAAACTTTATTTAATAGAAAATAATATTAGAGACACCGATCTATATTGTAAATTGTATATATTAATTAATATGGTATATAAATTGTTATTTTTATATTAATATATATTTAAATATGTTATGTCTATTAATAAAAAAATAATAATTCACATGTCACATATTTGAGTTGATGTTGTTAATGTTTTTTTTTTTTTCTGTTTTCATTTTACTGTTTCTTGTTGGGATTGATTTTTCTCAAGCTGCTACTTTCATATTGAACTGCCATTTTTCTTCGACAAAGTTTAAAAGAGAATTATTGGCTAATCAATCTTCTATATGCATGATTTGTTAGGCGTCACTCATCACACGTGATAAACACCAAGATCTCTATAAGAACTTCATGAAAGTTCTATGCAATGCCAATACTTCAGAAGGATTTAAGCCTACGAGAGACGTCTCAATACCAGAATATAATCTAAGAGCTTTCGATCTCGGACCACCCCGGTTCGGCCAACCTCCTGATAAGCGGCCCATCCTCGCTTTCTTTGCCGGCGCAGCCCATGGAGACATAAGGAGCGTATTGTTCGAGAACTGGAAGGAAAAAGACGATGAAATTCGAGTCTATGAACATCTCCCAAAGAAATTCAACTACCATCAACTAATGGGACAAAGCAAGTTTTGCTTGTGCCCCAGTGGGTCAGAAGTTGCGAGTCCTCGAATGGTCGAGTCCATGTATCAAGGGTGTGTCCCGGTCCTCATTTCCGATTACTACGCAATACCATTTGATGACATTTTCAATTGGAACAAGTTTTCTATACAGATCCCGCCCAAGAAGATACCGGAAATCAAGGCAATATTGCAAGCGGTTTCGCACAAGAAGTACTTGACATTACAAAAGAGAGTGAGAAAAGTGAGTCAACATTTTGAGCTCAACAGACCGGCTAAGCCACTTGATATATTTCACATGATACTTCACTCCATATGGCTTAGAAGACTCAATTTTAGACTCCCATTTTAGTTTGTCCGTGTATACATGGATCTATATTCGTCTTCTTTGGACTAAAAACCTGATGTTACATTGTAATTTATAGATCATTATGAGTAAATTGTAATTATTTGATTTACGTCCCTAGAGAGCAAATTGTGTAAGTAAACTTCGTTAGTCATTAATTACGTATATATTATGTGGCTCTCCCATAAGGTTTTAAAATTGGGCCAGAAATATTTAAATCAAAGAACAATTAACTTCAAGGATTCAATTGTTATATGTTGTCATGAAATAACTAATGTTCAATCATTTTTTGGCCAATAATTTTAACTAATCACAAAACTGTTGTTTATGGTGACGCCAGGAGATATGACAAATAGGCCATAAGGTTTTTATTTTTTTTTATTTTTTATAAATAACATGTTCGGAAAGTAATTTTTCTCATGACTTAAGATAATTGTGTACTTATTTGGTTTTCTCTTGAATTGGCATTACACGTTTATGTCTTTACTCTTTAGAATGTGCTCGTCCTTATCCAAAAATCTTTCTTATTTTTGGTCATCTCTCTCTGCACAAGCAACCTCCCCCTACTCAAAATTCTCCATGTGCTTGTGGTTTTGAGTCATTGCACAGCCAGCTTTCATTTGACTTCATAATCAAAAAGGAAATAATGTGTAAAAGAAGAACACATGTGATTTTGATAATCTTGCTTTGTTTGGTTCAAATTAGGTTAACCATGATTTGAATAAAATTCCAAGACACTAAACCCGTGTTTAATGTGTAGATAGTTTTTTAAATTTGACTCTCCACATAAAACATTTTGAGCAAAAAATTTTAAGTAATTTGTTCTTCCTAATTTTCAAGGTCATGGTAAAAAAATGTTTTACAACAACTTGGTTTTAGATTTTTTTTTTTTTTTTTTTTTGCTTGGGACTTTTTTTATTTTTCTCAGGAGCCATTAGAAATGGTAAAGAGATTCAAGATATGGGCCTACAGGGAAGGAGATCTACCCATAGTCAATAATGGGCCGAACACATACATCTACTCCATTGAGGGTCAGTTCATCTTCGGAATGGAAAGTGGACTGAGCCCATTCATTGCGAAAAATACTGAGAAGGCCCATACCTTCTTCCTACCGTTAAGCATCTCGAAAATCACTGATTACCAGACTAGGCCACACAAGGAGACCTTTCCCCATCGACTGGTTCGTGTTTTCGCTGACTAAGAGCCCGTTTGATTGGAGGATTCGTTCTCTAATTTGAATTATGATTCATGATTCATTACAGTAATTTCTCTCACAAAAAATATACATAAATCAAAAATAATTCTAATCTCATAGTTCTAATCTATGAACCAAACGGGCCCTAAGTTAATGTTTTGGCAAATAAATACCCACACTGGAACAGAAGTAGCGGAGCAGACCATTTCTTTGTCTCTTGCCATGATTGGGTAAGCTCTAATTTAACTTGAGATAAAAAGAAGTTGTTCACTTTGAGATGATTTCTTGTTATCCTTGTGTAGGTGCAATTAGGACAAATTAAGAATGTTTATATAAATAACATGATTGGTTGAGTTATTTTGTTTAATTGCATTGTTAATTTTGATTTTGTTGAGGATTTGAACTGTTATTTTGAAACCAATTAAATAGGAGAAAGGAAAAGTTGGCATATTTGTCCAATCATACTTAAAAAATACATATTCGTAACCATTAAAGATTGTGCCTAGTGTAAAAAATTAGCAACTTATCTTGATCTTGCATAGGACTTTCTGAGAGCATAGTGGACGGCTTTATAGAATTAGAAGGATTAAAACCTTGATTTGTTATATATATAATTGTTTATACAGCAAAAACGTATGCAATTGTTTAATTTATTAGACGGGTCTGATCTATGCTGACAGTAAAAACGTATGCAACAGTGACAATGATGGTGTTTGGGCGGCACTTTTTGGCTTCGATGCATGCCTTTTGGGATCTGCTGCTACTTCTGGTGGTTTGTCACAATGCCGGACGCTTTGATAGTATAGCTTGCAATTTGCAAAAATTTTTTCTTCTTCTTCTTCTTCTTGTTTTTTTTTTTTTTTTTTTTTTTTTTTTTTTTTTTTTTTTTTTTTTTTTTCCCTTGGTTTTTTTTTTTTTTTTTTTTTTTTTTTTTTTTTTTTTTTTTTTCCTGTTTTTCTCTGTGTTTTTAGCCATGGTTTTAATTGATTAGTTGGTCTTCGTTTTTATGCTATGTTTGTTTCTCTATAGTTTTTTTATGCGAAATTTTTTATCCGAAAAAAGTTCACACATTTTTATAGCGTTATTGTTTTGCTGATGTGGCAGTGATTTATTTGATACATAGATACAAAAACGAATTACACATTCTGAAATTCGACGGCAGATCCACATTTCATTCCACACCACATTTGACTTATATGCCATCATCATTCGAAGAAATAAGAATTGTGAGTTCTCCAATGTTACGGATTTTTATTTTTATTTTTTTTGAAAGCAATGTTGCGGATTTCTTTTTAAAAAAAAAATGAATAAACAGACAAAAAGAGAAAATTGTGTGTCCATAACGTGGCACCAATTAAAGTGGGTGGCGAATTTCTTGGACGTTGGGAATGAAGCAAACTGGGGAAATGAGCAGAATTGGAGTTTTGCCTCCATAAAAATCAGAATTACAATTTACTTGGCGATATCTGTTCTGAAACAGAATAGCCAAAAACCATGGCAATTATGTCTAAATTCAGTTCACCATATTTGCTACCTTCAACTCTTCTCGTCTTCTTCTTCATAATCATTTACCTCTTCTCTTCCTTTAACTACCAAGCCCTTTTCACCCAAAACCCTTCTTCTTCATCATCATCATCATCATCATCAAAATCACACAGAAACGATCAAACGGTTCGGCAAGAATCACCTCCAAACCTTCACCAAGATGGGCATCAGATTATTCCATCTTCCAAACCCAGTCAGAGCGTTGGAGAACGAGGCAACGTAAGATGAAACTGTAGGAGGTTTCAATATTATTGATTTCTTTTTTCCTTAATGGGATTTTTATTTATTTATTTATTATTTTTTATCTGGTTATGAACAAAAGAAAAAGAGTAGTTTGGAGAAGATTGAAGAAGAGTTGGCCAGAGCAAGAGCAGCTATACGTGAAGCGATTTTAACAAAGAATTGTACATCTGATAGGGAGGAGATTTATGTTCCCAGTGGAAGTATTTACAAAAATCCCTATGCGTTTCACCAGTTGAGTTTTCTTTTCTGTCTTTCTTTCTTTATTTATTCTATACAAGATTGGTATATTTATCAAAAGAAAAAAGAAAAAAAAAAGGTTATGGCCCTAGAAGGAATTCTTTTGAAGTTTCTTTTCTGATAATGCTGCTATTAGGAAGCTTTTCTTTTTGTGTCATTTTCAACTGTTGAGGCTAATGCTTTTTATGGACCGTCGAAATACTTATCTTAAATCCTTCCCCACCAAAGAATCATTCCATTTGATTTCTGTCAAGATTCGTGTATAATAATCCAAGTAATCGTCCATATATAGTTAGCAATTTATATCAAATAATTTTCTTCAACTGTGTGTTTATATAAGGAAAAAATAATAATATTCTCGTTTTAGATGGAAAAAAAGGACAAATTAAATCTTTTTTTATTTATTTATGATAAGACCAAAATGATCACTAAAAGACAGATGCTTAGCCTACATTGCGAGCAATTTCATCATTTTTTTTTTTTTTCAATTTGTTCAAGTTATACGAATTTATTAATTTTGCGTTCTGTGTAAGTTTGCATTCACTTTTCCGTAGTTAATTAGTCACTGCTTTCATAAGACTTTGACTTTGATTTTTCAGCAATATATTACATTTGTTTTTTATTATTTGTTTTTGACAAATGTACCCTTTTGGATCAACAGGAGTCACATAGAGATGGTGAAGAGATTCAAGATATGGGCCTACAAGGAAGGAGAGCTACCCTTGTTTCACAATGGGCCGATGACATACATCTACTCTATTGAGGGCCAATTCATGGACGAATTAGATACCAGTGGAAAAAGCCCATTTCTGGCCCGTCATCCTGATGAGGCCCATGCATTCTTCATACCTGTAAGCGTGAAAAGAATTGCTGATTTTCTCTATGAACGGCCTAATCCTCACGTGTTCCACGGTCGATTGGTCAGAATTGTCACAGATTATGTCAACGTTGTAGCTCAAAAATACCCCTTTTGGAATAGGAGCAGTGGAGCTGACCATTTTATGGTCTCTTGTCATGATTGGGTATGATATTCTTTTCAATGAAATTTACTTTCCACAGTGATCACGTATTTGTCATTTTTGTTACAAACATAATTTAGCGATAATTCCAGTCCGACATCATAAATATAGAGTTCACTAAGTTATTTCACACATGATTCTACTATTAGGTGTAGGAGTTTAAATCCCCGACCTAAATTTAGAAAAAAAGGAGGCTTATTATTCTACACAGATTTCATATCCTATATAATCCTTGAACATACAAAATATGAAAACTTTTCTATTGATTTCCACAATTTTCATTGGAATGTCTTGAATCCTGCCTCGTCTAAATAATGTTTGCTCATTTCAAACAAATGTTGGAGTCTCTTCATTGGCTCTTATCTTATGTGTTGTACTTGGTTTTTCAGGCGCCAGAAATTGTATATGATGACCCTAAGTTCTTCAAGCATTTTATGCGTGTGCTATGCAACGCCAACATTTCAGAAGGATTTATGCCCATAAGAGATGTCTCATTGCCAGAATATAACTTACCAATGAAAAGTGACAATCTCGGACCACCCCGCCTAGGCCGCCCCGCGGAAGACCGCCCAATCCTCGCCTTCTTCGCCGGAGGCGCCCACGGAGACATCAGAAAGTTCTTGTTTGAGCATTGGAGGGACAAAGACAAGGAAGTTCAGGTTCATGAGTACCTTCCCAAGGGAACAAACTACCACCAAATAATGGGACAGACCAAATTTTGCTTGTGCCCAAGTGGCTCAGAAGTTGCGAGTCCTAGAGTTGTGGAGGCAATTTATGCAGGGTGTGTCCCGGTTCTCATTTCTTACAACTATTCGTTACCCTTCGGAGAGGTTCTTGATTGGAGCAAGTTTTCGATACAAATTTCTCCGACGAGAATATCGGAGCTCAAGACAATCTTGAGGGCAGTTCCGCATTCAAAGTTCTTGAAGTTGCAGAAAAGGGTAATGCAAGTGCAAAGGCATTTTGAACTCAACAGACCAGCTAAGCCATATGATGTGTTCTACATGGTGCTTCACTCACTGTGGCTTAGAAGGCTCAATATTGGCCTACCACATTGATTAACAATTTTTTTATTTTTTATTTATTTTTTGATAAATTACATTGATTTGATTGCTCTGCCCCTTTTTTTCATTTTTAACATTTTTGTAAGGTCCGTTTTTATCCTGGTGTCACAAGTGGTGTTGCAACACTTTACTAAAACACTTTTTGTGACAGAAAATCTAAAATTAAACCAGCAAAACAGTAAAGCAGGAAACTAATACAGAAACGTAAAGGACACCAAAAAAAAATGATATCGTAGTTCGGTGCGCACACCTACTCTGCGGGGCCACGCCCAGACAATGATCAATCCACTAAGTTCAAAAGATTACAAAGGACCGAACGGTCTTACACACTCAACGACTCCCTCCTTGATGTTGTCGCCGTTGCCTAGAATCTTCTTAGAAAGGTTGATCAGCGAGCACCACTCGACTTGACAGTTTTCTCCTGAAACCAAAGAAATCTTCTCCCGAAGAACCAACTCGAAAGCGTTCTAACAATTCGTCGCAACACATCAAGCGACACTTAACATTACAATCTCATTCTGATATGGACAAATGCAACTTTTCTGTTTTCAGCCCTGTGTGTTCATTACACGTTCTGCCCTCATCATCACAAACCCTCATACCACTTTGTTTTTCGCCCAACAATCAGCAACACTCTCCCACCAACAATAAGCACACCCAATCATAGTAATATCTCCTCCATTAACCACAAAATCAGGTCACAGCCCCATGACAGTAAAAAGACCATACTCAAGCCTGAAAATCACCAGCCATCAATACCCCAAAAAGTCCACTCTTGATTTTTAGCAATCAAGATCTTTGATTTGCAACCAATAAACATGACAACTAAAACTTTCCTTAAGAGGCTCACTTATTTGCTGTGCCAGCCAATCTTCCAGCCAATTTGTAACCAATTTGCCAAATATAGTTTTCAACCAATTTGCTAAAAATAAGCCAATACAAAAATGCACTAACAATCTCTCTCTTTGGCTATTTTTGGCAAAACTAACAAAAAAACACTTATTACAAGATAAAAGATAATAAAAAAAAACCAACTAAGGGGGTTAATTGAATTAAGAGTTCTCCCCCTTTTTGACAAAAGACAGCCAAATTTAAAAAATAATACTAATAGAAAAACCTTTTAGAAGCTGTTACTCCCCCTGAGTCCTCTACGAGTCTTACTCCCCCTGAATGTAACACTCTCTTAAACTTGATATTATCACCTGTCAAATGCTTGGAACAGCCACCATTACTACACACACAACCATTAGCACATGCTTCTAAAGAAGTATAAGTCCTATGACACCTTAAATCAGATTTTCTTACCCAAACAAGTCTAGAAAATTTATTTTGCACATCAATCCTTACTTTAGGTGTCCTTCTTGAGTTTGCGGAATTTGGTGGATTCATGAGTATATCTCTCTTCAAAGCATTCAAATACTTATAGCATCTTGGTCTTATATGGCCAGCTAAACCGCAGTAATGACATATGGGAACAAATCTTTTACGTCAAGGGGGTGAAATAATAACCTTCTTACTGAGGGTTGTCCAAGGTTCAGGAGCGGGTGTCTCCTTCACAAATACTGTCTTGGACGTTGAACATTCACCGGTGTAGCCAAGTCCATGACGATCACAACTTGCTTTTCCTATAGAGAGAATATGATCCAATTTGGTGGTGCCGGAATTCATCATCTTCAAATTTTTCTGAGTGCTCTCTAATTCAGCCCTTGTGTCCTGCAACTTTTTATCATTTTCAGTAGCTTGAAATTCATAGTTAACAGCAGCCCTCTTAAGCACATCCTTCTCTTTAATAAGCTCACCAACTCGCTCTCATAGAGACTTATTCATTTCACACACTTTAACCCATTTGCTGAACATGGTCTTATAGGATTCTTGTATGGCATCAATAGTCAACTCCTCACCATCACTGTCACTTTCAGAATCTGAAAAATCTCCTCCGTTTTCACTGTTCACGGAATCTGTTACAGGCAGTGTTGCAACACTGTCTGCGACACTTTTTGTAACACTGTCTACAGAAACACTTTGATCAGTATAAACATTGAAAGCAACATAGTTACTCACATGGTCTTCATCCTCATGACTGCCTTCAGAGTCTTCATCACTCCATGTTGTATTAAACGACTTCTTCTTCTTCTTGAGGGTGTTGGCACACTCGGATTGAATGTGGCCGTAACCGTCGCATTCCCAGCATTGAATACCCATGTTTTTTATCTTCATCTCTGTGTTATTTGCTGCAGCTTTATTCTTCTGAAAGTTACTGGAATTGTCATTTCTTGAATTCTCATTCTTCCTATTGACCTTCTTCATCACCTTGTTGAATTTCTTCGACAACTTTGTTATGGACCGGGCCAAGTCTTCTTCATCATCATAATCAACTTCGGCTTGAAAGACAATACTTTTCTCCTTCTTTCCTTCCTTGGTTTCATCCAAATTCATCTCAAAAGTGCGCAAAGAACCCATTAGCTCATCAAGTTTCATTGTTCGGATATCCTTGGCTTCCTCAATAGCTGTCACCTTATAAGCAAACCTCCGTGGAAGAGTCCTCAAGACCTTCCTCACAAGCTTCTCCTCTGATATTTTCTCTCCAAGAGCAAATGCCTCATTAGCAATATCACATAATTTTGAATTGAAATCAGAAATTGTTTCATCTTCAAGCATGCGTAAGTTTTCAAACCTAGTAGTGAGAATTTGAAGCTTTGATAGTCTCACGGCTGCCGTGCCCTCATGCGCCGTTTGTAGAATTTCCCAAGCCTCCTTAGCCGACTCACATGTAGAAATGAGTTTGAATTGATTGGCGTCCACTCCGTTGAAAATGGCATTAAGAGCTCTTGAATTGCTATTCGCCAATCGATCTTCTTCAGTAGACCATTTCTCTTTGGGTTTCATAGCTTATTCTCCAGCATCATTCTTGGTAACGGGGTGCGTCCAACCAATCAACACAGCACGCCACGCTTTCTCATCAAGTGCTTTGATGAACGCCTTCATACGAGCTTTCCAATAAGAGTAATTGCAGCCATCGAGGAGAGGAGGACGTGAAACCGAACCACCTTCTCTAAAAAAATCCATCCCTGCTATAACAAACCAACTCCCAAAATCTCACTAAACAAAGGGTTAGTGAACTCTGATACCAATTGTAAGGTCCGTTTTTATCCTGGTGTCACAAGTGGTGTTGCAACACTTTACTGTAACACTTTTTGTGACAAAAAATCTAAAATTAAACCAGCAAAATAGTAAAGTAGGAAACTAATGCAGAAACGTAAAGGACACCAAAAAAAATGATATCGCAGTTCGGTGCGCACACCTACTCTGCGGGGCCACGCCCAAACAATGATCAATCCACTAAGTTCAAAAGATTACAAAGGACCGAACGGTCTTACATACTCAACGACTCCCTCCTTGATGTTGTCGCCGTTGCCTAGAATCTCCTTAGAAAGGTTGATCAGCGAGCACCACTCGACTTGACGGTTTTCTCCTGAAACCAAAGAAATCTTCTCCCGAAGAACCAACTCGAAAGCGTTCTAACAATTCGTCGCAACACATCAAGCGACATTTAACATTACAATCTCATTCTGATATGGACAAATGTAACTTTTCTGTTTTCAGCCCTGTGTGTTCATTACACGTTCTGCCCTCATCATCACAAACCCTCATACCACTTTGTTTTTCGCCCAACAATCAGCAACACTCTCCCACCAACAATAAGCACACCCAATCATAGTAATATCTCCTCCATTAACCACAAAATCAGGTCACAGTCCCATGACAGTAAAAAGACCATACTCAAGCCTGAAAATCACCAGCCATCAATACCCCAAAAAGTCCACTCTTGATTTTTAGCAATCAAGATCTTTGATTTGCAGCCAATAAACATGACAACTAAAACTTTCCTTAAGAGGCTCACCTATTTGCTGTGCCAGCCAATTTTTTAGCCAATTTGCAACCAATCTGCCAAATATAGGGGTTGTTCTTTTGGAGTATAACTTGAGTGTAGTTTTTGAGTTGAATTTGAGTTATAACTTGAGTTGAAGTTATAATTTGAATAAAGTTGAGTAAAATTGAATAAAGTTAAAATTTAAAAGAACGTGAACTTAAATAAAGTTAAAACTTGAGTTGTCTTTTTTTAAATTTTTTGAACAAAAGAACATGCCCATAATTTTCAACCAATTTGTCAAAAATAAGTCAATACAAAAATGCACTAATAATTTTGTACGCGAGTTTGAGTGTGAAAAGGGAGGTTTTATACGTGATTCTAATAGATTTTTTTAACTTCAGTAGATCGCCCCTCTAGATAATTTCTTTTGTCTCCATCAATTTAATTGCTCACATTTTTGTGTTCTTAATCTTGTCTTTGTCATTCTTCAGAAAAGAAAAAAACAAATACTTGGATTTGACATTCCAAAAAAATAAAAAAACTAAACCATAATCCAAGTCGCTCCACGTTAGACTGTTAGAAGTATAGGTAACGTTTGCACTCTATATATTTCTCAAAATAAAAAAAAAAATGTCCGAAATTTTCTTTTCTTCTTATACAGATAAAATATATACTAGTTGGATGCCATGTGTAAGTACTATTTTACTTGTATGTTTAAGTTTTACTTCTTTTTATTATTGTTTAGTTTATTTAATTTTCATTTTCACAAAATAAAATTCATGGAAATAATAGGTATATATATATATATAACTTTTATGATCTTTATATTTTAATAAATGTGTTTGATAGTTTTTTTTATTTTTAAAAAGAACAAGTCTTAATTTTTTTTCTATTTAATAGTTAATTACAGTTAACTATAATAGATTTAACACATATGAAAAAACAGTAAAAACAGAGTTAAAAGATTAGCAGAATTGTTCGATTTGCTATATCATAAACCCATTGTAGAAATCCATTTTTTTTTTTCAATCACCTCAAAAACAAAGAAGAAATAAGGAATTGGACGGGTTGTGGCATCATCTAAACCGAAAGGCAATAGTAATGAATATATTGTACAGACACAATATGAACCGTTAAAATTCTTAGAGCTCATTTGTTTGCTGTATTTAAATTTATAGTTTTGATTTTATTACAATATTTTTTTCTCATAAAAAATTTAAAATTTAAGAATTACTAACTTAAACGCACAAATCAAACGAACCCTCAATAAAATAGATAACTAAAATATCACACCATGCATAATGCGTAGTACCAACTCTTATCAAATTTCAAGTTCAAAAACAAGGCGCTCAAAGTCCAGACTCCAGAGAGTAGTACTTGCAAAAACATCAAACAAATCCAAACAAAAGTTGTATTCCACAAAAAGTTCATTTAAAATTGAAAGTTCATAACATTTTTCAATCTTAGCTCACGTTTGGTTGAAGATAATGGAATGAAAAGGAAAAACAATTCCTTTCTTAAAACTCAAATCTCTTGTTTGGTTAACAAAATCACTTAAGAAAGGCCTTTCCAATGGAAAGACCATTCACTTATTTTGGTGGAAAAACCATTCATCCAGTGGGGCAGTAGAATTGCTATTTTGAAGTTGGTGGAATTATTTTTTTCCTAACTGCCCTTTTTCTCTTCTAAACATTACACGAAAATCAAAACTCATTTGAATCTCTCTCAGATCCAGCCAAAAGCTGACCTCGAAACTCCATCTCTGACGCTACCGTCAAGCGTCGATGGCCATCATCGGAGTTGGCGTCCACCTCCTAATCCGCCTCAAGCACGGCCAGAGATCGCCAGAGTTGCTTCCTTATAGAGCTCTTAAGCCCTGCCGGACCATCGAAGCTCACGTTCACCATTGAAGCCTGGATCGTGCGCCACTGGCGGTCCACCATCAATATCGACGCTCACCATCAAAGCTTGCCTCTCTCCATTTTTCGTTTCTATTGTCACTTTTCGTCAAATTTCAAAAACTAAAAAAACATGGAAAGAGATGAAACACATAAAGCCGGTTGCTTCTATTGATTGGGCTTTTCAGATTTCTATATGGATTTATTCTTAGTTGTAAATCTGGTGTTATTCATATTGTGTTCGTGTGTGTGTATACAGTTTTTTTTTTTTTTTTTTTTTTTTTTAAGATTTGGGGTTGTTCATTAATGGTTTTCTTACATTTGGGATAAACTTTGAATAATGGTTAGAACTCATAAATAATGATTTTTAGATTTGGGGTTTTCTAGATAAAAGTAATTGTTTTTTTAGATTTTTTTTCACTCTCTAATTCATACTTGACTTGTTCTATGATAGTACATATGCTTATTTGATTGAAGACGATAGTTTATATACTTTAAGGGTATTTTTGTTAAAGTATAATTAATTTTATTCTATTATGAAGCCATTCCATTATTCCAACTAAATATAAGAATCAGTTTTTATCATTTTGTTAGGATTTTTTTTAATTATTATTACGGATCATACGGTGTGAGTTTGGGGGCAAAAAGATGAGAGAATAATGGCCCGTTTAGTTCGCTGATTTTAGTTTTTAATTCGAGTTGAGATGTGATTTTATGTGAGAGTTTTTTACTGTAGTAAAAAAATTAGATGTGATTATTTATGAGAGCTTTTTACTGTAGCAAAACTTGAATTCTAAACTTAAATCAGTGAAATGAACGGGGCCTAAAGAAAAACAATGTAAATACGTTTCCTTTTCAATCTCTTCCGGTCAACTTCTTTTTTCAAGCTCAAAAATAATAAAATAGAATAATAAAAAAAAAATAAAAATCAAATCCTGAAACAAAGTTAAGAGATATTAAACACACAAAAGAGAAGACATTCTAACTCGTATTTTGCCATAGAATAGAGTTAGATACAATTCTTCCATCAGATCAAAAAGGTGAAGGTTCTTCCAAGAGTGGATTGACCACAGCTCCAAGAAAGATGGGAGTTTCGGAGGTATCTTCTATGATCATGAAGATGAAAGGATGATCGGCGACGAAATCTGTACGCGGTGGACTATACATAGAACTAGTCATGTTTTCTTCGTACGTAACAGCTGCAGCTTCAGTTCCATACTCATCAAACGACAATTCTTCTTCTGATATTGTCGGTCCCTCCGCGTTCTCATCATTATGATCAGAGGGTGCAAAAATAGCCCTAAGTTGTGGGTCAGTGGCCTTCGCTTTTAAGATCAGCCTCGCTTTTTAATCCCAAGAGAGACAACAATCGCTCCAAAGTAGATCCTTTCATCCCTGAAGCAACCATGCACAACATGAAGTTGTCGTTTAATTCGTCGTCTTCATTGAGAAGAAATTGCTTCATAATCCGCATATCAACTCCATGGTTTTTTTTTTAATTTTTTTTAACCTAAGCAGTAGAAGCGGGGCCTCATTCGTTTCACTGATTCAAGTTTTACTACAGTAAAAAGCTCTCACAGACAGTCACATCTAACTTTTTTGCTACAGTAAAAAGTTCTCACATAAAATCACATCTCAACTCGAATTCTAAATTCGAATCAGCGAAACGAACGAGACAAATTGTTTACGGTATTTTATGTTACTTCGGGCCCCTATAAGAATAGTGTTTCAAATCCCGTTAGGAGAAGACTTTTTTTTAAAATTTTTTCAGGGAAAAGGTTAAGGATTTCCCTGTACTCTATTTTTTTTCTAATAGTTTACTTTGGATAAAGTTATTTTAATTATTGTTAATTTTTCTAACGGAAAAAAACATATGTTAGTTATTGTTCTAAAAAAACATATGTTATTTATTGTTCTAAAAAAAACATATGTTATTTAATTTTTTTGAAGGTTTTTTTTTTTTTTCGTGTTATGTATATATATCATGATTTTTTATTCTTTTATTCTATTTGATTTTATTTGTAGGGGAGGGTCTTGGCAAAGATCCAATATGCTATAATAGGAAGAGTTGAAATTCAAAAGAAGAATTACCTGTAAATGGATCGAATCCAAATCAGATAAGTAATAAAAAGGTCACATATAATTGACTAAAATTAACGAGAATAAACATATATAAGAGGAGCGAGTCAAAAAAAAAAAAGAGCTACTCCACTTTTTGGTTCCAGTTTCACCGTAGTGATATTTTGATCAGAATCTTTTTTTGAACTCCGTTCTTTTCGCTGATTCGAGTTAATTTTACTACAGTAAAAAACTCTTAAAAACAGTCACATTAAACTTTTTTGCTACAGTAAAAAATTCTCACACAACATCACATCTCAACTCAAATTAACGAACCGAACGGGCCCCTGTCATGTCACTAATTTTTTTTTTTTGAACGGGTCACGCCACAATTTTTATGTCTTTGCATTTATGTCACTGTTATTATGCATTTCCACTGAATTGCTTGATAGTAATAAGATGCTATTTCTGTTGTATAACACGTTCTGCTTGAGGAATGTCATGATCAAAGAAGAAAATGACATTGGCACTGGAAGATGTCCTACAAATTTAACATAAAGAAGGAGGCTTCGAAGATTGGTTCAAGCATGTGAATGATGTCTATAGCGATCCTTGTCCCTTGAATAAGAACTGTGGTAGTCACGATCTGCAATATCGGAAAGGTTGTCAGATGATCTAATTCACACAATCAAGAAACCATTAAAATGAAAAAACAGAACAAAAAACACACACAAATCAAAACAAACCTCTTGACGAGTGATGTCTTGATTTATCCGAATGCCCTCCTGCACTCGACAAAAGAAATTCATAGAAAAGTTATCATTATGCCCTTCACATGAGGCAAATATTGAAAGAAATGTAAACGGGGAAGATGGTTCATAAAATGAGGGAAATTCATTAGACAACCTGAATCCTTTGATCGATCCTTAGAACGATGACGATGGTCCTTATCTCTGTCTCTGTCAGACTCATCTCTCTCTCTTTCCCGGTCAGAATCCCTGCCTCGGTCACGATCCCTAGACTTTATTCTGTCCCTCTCTCTCTCCCTGTCCCTGTCCCTGTCCCTGTCCCTGTCTCTTTCTCTCTCCTTGCTCCTTTCCCCACTTGCTTCTATTCTACGCTCGGATTTGGATTTCTGCATAGACTCTTCTTTTATGTCTCCTTCAACAGGCATATTCTTAGATTCATCACTACTTTTTTTTGACTCCTTCAGTCTGTCACTAGCTACCTTGATCGGTGCATTCTTGGATTCACCAGATTCAGGATTAGCTACTGAATGTTCCTTGGAATTAGAAATATCACCATTAGCTGGTGAGGTACTTTGTGAAACTTCCTACAAAATGGAAAATAAAAACAAATATTCATATGCATGTTATCAATGAAATTTAAGAGTAACAGACTATTGATACAATAGACCATGAGCATACGATTTTCATCTGGAGTTTCCAGCTTGCAGTACTACATGGTTTAACAATCGTTTCTTTTGGCAGCTAGAGTATCAGCTAAGACTTACAGACTAGTGCGGTCTAGTAGAAGAAAAATGTCGCAATCCATTTTCCCAAAATTTCCTCTCTTTTAACAGAGTTACAGACACTATCATTTTCAAAACTCACAGATTACAGAAACAGCAAAAGCATATGCGGTATAGCCCAGGAAAATACCATGGGAAGAATTAAGTTTGAAAACACTCTTTAGTATTGTAAACTTTTAAAATACTAAAACTGTGGTTTGTAAATTTTACTTTTAAAAATACAATTACGACACTGTATGATCTTCAGAAACATGTACTACTGTCCATGGATAAGTATTTTTTTCAGACAACTATACAGGGAGGCCATAAAAGCTCCTATATTCAAAATAGAAGACAGATACCTTATAAAAACTATCCATAGAAAAGAAAATTGGTGTTAACAAATTATTGAGGGACGTATTATGATGTTCTACCTGGTGTTTGTGGTCTAATAAAGCAGTATATCACAAATACATATCTTCCCGCAACAGAGGCAGTTAGCATATCATTCCACAACATGCAGTCAGTAGGCAATTGCAAAGATGGTAAAGAATGCAGAGCCTCAAGCTATGAGTGAATTTTAAATAAATGCAAAGATAAACAAAAAAAGAATTACCTTTTGAAGTGGCTGAGAATGTGAATCCCGTGATTTGTTCGAAAAGGTGAATGAATCACCATCCTTACATACAGGTATGTATTGCGCCTTGGGAAGACTGTACAGGTGAGCCAGAACCCTGCAAACTTCATCAATTCCTGATTTGTCTGCGTCAAATACCTTCCACCACGGAGGGTTCTCCGGAAGGGGTACTTGAAACCTACGAGCAGCAGCATATACAACCCCACAAGCCACAACCTCACTCTTGAATCGAACACACAAGGTCGTACGTAAGCTGTCCCCCAAAATGAGTTGTTTTAAGTAATAGCAAATACCAAGAGCCAAAAAGAAAATTAAAGAGATAATAAGATGCTGCCCAAGCATGTCTTTAGTTACAATGATTATATCATGTTTAAAAACTTCCAAGTCAATTCCAAAACATTCTTTACACCAAACATTGAAAGTAAAATGTCAAGTAAGTACCTGTCATTTGCCAGATTCCAAGCTTCTTGCCTTAATTCTGTAGGAGTTCCGAGGGTAGCCAGGTAATTCGATATAAACTTATGAGGATGTTCAACATGACAAATGAAACCCATCTCTTTCAATGTATGTCTTTCTGTCCTAGTCAACTCCATCTTTAAGTCGGAATATTTCTGGCAAAGAAAACAAAAAGATTGTTCAACAGAAAAAGGAGACTCCATAAAGTATAGCTACTCTTGAATGCTAAGAGAGAGATAGACAGAGTGAAAGAGTCTCTGATATCTCTATGTTTCAAATAGAAGAAAATTTGAATATAAGCTTCTTACCTTTGAATAAGGGTCCAGAATATCTATGGGTAAGTTCTCCCTCCTGCATTCCATTCTGTGGAAAACAATAAGCACTTGTCTAGCTTTCCTAGGGCATTCCTCCAGCTTTGATGCAAGCCAAACACAACTAGCTGCAACTTTCTGCAGACCATATCATACCATAAAAAAGAGTTAAATTTTAAATTCCCCATCAAGAATTGATTATGCAAGTAAATTCTCACAGAATATGTTGACAAAATGGGATTGAAAAACAGGACATTAATCACAAATTTCGAAACAAACATTTTGAGAAACAACCCAGAAGACCCAAATTCAGAAAGTCTTCAATTTCTCTTTCGTAATCTCATAATTTCTGGGCATCCAAACAAAAAAGTCGACGGTCAACGAACCTTGACATTGAAGCGGGCAAATGACTTCTTGCAATAGAAACGATGGAAGAGAACCTGGCCGGTCGCCATTACAGCTTGGGGTCTGAGAAAAAGAAACAATTTTGGCGAACAAAATTAAACAAATTCACATTAAATGAACAAAATCGAAGGGAATTGAAATAAAAGGTGAAAAGGAGCATACAATCGGAGCAAAATTCCGCTTTCTTGAATGAGATCGCAACCATAGATTCGGAGCGTAGTCTCGGTGGCCTCATCAATTCCATCTTTTCTGGATGGAGAATTCTGGAGTTGCTCATCTGTTAGGTAGAAAGTATCTATGGCTGTATAGATCATCTTCAAGCTTGAAATCCCTAACCCTATTCCGAGAATCCACAAAAGCGTTTCAAAATAGTTTTCAAACTCCTCTCCAGTTGCCTGACTAGCTGACAAAGTCCCAACGAAAATGGAAAAAATTTCCTTTGTCCTAATCTGACTGATGTTATTGTCGTTTGCTTAACCCACTACTTTGCTGCTGATTTTTGGGTTGTTCACTAGTGCCAGAAAACTGCGATTTTGATTAAAAGAAAAACAATAAGAATAGAAAATAAAAAGAGTTCCACCAGTTTTTTCCAGTTTACGTCGTTTATAGTAGAGTGCTTTTATTCCGTAATGTCGTTTCTCTTTATTGTTGTCGTTAACTTAGGATATTGTCGTTTCCTAGACGTATTTGTTGTCGTTTATACACTCCTCAGTCGTTTTCTCACTTTTTTTCCGGTGATGTTGCTATTGTACTCAGGGTGTTTAGGCCTGAACCGTTTGGTTCACTGGCTTAAATTTTGTTAATTTAAATTTTTTAATTTGAACAGAAATATTCAAATTATATAATTTAAATTGTAGTTTAAATTGACAGTTAAAGTTTTAATTTTAACAGGAAATAAAATTTAATTTTGTGTTTAGTATGTATAAAAAGTACAGAGAGTTAACACTTTTTACTCTTTAAAAATGATTTGAACGGTTAGACTTGATAAGAGAGCTAAATTCTAAGTTGGATCGTTTAACTCAGTTTAAATGGAAAGTATAATTCTTATCAAAAAGCTAGTTCAAACTTTACTCACTGTTCAAATTGAATTGAACTAAATTAAGGGCTTGATTTTTCTTTTTAATGTCGTTTCTTTAGATTTTTATTTGTTTTTTTCTCTCTGTTCATGTATTTCCTCCTCTCCCCTGTCTGTCGTTTGTGGCAAACCCAAAAGCCTCTGCCATTGAAACTTCGCTATTGTAAACGGCAGCGTTTGAGCTGTTTGTTTTTGCATCTCAAAGTGGCAATTGCTCTATGACTGTAGAAATGAAAAAGAAATCGCTAAAATAAACATGTGAATTCCTTCAAATAAGTTGTATTAATCTCCCCAATTCTCCCAAAAAAAGCTCATTAGTCATACACCATACAAAATTACGCTTGGCACCGCCAAGTGAAGATGCGAAAAAATATTAATCTAAACTAGATTGGAGTTCTTGAGAAACATTACATATTTGCCCCAAAGTATGTAACATCTATTATAAGATACCATTACGCCTGTATTATGAACCATGTTCTTTCTGTAATTTTCCACGTACATGCAATCTTCATCCACTTCTTCAACCACAGGCTTTGTTGACGTCCATAATCTGCAAAGAAGCATCTCTAAGATGTTGAAACATAATTGTAACTAGAATTTCATAAGATTATATTGATTAAAACGGCTAATTACCTTTGTTTTTCATCGTTTCCGCTCTGCCCGCCACTTGTAAACAGGTTTGGATGTTGGAGAGACAATCTCATCCTCCCGTAGTTTACGCTTTCGGCCCTTTTTCTGTTTGTTAAATGGGGTCTTTTATTACCACTGAATTAATCATATAAGTAACGCAAAAGCATGGCGAGTTTTAGATGTCAATACCTGCAACTCCTTTTGCATTGCCATATCCATGTAGATCTTCTCCAACTCGTTGACTCTATTTCTCCTTGCTTCTAGCTCTCTGTAGGAAGCAGCTGTTTTCCTGTTCATGGAAGATAAAAGAATATGAGATCTAGACATAATAGGCTGCCTACAATTTGGGATAAGTTTTCACTCGTGAAGCATATCAAGAGGTACCATGATATTTGAAAATTTGAATAATCATAAGAGATGCTTAAGATGAGTATGAATAGATAGAGCCATGAACACTTTGACGAAAAGAAAAAAAAAAAAAAAAGAAAAGAAGAGAAGAAGAAGAAGAAAAGGAAACTAATTTTGGAGACTATAAGCGGATTAACTTGTGCTGAAATTCTTTATACCTCTTGATTCGATCAGGAATATCCGCAGAAGCTGGCAGTTTTTCATGGTTTGAAGAACGTGACTGAAGCTCTTTAGCCTCATCCCTACAACAAATGGTTAAAAGACTTAAAAGACAAATATTGAAATATATCAACAAATTAAAACAGAACATATGAAAGAAATGACATGATCTAAAATTCAGCACAGTGACAAGGGGAGATGTCTTAATCCTAAACACTAAATGCAGATTGAGAAGCAAGCATCCAGGCTAATGAAATTTGGTGCTGTAGGAGCTTCTATGAAGTTGCTTTGTCAACAAAATGAGAAGTTTTTCTAGTAATGGAAGTTTTGACTAGGTAAGCAATAACCTAACAACAAGAAGAATAGAGTAAATCATTCCAAAGTATTGAACCTCAGCACCCAATGGCAAGGGTGTCCAAAACCAATCAATAGAGTGAATCATCTAATCAAGGAAGATACAATAGTAAGTTCAACTCTTCAAGGAAAAGACAAACACACAAAGAAAAATTAAAAAAGACCGCAACAATGACTTCACACAGTCACATTAGATGAAAGTTTAATCGAGTAACAGTTAGATATGATGCTGAAAACAAGAATTAGAGAAAAGGAGCTCGAGATCATACCGATCTTCAGCAAAGTAAACATGTCTCTTTGATGGCTGGTTATCAGTAGACTGTAGCGTGGCATTCAGCTTTTCAACTCTCTGCAATAAACGAGACCATTATCAACCCAAGAGACATAAGAACTATAAAACTTTTTACAAGACCATAGCTTCTTAATAAAATCAATTATTACCTTTTTCTCACTCTGCGCTTTCTGAAGTACATATCCAATGTCTTGGGTCTTCATAAGCATAAGCTCTTCCTGAGTGTATTTGTTTGCTTCACCCCTGTATTACATAAAAACATGAGAATTTGTCATTTGGGTATCCAGTAAAAGCAAATAACACTTTTATCCCAGCTTAAAAAAAATAAAAAAATAAAAAATAAATAAACTACTTACTGTACTTTATGGACTCCATCAAAAGTTCGTGACTTGATCATCTTGAAGTAAAATTCATCTGGGTTTCTGAAGGCCGCTTTCTCTTTAAGTCTCTGAGGAGTGACCAAGCAAACAAATCAGGTTAAGCCAAAAATAGGAAAAATGCATAAAGGCTTCCAAGTTTCTACCTGTATAGTCTCCTCCTTTTTGTGGTACGCCTTTGCACGCTCAACATAGTCCTTGTGTTTCTCAAGATGCCCAAATTTTTTCCTTGCTTGTCTGAAATTGAAAAAAAAATAAAAAATAAAACAAACCCAGAAATCCCTCATGTTTCAAATGTATAACGTTAACAAGAAAAGAGAATTTCTGGTCACTCACGGTTGAGCTCGTTCCTTGTGAGCTCGTCTGCTCACAGCATTCCTCAACGATGACATTTTTGATAAATAGCGAGAGAAACCACCACAAATTTCACTCTAAAAAGCAACGAAAAAAAAAAGAAAAGGCTTTAATTCAGACAATTCCCAAGTATGTGAAATCCAAGACGAAAGAAGTTATGGAAAAAAAGAAAAAAAAGAAAAGAAAAATAGGGTTCTTGAGAAGATTATGAACAAAAACAAACCCAAAAAAATTAAATCCAATTTCAGGCTAAAAAATGACGAATTCCAAAGGGAAGAAACGAAAAGGGATGGGTTTTACCTTAATCTTTCCTCGCGGCGGAGAAAGATCGTATTTGGTTGGCGAACGAAAACCGCAGAGACGGAGAGGGTTTTAGCTGAATGAAGGACGTGTTTGTTTGGACGGTTGATGAGCAGGGGCAAAAGTGTAAAATTGAAAATAGACTAGGGGTATAAATGGAAAATCACAATTTATTTGTTCTTCGTTTCGCTGCTGGACTTGGAATGGAAACAGGAAAGTAAGAAGAAACCTCAGTGAGGCTTTAATAGGATTCAACAGCGTGATATACAAAGATCTTCATATTAAATAATATATAAATCTTTCTTTTTCTTTTCTTTTTCTCTTCTCCAAAGCTGTCGTTGAAGTGGGAATCCAAGAAGCCCACAGATTTAAAAAAAAAAAAAACGCCTATTGAATCTACAGCCGCCACCGGAGGCTAATTTGGGTTTCTGTAAGATTTTGTAATTCTGGAAAATCTCCTTCATCAAAGTCACAGGAATCCCAGTTCCGAAAAATCGCGTTTTGCTTTCTCTTTTTCGATTAATCAGTCTGGGTGTGCTTGAAATTCAGAAATTCCGGTGACCCAGAAGCCGATTGGTCTGAATATGTTGGTTTCTCTGTCGAGTCCATCAGGCATGTGTCCTATGATGGTGCCCAATGACTCTTTTCGATCCCTTAGATTTTCAAGAACGATGCTTTCCCACAGTTATAATAAGCAAAGGAAAGAGCTTAACACCGTCATTTGTGCTTGCATGGCGCCTCCACAGAACTTGAGGAACGACGGTTCCTATGCCACCAAATTCAATGTAAGTAGAAACCAAATTCCTCCGGTTTTTGTCTTTTCAAAGTTTTTGATTTTATCGGGCTCTTGTAATTCGTGTCTTACGCATTCGAAATTTCCGATGTAGTCGCATTCGAAATCGGAGGATTTGAGTAGAATTCGGGATTCCGAGGATGATTCTGATGTTCTGATCGAGTGTAGAGACGTGTACAAGTCGTTTGGCGAGAAGCATATATTGAGAGGTGTGAACTTCAAGGTGAATCTAATTCTGTGTATGAATTTTTTAGGAACTTACTAGTTTCTTTGGTTTTGATGACATATCTGAATAATGACTACGATGCCATTTTTGCTCAGTGATTTCTGTTAATGATGCATTATTTTTGTCTTCATGCACATTCTTGGATTTTACTTTGTTTAGATCAGACATGGTGAAGCTGTTGGGATAATTGGGCCTTCCGGAACTGGGAAGTCTACAGTTTTGAAGATTATTGCAGGACTTCTAACCCCAGACAAGGTAAATATGTTATATGGTTTCATGAAGTAATTCTTGCTTACTATTGTTTTTGTTTGATGCTTTGGTGAGTTTTGGTGGGCTTTGCATTATGCTGGGGATCTTTTTCTGATTGAAATGCTGTTCAATGAGCAGGGAGAGGTTTACATTCGAGGTAGAAAGAGGGCTGGTTTGATCAGTGATGACGAGATATCTGGTTTACGAATTGGATTGGTAGAATTTGCTTTCAGCTTGTATATTATTGATGGTTCTCTTTATTTCTCATCTGGGAGAGTTTTTTCTTATGCATTCATCCGTAACTTAACAGGTATTTCAGAGTGCAGCTCTATTTGATTCTCTCACTGTTCGCGAAAATGTCGGTTTCCGTCTGTAAGAAATCGTTTTTATACTTTAGTCATCTCTTGATATTTATATTGTCTGTTTTTATTTATTTATTTATTTATGCATTACATTCTATGAAGAAAAGAGGTAGAGTTGAATCTTGTCAATTTTGTAGATATGAAAACTCGAGCATGTCAGAGGATCAAATTTCAAATCTCGTGACAGAAAGCTTGGCTGCTGTTGGACTAAAGGTATGCTCAAATATGCCAACTTACCAGCCTGGCTAGAGTTAACATTTCCCTAATTTGTCACTTTGCTTTGTGAAGACCAACTTGGTTTTCTCTCTATAGATTTCAACTATCTTATTGAAATCTGGAATGATTGATCGGTTCAGATGAGTACTACCCTGTGTGGTTTTCCTTATCTTTACACCTTCTCCTAAGGTAGTCGGAGTGAAAAATGAGTTAGATGCTTGGGATCATATCAATGTGATTTATGGTTTCTGATTTTATCCACTGCAGCTTATAGAACAAAAGTTAATGTAACTAGATTTCCCTGATTAGAAGTGACTAGAAGAGACTACCCCTTGATTTGCTTTGCAATCTTCCCTTGGTTATGTCTGCACTTGCATATCCTTTGGATTATTATTATTATTTTTTGGCTGAAATTCAATGTTACATCAGGGAGTTGAAGATCGATTACCTTCTGAGTTGTCTGGTGGAATGAAAAAAAGAGTCGCCTTAGCTCGGTCTATAATTTGTGATACTACAAATGCAGCTATAGAGCCAGAGGTATGATTAGCTTATTATTGTGGTTTTCTGCTCAAGACTTCTTTTCTATCAGCATGATTGATAGATAACTTACTGAAAATACTGCTTCTCGTCATTCACATGATTTATGTGTATGACTTTAACATGTGCATAGTCCACATGGTCAAAAAATGGTGCATATGCAAACCAACCTGACTCTGGTTCTTTATATATTGATTTCAAAAAGTTGTCAAAATCTTTAAAAGAACTCTGTCTCTAATATTCTTATAAACCCTTGGAACAGGTTCTTCTGTATGATGAACCTACGGCTGGTCTTGATCCTATTGCATCTACTGTTGTTGAAGATCTCATACGATCTGTCCACATGAAAGGTGAGGATGCTGTTGGAGAGCCTGGGAATATTGCTTCATTCGTGGTTGTTACCCACCAACATAGTACTATTAGAAGAGCCGTTGACAGGTTATGCTCTTTTGTTCTGAATTTTTTTGTTTCTTGTTTGTCATGTGATAGGTTACAAGCATTCCTAAATGAACAACTTGTTCATTGTATGTAGGTTAATATTTCTCTATGAAGGGAAGATTGTTTGGCAAGGGATGACTCATGAATTCACAACATCAACAAATCCAATCGTCCGACAGGTAATTACAAGAATAGTTTTTGCTCAAATGTGTCTTAGAAGACCTATGCAATTCTAATTGCCTAGATTCATTACATATCCTTTTTCCTTTATAATTTGTTTTCCTCTTACGAAATGACTTTTTATCCTTCTATCACATGGCTCTCTCAATGCATAATTCGAGCATCACAATGGTTTTAAGCAGCCATGTAATGTTGTTCATCACGTGTCTTTTCAGTTTGCATCTGGGAGCTTGGATGGCCCGATTAAATACTAGCATCGATGTCGAGGTTTTAGTGTTGTAGAATAGATTACTAGGCATACTCATTGATATCTGGGTCCACTGTGGCTTCCAGAAAGGAGTGCTGGGAAATCATCAGATGAGTTTGCAGAAATAACAACTTTTGCCATCCTTTGCATACTTAAGAAGAAATTTGAGCCGATGAATCAAGTCCCCCATATTTTAGACCACACTCTTGGGTGCAAACTTGATTCAGAAAGATCTTAGATGAACATTATTGTGAATGATTGTTGTAATCTTTGGGATGGTAGAACTATTTTTATTTTTGATATTTATATTCAACCAATTCTTTCTAATTTTTCTTTCTAGTATGAACTTGGGCACCTGTTTTCTAAAATATATGGAATGATCATTCCTCAGAAATTGACACTGAATGCTCGTCCTAATATCGTGATAGATTAACTTGAGAGAGTAACAAATCTAAAACTGTTATGTCAATGCACATGAAGTCACTGTTTTTGTTGTCTATGGTCTGGCTCTGAACAAATCATCTAAACTGTTCCAAAGTTGTTAAATGACAAACAAGGCGAGGCAAGAATCATATAAACCTCTCTTCTTCCCCCACCTTTATTCCTACACTTTGAAAACAAAATCTATTATGACCAGGCAATCATTCAGAGTTAAGAACTGTAGGGGTCAGGCGTTTTACACAATCATGTAGGAAAGGGCACGAATCCAACAGGAAATAATATAAGCCGGGTTGAGTAATATAGTGGCGTTTCAACATGAATAGCAGCTTTTTGGCAAACATGGAAAAACAAATTCTTCCATCACTAGGAGGCTCAAATTTCATTCATATCTTAGCAAGAAAACTTGGCTGCTTACAAACAGGGTAATAATGTTTATCTACAACTCACAATTTTCATATTTTCATGCAAACATTGCATCAAACTTTTGTCTGGAGAACGTAGTTTCTGGCTCGAGGAGAGCAAAATAGAGCCACAACCCCAGAGTAGAAGCTTACAAAAGTACTCAAACAGAAAACCCAAATAGAAATTGGACCCTCATCCTTTTCTCCTCCAAATACTTTCCCTGGAACCTTAGGAAGGCCTTCTGTGTAACACCCTCCACCAGAGGCCTCCACGCACAAGTCCGGGTTTCCGGCAAATGCCCCTGGAAACCTTGAATATCCTTGCTTCTTTGGAACAAAACCAGAGAAACAGTTATATGATAAATTTAGAAGAGTCAGATCTTGGAGGCTGGAAATGTTTCCTGGGATCTGACCTGACAAAGAATTATGTGACAAGTCCAATGCTTTTAAGCTCTTCATCTTCTCCAAATTGGAAACTTGACCATTGAGAAAATTGTATGATAGATTCAAATATTCCAAGCCCTGCAATCCAAACACACCTGCTGGAACTTTCCCACGTAGCATATTACTAGAGAAGTCAATTCCAACTGTTGACGATAGAGTGTAACTGAATCGTAGTTCACTGCTACCAGCAATAAAAATAGAAACTTTGCTGTCCAGATTGCGCATTGTGAAAGTTGGTTCTGTAGGTAGTTTGCCAATGTCCTCTCTGTCGTTGAAGCTCAAGCTGATGTTGAAGTTACTATCTGGTATGAAACCAGAGAATTTGTTGCCCGACAAATCCATCATTTGGATCGTCTCGAAGGTGAAAAACCAACTGGGGAGACCTCCATTGAAATTGTTATGGGCCAGGGAGATATACCTGAGGTTAGACCATTTGGTTATCGCGTCATTTAGACTTCCAGAGAGATTGTTGGAGCTGAAATCTACAATCTCCAGTGATTTACAACCCGCCAAAGTGAGTGGGATCTCACCAGAAATCTTGTTGTTGCTGATGTCCAGTATCTTCAAGCTGTCCAATGCATCGAGCTCTGGTTGGATTTCACCCGAAAGATTGTTGTCGTTCAGTTTCAATGCAAGAAGCTGAAAGCAACCAACAATGTTCAATGGAATCGATCCTGACAAGGTATTGTGCGATAAATCGATCACTTGGAGATAAGTCAAGTTCCCAATTCTCGCAGGAATCTCCCCAACAAGAAGATTGTGCGAAAGAAACAATGCCTGCAAACTTTTAAGTTCGGTAATCTTCAAAGGGATTTCTCCAGAGAAACGGTTGTGAGACAGGTCAAGAAGAAGCAGCCCGGATTTCTCCGTCGTGACAGCAATCTTGCTTGGAAGAGGACCAAAAAAATCATTGTTGCTCAAGTCCAAGATGAATAGCTTCTCCGAAAACACAAGTCTAGGAGGTATCTTATAGGTCAAATGATTGAATGAGAGGTTTAGGTGATTCAAAGCCGTGAGTGAAGCAATACATGTAGGTAATCCACCCGCAATTGAATTGTTAGCTAACTTCAGAACGCTAAGAGACTGAACTGCAGCAGAGAAACAAGGCAAAGTACCCGAAAACTGATTGGACTCGAGATTAAGAAAAACCAAAGATTGGTGAAAATCAGGAAGACTACCAGATAAACCATTATTCCCAAGATCCAAATGCTTCAAAGATTCCAAGTACAACAACCTCTGAGGAATTTCCCCTCTAAATGAATTAAAACCCATATCAAGTTTTTCCAACTTGGTTGAGAAATTACCAATCCACCAAGGAATAATCCCTCCCAAATCCTTATTTCCATTCAAAACAAGTTCTCTCAACTGGCTAAGCCTCATGAGAGAATCAGGCAAAACACCATTAAACCTATTATGACTAAGATTAAGAGTTTTGAGATTCTGCAGATTACCAAAACACAAAGGAACTGAACCGGTGAAGTTGTTCTGAGACAAAACCAGCTGCTCAAGAAACTGAAGCCTGCAAAAATTTGGGTGAAATTGGCCTGACAAGTTCATGTTGGTGAAGTTGATTGAAACCACACGGCCCGCCTGATTGTCGCAGGTGATTCCGGTCCAGTTGGTGCAGTTAGAGCCAACCCAAGTTGAGAAGCTCCGGTTAGGGTCCTGAACCGATGACTTGAACAGTAAAAGTGAGGTTTTGTCATCTGGGTCAATATCAACAGACTCGGAAAGCATGAAAAACGACAACATGACGAACATGAGTGGCACCGCATGCAATTTCTGAGCTCTACAGGTGAAATAGGACAAAACCCATTTCTTTCCCATGAGCGAAAGATGGATTGAAGAGAAGGGTTTTGGCTTTTAAGAGAGTAAAGTGAGAGAAAGGAAAGAACTGAAGAACAACTAACAACAGTTGAGTGGCAAGAGACGTAAAATTAGACCTTCATAGGGGTCAAAAGCCAAAACCTTTCTTCCTGGACAAGTGAAAGGAGAAAATACAAATGCAGAAACAGAAACAGAAACAGAAAGAGAGAGAATTGCAGATGAAGAAGAAAGGGAAAGGGAAAAAAAAAATGGAAGAATGAGAAAGAATATTAGGACTGTTCTTCTGCTTTACTTTACTCAGTGGAAAAAACAGACATTCTCTTTCTATCTTTGTTGTGGTTTAAGAGGAGTAAAGAGAGTAATAATAAATGTGTGTAAACTAAAAGCCATTAAAGTGAGCTTTGGAATCTATAAATCATTCTCTCTTTCTCTCTCTAGAGAGTTTTTTCGATGTTTCCCTATTTTGCTGTTTTAACAGCGAGAGGAGAGAGAGCACATGTTGGGAAGTCATAGGATTTGAGATACATTCTTCTTTCTGATTGGTGACATTGCCTAACTACTTTAATTATCACTATGCGCGTGCCTTTACGCGCCGCTTTTGCTGGGATTTAGAATGGATGAACCCCGGGTGTTGTGTTGGGTCCAATGATGCTTTGGGCTGGACCACTTCAACACTTGGCCCGTTGCTTCAGGTTTTGGGCCACAAACAGGAGCTAGGATGACTTTCCTTTCAAAAAGGCCGACAACTTCTGCTGGGATTAGTGCTGAGTTCGGTCAGACAGCCTTACCCCGTGGCCCACCTCTTTGGCCCAGTGTCTTGTCAGGCATTCTGAGCCGAGCTGGGCTAGATCTCAGACACGTGTGATCCGACAGCCCGACCCATATATTATCGGTGAAAGAATTATGGGCTCTCTAACCGTCTAGCAAAATTTTATTAGTAGAGTTCAAATATAGCAAAATTTTTAAAATATTACAAAAATAATACAAATTTGATATTATTAAAATAATGACTATATTATTATATAATATAAAACGTGGCATTTTTATGAAAATGTTATATTATTTTTACTATATTTATAATATTCTGAAAATTTTGTTAAATTTTAAATATAACTTTTGTCATATCGCGTAATTATTACAAGAAGTATTTTTGTACAAAATACATGGGTCGACCGAGGATTTTACGGCACTAGTTGGGAGTGTTATTATAATATTTTTAATAGAATTTGGGAGTGGGAGTATTATTAGTCGAAGTAAAAGTTAAAAATAAATAAATAAATCAAATTCTAGATAAATAAATAGTATAGTATGTACCTATAAAAACTATTTTTGTATCGCCAAATTCTAATTGAATTTCGTATTTTGATGGATCAAACGTTATTTTGCTCGAAAGAGAAAACCTTTTGTCTTTGATCGTTTCTAATCTTTCTTAGTCAAATCAAAAAAATGTAAGCTTAAAGTTGTTCTAGTTCTTCGCTAGAATCTACATGACAACCAGCTTATCAAAAATTAGGTCATAACCTGTCTTTCAGGTGTACTACATGGTATTACTGGTTACACATTGATGTGCAAATTACGCTCTTGATACTTAGAGGACTTTTGTTTTATGTATTCAGAATCATTCTCGTTTTGCATGTATTTTTTGTGGGAGAAAATACTGTAAAAAACTATAAATCATGATTCACAATCAGTGACGAATATAGAAAACAAACGTCCCATTATAAATTATTACAACAAACGTGCATGGGAGCATTTTGTTTGTAGACTGTCCTAGTTAACGATTTAGGTCCAAATCGTCCTTGCTAGTTGCCACAACACCTCTTTTAGTTTCCAATGGTAGACCAAAGGGTTTCATCTATATTCTTCCCCAGCCAAACCTGAAATAATTTTCATTGGAAAAATTGATAACGACAAAAAAAGTGAGTCATTACTCACTTCAAATAATTTGCTGATAAAAAAAGAGATTTGCCGGCATGTAAAACATTTTTGATTTCTTTTTCCTGTTTATGAGTAGCATATATTAGGTGGGGTGAAACTTGAGAGAAGATCAGGTTGTTGGATAATTTATTATAGCACCAAAAAAAAAAAAAAAGTGCTCAATAATTGATTATTGGTCCCCACTCCCCTGTCCCCTGTGCTATATCCAAGATCTACTATTCATTCAGGAGGACCTGTGATTACTGATTAGAGCATTTGATAGGGGAGACAAAAAAAATCTAATTATTGCTAACTTCCAATGTTAACATGTATACAACAACACTACAAGGTCTTTCTTTTTATTTTTTGGCTAATAAAACACTGAAAAAGTTGTATATTATACGGTAGAATACCAGATAATATACGGGTATAACAACAAAGTTTGTTTATTTCACGTGGTTGCATTATTAGAGGGTTGTTTGACTTTTCTTATCATAAAGGGCAAAAAAATAAAAAATAAAAATGATTCGGTTTGGACTTTGTATAGAAAATCCTGATTTTCAAAAACATGATTATAATTCCAATAGAATAGAGAGAAAAGGAAAATTCCATATTTACAGCTGTGCACATCTGTCTATGTTATGTTTAGTTTATGAATTAGAATCATGTGATTAAAATTATTTTTAATTTATGTGTATTTTTTATAAAAAAAATATTATAATAAATCATGAACTATGATTCAAATTATAGTTTAAATCCTCCAACCATGATTTGGACTTTTGAGTTTTATAAATCTTCTTGTGTCGTTTTCAAGCGCACCGTGATTTGGACATTTGAGTTTTATAAATAAATTGTCCACAATCATGAGAACCCCCCCAAATTAAGAGATTATTTTCCAAATTGAGATTTAAAATATCACGTTTCTACATTAAACTTACTATCTTTAATATTGTGTCTATCTCTTGTTGCTATTTTTAAGAGATTAAAATATAAATGTAAATTAAAAAAAAAAAAAAAAACTCGTTCTTTTGTTTGCTGACATTACATGGAATAGCACTTATCCCTAATAGTTTCATTTTTTTTTTTTCATTTTTATTTATCTGCTCCTGGCCTCTCTTTTTTTGCTCATTCTTCACATGCCTACAAAATTGGATTCCCACTGTACAATCTCATCCACATCCTCATAGACACATACACATCGTTGTTTGTTGTTTCCAGAGAGAGTAATTTTTTCGGACGAAGATCAAGGTTAGAGAAATATCTTTCTTTGATGGGCATTAAGCTTCATCCATGGCTGATTCTCTCAGGCCCTTCACTTTCTTGACACTTTACAGACTACCCATCACCGGACTTCACCTCCTCCTCATCTTCCTTCACACCCTTTTATAGCTTATAGCTTTCGCTCCTTCTCCTCCTTTCGTCTCTGTTTGGTTCCTGAGAAAATCTCTGTATTCTCTCCCGATTCATTAAAATTTTTTATTGTTTTTAATATTTTGTATTCTTTTCATTCGTAAAAACCATACTTTTTGCGTTTTTTTTTTTTTTTTCCTTTGGCTCTGTTTTGTTGGGTTTGAAAAGGTGGAAAAGAGAGAAAAAAGGGACAAAGTTTCAACGGAAAATTGAATTTCTTTTGAATCGGGAATTGCCGGGAAAACGTAGTCAGCTGAGTCAATCGAGGTAGTTTCTCTAGTCCAAAATCTCATCTTGCTAATCAATCAAACTAAGAATAATAATAATAATAATAAAAAGTAGAATTAAAACTTGAAGAATGAAGAACTCAATACTCTCTCTCTCTCTCTCTCTCTCTCTCTCTCTCTCTTTTTTTTTTTTTTTTTTTTTGTAGCTATGGCATCGGTGTTTCTTTACCATGTGGTGGGCGATCTAACGGTGGGGAAGCCGGAGATGGTGGAGTTCTGCGAGACCGAGACCGTCGAATCGGCGATACGAGCGATCGGAGAGTCGACGGAGGGCGGGATAGCCGTGTGGAAGAAGAGATCGGTGGTGGGTGTGATTGAGAAAGCAGAAATGAGGCAACAGAGGTTTGTGGGAATTCTCAATTCACTCGACATTGTCGCATTCTTGGCTAGAGCCGAGTGTTTGGAGAATCAAGACAAGGCCTTGAAGACCCCAATCTCGGATGTTGTCGTTCCTAATAATTCTCTGCTCAGGCAGGTTGATCCCGCTACAAGGTTGACCTCTTCTCTATCATCTTATTAGTCCTTTTGTTTTTTTTGTTTTTTTGTTTTGGCTAATTTTTGTTTGGTTTATTAATTTGTTTTGTTAGTTATGGATGTTGATTGTATAAACTAGCATTGTATTTTAATGACGTTTAACATTGGGATTCACATGTCAATTCTAAGACGTATTGCAGTCAGTCTTACATGTCAATCTCTATCGTGTGATTGTGATGTTGCTAATGTTTGTTTAGCTTATTAATTTGTTTGTTAGGTATATGATGTTTATTGATTATCATTGTGATTTGATGTTGTTTTATATTGCGATTCACATGTCAATTGACTTATTTTAAGACCTATTGCAGTCTCACACATTCTTACATGTCAATCTCTAACGGGTTAAAAGAATATCACTACAAGTGATAATTAGCATTTTTATTTTTCCAAAAGGGTCTTTCCACATTTCTGGTTCTTAACCTTGTTGTGCACTCGATTTTATGTCTTCCTTCTTTCTCTTTATTTCTCCTTATCGCTTTCATTTCTAAGATGAAGGATTTATTGTTGATGATTTTTTATTTTTGTTTGGTTTAGATTTGAATCTAGTGCTTGCTTGCCCCATATGAACACCTGCCTTCACCAACAGAGCAGGGCTTGCGAGCAACAATATCTTATCAAAGATTTAAAGTTAGTGATATTTGTAAGTTGCAAGCGAAGACAGAATGCATGAACTTTAACTTGTTTGCTGAATTTGAAATAGTCAACGCAATGACAGCTATCAGTGTTTAATAAATAAATAAAAAGGCGGACTCCAGTGCTAAAGAGGCTCCCGTACTATGACAGGCTCGGAGGAAAACTCAATCTCATATGTATGCGGCCTTACCCCCGAAAGAGAGGCCGGTTCCGGGATTCGAACCTTGGACCCCGGGTGTAAACGCAAGCTATCAGTGTTTAATATTGAAATTAAATTATGTGGTTCTATTCATAAACTACCAAAAAAATTCTTCTTCATCCTGGTAATATATCTGGCAAACGAGGATCTCATCTAACGTGTCTCCTTCTGCAATCTATTTCCTAGAGTAGACATGACTTTATGTATGCCACTAACGATGCTTGGATGAGTCAAAACTTGCACATTGCCATGCTAGTTTATAGATTCTGAGTTATTCTATTTCATGACTTCCTATCGCAATTATTTGGTTTTGGATGGCTGGACTGCTGAAATTGTGGGAGCAGGTCAGTTTTATGTTGTCAATGAATGTCTATATCGCCTCAATTAGTGTAAACAATTTGAAGTTACATGCGCCAACGTGATCCATTCTTAAAAGCTTGTAGGAATTATTTGTCCTTAATTCTATAGATATTGTAATTCCTGTTCCATTCCTATTGCTGGTGTATCTGATAATAGTGTTTTTCTCCTCAAAATTCAATGTTTCATTGATGAAATTTGTGGTGTGGTTTGCAATTCTCCGTCTTAAGAGGGAAGTTTCTAAGAGGAAAAAACTCATTTGATGAGAGCCATTTATGTTTTTGTTAGACTTTGCTCTGTATCTGATGTCATTCTACTGTTTTTGTCTTGTGCTAGATTGATTGATGCGCTGGAGATGATGAGGCAAGGAGTTAAGCGTCTTCTGGTTCGAAAGAGTGTGGTCTGGAAAGGCATGAGCAAACGATTCTCAATTCTCTACAATGGTAAGTGGCTCAAGAACATCGATGCGTCAGGTAGCAGCAGCAATAACCTTCTTCCCAATCCTAATTGGCTTTCCTCATCCACAACTACAAGTTCTCGTGACAAGTTTTGTTGTCTTTCAAGAGAAGATGTTCTCCGTTTCATTATCGGTTGCCTTGGCGCCCTAGCACCACTACCTCTCTCATCCATCTCCACCCTTGGAGCCATTAACCCAAACTACTACTCCATTGAAGCTTCCTCCCCAGCTATAGAAGTCGCTCTCAAGCTTCCCGAAGACCCCAGTGCAATAGCAGTTGTGGAACGTACAGTCAGGGATCGTTGTAAGATTATTGGTGAGATCTCTGCCTCTAAACTATGGAAATGTGACCATTTAGCTGCAGCTTGGGCTTTGGCAAATCTTTCAGCTGGCCAGTTTGTGATGGGAGTTGAGGACAATGTGTCCTCAAGGTCACTTCCTGATTTCTGCCTAAATCCAGCTGCCGGCAACAACAATCTAGCTAACGGGAGCGGATCAACGAGATCCAGAAGATTCAGCAGCCGGAGTATAGGGTTCAATCCCGGGAACTCCAGTTTTGGGAGCATGTACAGAGGAAGAAGCGCACCGCTAACTTGCAAGGTCACGAGCTCGTTGGCTGCAGTCATGGCTCAAATGCTTTCCCATCGGGCAACCCATGTGTGGGTGATTGAGGATGGAAGTGATGATGTTCTAGTTGGGGTGGTGGGTTATTCTGATATTTTGGCGGCCGTGACAAAACAACCTGCTTCTATAGCTGCTGCTAATCGATCCTGTGAGGGATTGGTTAATGAGATCCAAAGCTGATTTGTCTCATTTATTATTGCATCATCTGTTTTCTTGGTAAGTACTAAAGCCGTACTTTCAAGTGTACTTTTGAGCCTCCCTGCGACCTTTTGCTGGTTGGGGTTGTATGAATAGATTTTGGGCGTGCCCGATGTGTGATTTATAAGATTTTTGATGTGGTGTATTATTGTTGTGTAGTGACCAATAAACAATAATAATGTTTGAAATGAAAATCAATTTACTTGTTATGAGTAGGTTCTATTACGTACAAGAGTGAGAATTTCAAGAGATTGGAGTAGGTAAAGAAAATACTAACAGCCTGATTAGTTCGCTAATTCGAGTTTTTAATTTGAGTTGAGATATGACTTTAGGTAAATTTTTTATTGTAGCAAAAAAAAATTAAATATGACTGTTAACAAAACTCGAATCAATGAAATGAACGGGTCTTAAATCTCTCTTTCAAACACAAAGGAAACCTCATATATTTGATATTTGTGATGAATCCAAAAAAATAAAAATAAAAAATCCCTAACTAACTATTGCAAGGATGTAATAAACACTTATTATTTGCACCCAAGAAAGAACAGAGCCAGGTTTGTTCCTTTCTCTTTCCCTTCTTTATTTTTTTCTTTGTCGTTTATGTTTCGTATTTTTAATGGAGTTTTTAATATAAATTTATGATACATTACACCCTACAATATTAGTTGCATATCTTTTGCTTTCAGCCTCAATACCACACTTATAAAAGATCACTGTAGGTTGTGGTCCTGAGATATACTGCCTAATTAATAACAATACTAAATACACATGAAACCAATCAATATCAAGTTAAGCAAATGACAAAACAAACCAATCAATATCAAGTTAAGCAAATGACAAAATAAATCAAAGCAAATCCGCAAAATCAAGACATGAACTTTTTATATGAAAAACCCATGTTATGGGTAAAATCCACATGCTAAAAACTACTCAAAACTTCACTAATAAAATTAATTAAGAGAAATAGTAGAAAATAGGCCAATATGAAAACCTTAAGAAAGTATATAGGCCAATTTTTAGTTATAGAAATTAATAGGTCATAACTTGTCAAGTTATGATTCATAACCAGATCAGTTATGGACAAATTTGTCAAGTTATGGTTCATAGCCAGACAAGTTATGGATAAAAACCGTGAATAACTTATCAAGTTATGGTTCATAAGCAGACAAGTTATGGACGAAAACAGTAATTTAGCCTATTTATTAACTTATGTAAACTATTGGCCTATTAATTTTAATCCATCTCAAGTCTTGGCCTATTTTCCTCTTTCTTCCTAAAATTAATGGGCACAGCAAAATTTTTTGGAGCGACAAATCTAGAGCTTAGCAACCACCAAGAACTCTCCCAAAGGTAAATTTCAATAAATATTCATGAAACTCGAGTCTGAATCTCATACAAATACTAACAATAAAATAAAAGGAACAATAATCCAAAACCAATAAGAACGTCACTTAGACTGCTTAAGAAAATAATCTTTCTACCCCTTTTTTGACCAAAAACAAAAAAACAAAAAAAAAACCCACAAGAAGGGCAATTCTTAAAAATTTCTCTTGAAATGGAGTCTTTTCTTATTTCTACCATTTAACATTAGCCTATATATTTCTATCTTTTAGATTAAAACTATGAATTAATTTCAAAAATTCCCACCGAACTATGACTCTTGTGACACTTTGCCCCCCGAGTTTTAAAAAGTAACATCCGTTTCTCCTGAACTTTGTTCGGTTAACAAGTTTTTTCTTTCTGTTACAATGAGAAACGGAATTCGCCACGTGTTAGGTACATGACCCATCTGATGAGGGTATTATCGTAAATTAACTTGCAACAACCCTTCCAAGCGTTGAAGAAAGAAAACCCAGATCTTGAACAACATAAAGATTAGGAAAAGAAAAGGACCCAAAAGACACAAGATCAAAAACATGATCAGAACAATGAATCCAAGACGGAATGTGACAAGAGATATACTGAGAAAATCAACATTCTCAAGACCCTTGACACTGACAAGAAGAACTTCAAGCGTTCCTGGAGGCATCTTTTTTTTTTTTTTTTTTTTTGGCCAGAGAAAGCAAGAGAAAATATTCAAAGATCACAATTGAGATCCTACAACCTCTCTCATCTTCATTATACATTCAATCATAAAATGAAACAGATTCAACCCACAGTCTCAATCAAAACCCAAATGAACTAGATTCAACCCAAATATACAAAAGCTTTTTCTTCCAATGTTAAACGATTTACCTTATACCGAATGTACCCATAAAATTGTCTTCCCAGATTCTTCTTCGTGTGTGATGTCTTCATTACTGGATCCAACCCACATTGATGAACAAAATGAGGGAAAAAAAAAAAGAAGGAAAGTGGCGAACAAAATGAGGAAAAGAAAATAAGGAAAATAGGGAACAAATATGGTGAATTTTTTCAATAAAAATGAGAAATTATCTGATTAGGAGGGTATAAGCGTAATTACGCTTTCAAATCTCACTAAATAAGTGACATGTAGCAATTCCGTCACTCATTGTAACAGAAGGAAAAAACTTGTTAATGGAATAAAGTTCGAAAGGAATATGTGTTATTTTTCAATGTTCGAGAAACAAAGTGTTACAAGGGTCATAGTTCAGGAGAATTTTTTAAATTAATTCTAAAACTAATTAAGGGGTAAAATTTGTTAAAACGGCTACTTTTAATAAATTTAGTACTCGTAAAATCTGTAATTTTCTCATTAGTCATTATTAGTAAAAGAATGATTAGTAGTCTAAGGAAACTCGAACTCACTGGAAGCTTGTGCCCAAAGCCCAAAACGCAGTTGGTTTTTTGTTGCCAAATGGTCCAAATATTAGATGTTTCAGCAGCGCATAAAACAACAAAAGCAAATCAAATTAAAAAAAGTATACAGAGTAGAGATATTTTAAGATTAAGGCCCGTTCATTTCGCTGATTCGAGTTTAAAATTCGAGTTTTGTTACAGTAAAAAGTTCTCACAAACAATCACATCTAACTTTTTTGTTACAGTAAAAAGTTCACATAAAATCACATCTCAATTCGAATTAAAAACTCGAATTAGTAAACTAAACGGGCCATAAATGACATTATTAGTAGGCTATTTTTTCAAGTCTACGAGACAAAAACATTCCAAACGATAAACAATAAACAAAAGAGGTTAAAAAAAAAAAGTGAAAAAGAATTGGTGGTCCAAATCCGCAGGCCAACTTGAACTAGACAGCTCTCAAATAGTGGGTGGTATATTTCGATCCTCCAATGTAGAATAAAACCAATATACGTAGACATATATGATCTCAAGACTCAAACGGCCATTTTGAAGCCATGTATAGATGAGATGCTTAATCCAATTCTCAGAAATTGTTCCTATTAAGTACTGCTGCAACTACACCCACTTATATCTTTCCTCAAACGCGTCTTTAACGTTTTCAAGTGGCTTCCAAATATTAAGGCATTTTCATGTCAACAACAAATATTTGAGACGCGTCTTCTTAGGAACCACACAGTTTTGGAATTTGTTCTTTGTCTCTAAGATTACACGTACGCGCAATTCCTCTATTTTTCTGATATTAAATTCAAAGATTAAAGGGGGGGGGGGGGAAAAAAAAAGGAAAAGAAAAAGAGTTTACGCATGCGTAGCGTACATTAGGAGATAGGAGAATTGTGATAAAGAATATTGCCATGTCGAAATCATACAACCAGAATCTATAAAAATAATGCAGTTAAAGTTAATGAAGTCAAATAAAAAAAAAAGGGATGGAAAAAGTTCAATAGTAATGGAAGCTACATCCCTTCTTCTTTTTCTTCTTTAAAAAATAAAAAATAAAATAAAAGTTGAATAGTAATGGGAGCAACATCAACTTATAATTAAAGTTTCTTCTTCCTCTTCTTCTTAAAATATATATATATATATATATATATATTTGTTCATTCCACACAGTCATCTCCTCTACTATTTTTCCATTTAGCTCAATTTTTGTTTTAATTTGCTTCCATGCTTACACCAAACAAAAAAAAATATAACGAATTTAGATCATTGTCCAATTTTCAGTATCTAAAATTGTATTTAACCAACTACTTTATGAAATATTATTTATGGACTCAATCAAGAAAGCATAAAAAGACTAGTTAAAACCCATTTTAAATGTTTTAAATGTGCTGTCATAATGTAATTGGTCATAGTAGACACATTAAATTTGGACTGTACATGAGGAGTTCTAATTCCAAAATAGCTACCACATTATTAACAATCAATTATGAAAAAAAGAGCACTAATTACCCCAAAATTTATACACTTAAAAAACCGAAACTTATGCAAAATGGTATTGACATTCTCACCACCCACCCATGAATGGCTGATATTACTGAAACAACAAACGCTAGTGCTCAACCTTTTACTAATTTATTCCACAAATTTGTGGTATGTCTATTACATTATATACATCAACTCACTTTGATTACTAGACCATTAATATTAGGTCTACATATGGCTTCTAGAGTGTTTTGTATATAAAAATAAAATTCAAAGGCCAAACTAGGGTACAAGATATCTATAGTCTATAATACAATATTTGTGAAAATAACCCCTTTTCTTTTCTAAATTTTTTCTTCTCTCCATGTTTGTGTGTGGAAAACAGCTAAAAATGTGATGCTTGATTTTGGTTGTGTTTGGTATTGCTTTTCACTCCCAAAATCAACTTCTGTTTGTAGCAAAAACTTATTTTAGTGTTTGATAAATCTCTTCAAAAGTGTTTTTTGAAGAATTTTTAAAGAATCTATAGCCAAAATCAGAAGCAGTCTAAAGACAACTTTAGCTTTTAAATTGTGCGAGAATAAGCATAGTACAATTAATGAAACTTTCATAATACCTATAATACTCCTAATGAAATTTAAAATTTACAATTTTCTCAATCTAAAATTCAGACTCGTAATATAATATAATGTAATATAATAATACAATGATATAATATAATATAATATAATATAATGTAATAGTATTTTATCATATAATATGATATGATAATAATATAATAATAATTATT